TGAAACGGTGGACTAGGCAGGGTCTCCTGCTTGAGCAGTGGGGCTGGACTAGATGACCTCCAAGGTCCCCCCCCGGCTCATTCATTCCATTCTACTACGAGAGGGTCCTTGCAGTGCGCGGGGCCAATCTATGGCAAAGGCGGTGTGTGAAGGAAAAAGTCCATTCTCCATGAAGCGTGTGGGGGGGGAAGAGAATCTGCTTGCCATGAAGGACCTCTGAGAACAAGGTCGGAAAATGCAAAGCCAGCACATCCAGGGAGCAAAGGCAGCTCTGCAAAGTGCATTATGTGCTGCTAAGAATAACCCTGCAGCCCTCGGCGGCCGGGCTCAACTCTTAACGGCCCCAAGGACTGGGGTTCACCCAACCCCCCCATTCCCTGCATGCTTAACCAGCTGTGGTCGTTTAACAGGCTGAGCTTTTTAATGTAAACCTCGGTTCAGTTTTTGGTGGTTCAGCAGGTATACACTGAGCGCATGTGGTTAGAGGAGCCTGGTGGTGCAGTGGACTAAACTACCTTTGAAGTAGCACTTAGCTGCCTGCAATTACTGCGAGTTCAATTCTCACCAGGCTCAAGGTTGGCTCAGCCTTCCATCCTTCCGAGGTAGGTAAAATAAGGACCCGGATTGCGGGGGCAATAAGCTGACTTTGTATAAAATAGAACACCGCTTGGGGGGGGCCAAAAGCCCTACTAAGCAGGTATATACAAAAGTATGAAGGCTATTGCTTAACGCATTGTAAGCTGCCCTGAGTCTCCAGAGAAGGGCGGCATATAAATCAAACTAAATAATAAAAATAATAAATAAATAAATAGTGGATGGTTCAGAGCAGGGGTCTCCAACCTTGGCAGCTTTAAGACTGGGAGCAAAGCTGGCTGGGGAATTCTGGGAGTTGAAGTCCACAAGTCTTAAAGTTGCCAAGGTTGGAGACCGCTGGCCTAAAGTGTTGATCAGGGAGGATCAGAGCAGCTGGGGAGCACTTGGCATTCCTGCTGGCGCCAAAGCTAAGACCCTTTAGACTTAGGGGTCTCCAACCTTGGCAGCTGAGCTGGCTGAGGAATTCTGGGAGTTTGAAGTCAGTCCACAAGTCTTAAAGTTGCCAAGGTCGGAGACCCCCCCCTGGTTCAGAGCATCACTCCCAGAGAATGTGGAATGGGACCGAGCCTTGTGCCTTTGCCCCCAATGTTGGGGGGGTCACAGAATTGAAGGAGTGAATACCCCACTGCTCCTTGAGGCTCCTTCTGTAGGACCCAGGTGGAGGTGGGGGGGGGGGGGCAGACAACTGGCACTTCTGATTTTTGTGAACATGTTGGACATGAAGAAATGGCATGTTTGAGTTACTTCCCTCTGCCCCCCCCCCATCTGAAGGGGTCATAAAATCAGGCCCACCTTACAAGTCTCACAACTGACCTCCGTAATTGCCAAGCTTGGTGACACTCTACATTTTAAGATTGAGAAAACCTCCTCTAACCTTTCTAGAAGTGTGTTGGAGAAGGAGGCCAGAGAGCATAAGGGATAAGGCACAAAATTGATGCCTTTAGCTTTTTTGACACCTGAAGCCTTCTAAACTTGGGTTAGGACCAGCTCAGATTATAACAGATTAACAGAGAAGGAAGGGACCTTGCAGGTCATCTAGTCCAACCCCCTGCCCAACAGGAGACCCCACATCTGCCTCTACCTAGGATTGAACTCACAACCTCCTGATTGTGAGGCAAGAGCTCTACCTCTAGGCCACCGGGTCTTTGTTTATGGGGAGCTCAGTTTGGGGAGACCAGATGTTCTTTGTACGCAGAACACGTACAACAGGGGGTCCCAAATCAACCCTTGTCTGCGACTTTTGGGGCTGGGGCAGCACAGAGACTCGGCCCCAAGTGGAAAAAGGGGTTTCTCTTGAATTCAGGGATGTGACCCTCAGCCAGGTAAAATATGGCTTTCGGGAGAAGAATGGGATAAACTGGTCTCCCTCTTCGGCATCTTCACGCAAAAATGGAAGATGGCTTCTTGCTTTCTCCTAGAGCCCCAGAACAGACGGCCCTCCATTGGGCAGGTTGCAAAGAGGGGGGGGTTTGATACCCCCCCCCAAAGATGCCTTGTTCGATTCATTCCAGTAAGGGAGCAGATCCAGAGTCACCCAGCTTCACTGCTGCTCAGAAGGAAACACCAGCGGGAGGGTCTCGAGTGAACCAAATGTTCAATATGGATGCTTGGGGTCAATGCCACAAACAATTCTCCCTTGCTAGGACTTCTGGCAGTCGGTTGAAAAGGAGGCGGTGCATTCTTGACGGTGATCGATTCTGCGTGGATTGTTTGCCAGTTATCTACCCATGTTAACGGGAACAGCGATCCATGTGCCAAGCTGCCTTACCTTTCCCCTCTTAGAACCACAGGACTGGAAGGGACTTTGGAGGCCTTCTAGTCCAGCCCTCTGCTCAAGCATCCCAGTCAAATAGTTGTCCAGTCTTTTCTTGAAAACCTCCGCTGATGGAGCATCCGCAACTTCTGGTGGCAAGCTGTTCCACTGGTTAATTGTCCTCACTGTTAGGAAGTTTCTCCTTAATTCCAGGTTGCTTCTCTCCTTGATTGGTTTCCATCCATTGCTGCTTCTTTTTTTCTTCTTTTTTTTTTTTAATTTGATTTATATGCCACCCTTCTCCAGAGACTCAGGGCAGCTTACAATGCGTTAAGCAATAGTCTTCATGCTTTTGTATATTTATACAAAGTCATCTTATTGCCCCCACAATCTGGGTCCCCATTTTACCCACCTTAGAAAGGATGGAAGGCTGAGTCAATCTTGAGCCTGGTGAGATTTGAACTTGCAGTAATTGCAGGCAGCTGATGTTAATAACAGTGCTTTAGTCTGCTGCGCCACCAGGGCTCTGCTTTCCCTGCCCTCTGGTGCTTTGGAGAATAAATTGACCCCCTCTCAAATACTGGAATGCTGCTATCATGTCCCCCTTAATCCTTCTTTTCTCTAGACTAGCCAAACCCAAATCCTGCAACTGTTCTTCACATAGTTTAATTTCCAGGCCTTTAATCATTTATTTGCTCTTCTTTGTACTTTTTCCAAAGTCTCAACAACTTTTTTATAATGTGGTGACCAAAATTGGACGCAGTATTCTAGGTTCTGGTTTTTGCAGGTTTGCTGGGAGCTCAAATATACACCGTAGGCATGTTAATAATATGATATTGTACAGGGGGGAGGGGAAAAGGGTGGGGGGAATACTGGGGGGAAATCTTTTTTTTTTTGTAAAACTTCAATTTAAAAAAAAATGATATTGTACCTTCAGCTGAATAAGTGGGTCAAGGGGGAAATTATAAATATGAGCTAGCCCAACTTCTGATCACATGACGGCAAGGGTGCTGCAATGGCCAGAATGTTGAAAACTAGTTGCAAGTCCATTGTTTCAGTGCCCTCCAGTGCCTTCAGCTGTTGAATGCATGGATGTAACTCAAGGACTGCTGTGTAATCCTCCAGTCAGCTCCAGTGGGTCACATCTGTCGCTGGGGGTGAGCATCTCTGTCGCAATGCAAACTTTAGTCACACTGTAGGCTTTTGAAAGAGGGCAGCGGAGGAAGAGGAAGCTCTGGGTAAGTCAGAGGAGCTAACCCAAATGTGCTTTTTCAAAAGGCAACTTGACTTTTTTCCTTTTTGCTTGTTTTAGAAGAGAATAACAGAGTTGGAAGGGACCTCGGAGGTCTTCTAGTCCAACCCCCTGCTTAGGCAGGAAACCCTAGATCACTACAGACAAATGGTTGTCCAATCTCTTCTTAAAAATTTCCAGTGTTGGAGCATTGACAACTTCTGGAGGCAAGCTGTTCCACTGATTAATTGTTCTCAGGAAATTCCTCCTTAGTTCCAAGCTGCTTTTCTCCTTGATGAGTTTCCACCTGTTGCTTCTTGTCCTGCCCTCAGGTGCTTTGGAGAATAGCTTGACTCCCTCTTCTTTGGGGCAACCCCTGAGATATCGGAAGACTGCTATGAAGATGTTTTGTTTCTCATTCAAGAAGCTTCTTCAGTTCTGACTGTAGAAGCTTCTTGGATGAGAAGCGAAACATCTTCAAGGAAAAACAAAGTGAGTTGCCTTTTGAAAAAGCTCCTTTGGGGCAACCATGACCTAGATGACTAAGAATCTCCATATACAAAAGGTCTTCAAACTTGTTAGTTTTAAGACTTGTGGACTTCAACTCCCAGAATTCTCCATACCTCTGCCATAGACAATTGAAGAAGCTAAGTTATGGCAAGCAGGAGATCTGTCTAAAGCAGGGGTCTCCAAACTTGACAACTTTTAAGACTTGTGGACGTCAACTCCCAGAATTCCTCAGCCAGCTCAGCTGCTAAGTTGGAGACCCTAGTCCAGTGGTAGGCAAACTTGGCTCTTTCACACCCTGTGGACTTCAACTCCCAGAATCCCTAAGAAGCTGTCTTAGGAATTCTGGGAGTTGAAGTCCACAGGGTGTGAAAGAGCCAAGTTTGCCTATCACTGCCCTAGTCTAAAGGGCCTTAGCTTTGGTGCCAGCAGGAATGCCAAGTGCTCCCTAGCTGCTGTGTGGGAGATGTTGACTGTAAGCAGGAGGGGCAGCTGCTTTCCCTGCTGAGCGGTGCCGAGGGATCAGGGATCAGGACTTGTGATTCTGATGACAGTCTAATGTTGGGCTGTCAACAGCATGATGGCTTGAAAAGGGTCAAACCCGTCATTGAAGACAATTAACTGCACGCCCCACACAAGAGGTTGCTGGCACATCAGAAGCATTGAGAGCAACCCTTTTAAAAGTGATCAGGCCTGTTCTTCATTAAGCAGCTGTTCAGAGTTGCTGGCCTGTTTTTTGTTTTTTTTTCCAAGCGAAACCCAGAATGGAATGGGCAGAGCCGGAAATGTGGCTCCAAAATTTTCCATCGCTCCGCATGGAGCGGTTGCAAAACAGATGGAAATGAGACCAACCGACAGCCTCATTCAGTGGCGAGAGACTAGATTTACATGGCAAGGCGGGAAGTCGGCGTGAATTATTGGATTTATATCCAGCTTGGGGAGGTTTTTAGTGGTACCTTCCGTTTTTTTAATCCTTTTTGTTTGCTTCCAGTTACTTATTGAAGCTCCGGGGGCATTAATAAGTATGTGGCTTGACATATAATTGATTTTCTGCCTATGCAAAGATTGCCTCCTGGGTAGGAATTGGGGTGGGGGGGAGGTACATTAGGGAGGGGAGAGCCCGTTCATGAAATGAATGCTAGGCAGATTAAGTCTGTCAGCTTTATACAGAAATGACTCATCCAGGCTGGGACAGACGTGGAAATTTCCACTTTTGGGGGAACTCCTCTGGTTTTGGCCCAGCCCACATTAGTGATGCATTTGCAGTTCTCTGCAAGCTGTGTTGGGATGGCCATATCCGGGGATTCCCTAGCCAGCTAGATTGGCTAGGGAATTGTGGGAAAGCATTCGCAGTATCCGAAGCCTATAGGAAAGTCTACACTAAGGACATAGTTAAGCCATAGGTTGAATTGAGTTGCAAGAAGCTTCGTAACCAAAATTCATCGTCGTGTGGTGAGCCTCACGAGATAGGACAGGCCAGGGAAAACTCTACCCAAAGGCTAAAAACTATCTTTATACTGAAATGGGTGATAGTAATAGACTGTTCCCAGTTTGATTGTGCTTGGCCTCTTCCTCCTCCGTATATTCACGTGGCTTTGGAAAGTATCTGCCTGAACCACTTCCAGATGATATCGCGAAGTTCTGGACTTAAACATTATTTCAGCCCTTTTGCCTAGGAAACACTGCCTGCGTATCTACAGCGAGCCCCCTTTCCTTCGGGTCTAGAACAGCTCGGCATGGCCAACTTGGTGCAGCCAACTCATCCCCGGTCAACTTGCGATGGCCAATTCGCTCTGCGACAGCTCGCTGCAGGACAAGAGTTACCCTAATATCAAAGAAATGGTGGGATAGAATCCTTAAAGGATACAAAAGGAGGGACAGAATGAAATGCGAATGGCAGAAAATTAAAATATTTTTTAAATTATTTCAAATACTTAAATTGAGTTGTCCCTCAATGAGTTGACCATGGTGACTTGTCCTCTTCCGCTTTCCCTCTGTATAATTTTAACACAGGAAAGGAGAATATTTGTAAGGTGAGGTTGAAATAAAGGGTCCTGGGTGCTTTCCAAGCTCAGAGAGCATTAAGGACACCTCGATTTAACCCAGTTTACTGACTTCAGCCACAATTCCCTGAGCCCAGATCAGAACAGGGGGAGGGGGCTTTTTTCCACCTGGGCTGTGTCTGGAGGGAAGGCAAGAGACTGGGACCTCCTTCCTCCTCCCAGGCCGGTGCAGAGGATGAAGGAAGGAGATGGTGGTGGAAGAGATGCTCCATCTGTCCCTTCGGATATAGTCCAGGGCCAAAGTAGGCTTAATCACAAATTATGAAGTTTTAGGCCCTTTTTAGCAACTTCAGACATTCGGTGGTAAATAATTCTGTCTTGTTCTGGTGTTTATCCTGGTGTTCAGTGTTTCTGCACCTCGATTTGAGGGCAGTGCTTTGTTAGAGCCTGTAACTTTGCAAGCGAGGGCATGTTGATGTTTTTCACCCAACCTATCTTTGGTATAGCTTACGTGCCATTAAAATGGAATGAAATTATTTGCATAGATTTAGTACGATTCGTTCCTCTTTTAAAAATGGCAGTTTTATGCAATTATGGGGGGTGGCTTGAGAGACCCACATTGAAAGTCTTCAGGGCCCACATACACCCATTTAGTACATGTTTCCCTGCTATGGATGTTCATTCCCACCCATAATCCTTCCAAGCCTTAGACATTGTTTAATATTCCTCTTTAATATCAGAAAGTCCCACAGAGGTTAATAACGGTTCCTTTCTTCCTGTGTTTGCTGAGCCTTATCTGAATTAATTCTCTTTTTTTATTGCAGGGACCATCTGCAAGGCTGACTGGTTGCTAGAGAATTGCAGGACATTTATTGCCATGGTACGTGGGTTTGGTTCCTTGCAGGACCAGGCGGTGCCTGGCACTCCCTGGCTCTGATCAAAGGGCCAATGTCCTGAGCTGTTGGCTCAGGGCAATTAAGCAGATGGAAGGATTATCCTTGATGGGGTAAATGTTATCCTTGGGAACCGCTACGATGAGGGCTTGGTGTGGCACCGGAGACGGCAGTTGGCCAGTGTAGTCTCTTTTCTGCTGCACAACATAATTAGCCTCTGAAGATAAAAGCCTTTTCCTGGTCACAGCAAATCTAAATTCAGTCCCTTTGTTTTGGGTGCAGTGAATGGGGTGACCCTAGCCATGGTGTGCCATGAATGGTGGTTTAAGGCTGCGTTTCTTGCACCAAGGTAGCCAATTGTGGTGTCTTCAGCAAGCCACAGTTAAACCTTGGTTTAGCACTAGATCCAAACCCAGTTAACATTCCCTCCCTTTGCTACTTTCAATGTGTAGACAAGCTCCGAGGCTGCTGTGGCAGCTGGACTATCAGTCCACGGGGTTCAACCTGGCTTCCTCCCCAAGTGAGGCTGGCTGAGGCAGCAGATTTTCTCCAGCCTTTCTTTAAGTGGCAGCAAAGCTTCTGTGGCTGCCCAGAGCTCTAGCCAGGTGGCCTTGAAAGCATGCTAAAAATTCACCATCCGTTCCCTGCGTAGGATGGCAGCTCCTAATTACTTCCTTGAGAGCCAGTTGGGTGTAGTGAATGGGGTAGGACTCAAGGCGGTGTACAGTCAAGAAAAATATAGATACACAAACATCATAAAATTGCTAATTAAAATTATTATTATAACATAGTTTGGCCCAATTAAATAGAACCTAAAATGCTCTTGACAGCTCTCTCGTTTAGCCACAGAAACTTTGGATTCTCTTTTGTGATCCTAAGTTAAGGATTCCCCAAACATCTGGATTTTTTTCCTTTCTTGTTTCTTCCTCTGTGGTTCCATCTCTTCTGGGCTTTGACTTTTTGATATTCGGTGGCTTTTAGGCAGGAAACAGAGGAACCATCAAGGGGGCTTCCAACTTCAGCCCTGAGGCCGATGCCCAGGCTCTCCGCAAAGCTATGAAAGGGTTGGGTGAGTCATCCGTTTTATTCTTCATTGATTGCTCTGAAGTTGTAAGGTTTCTGCCTCAAAGTCCGTTTTGATCAGGAGATTAGAAAGTTTGCGACATGCTAGATCAGTGATGGTGAAACTTTTCCACACCGAGTGTCGAAAAGGTCACGCGGAAACATCATGCATCCACGGGCTCGTCAGGGCCGCGCTCTGGAAAAGCGGACCTTCCGGGTTTATTTATTTATTTACAAATATTTATATGCCGCCCTTCTCCCAAAGGACTCAGGGCGGCGAACACAAGTTAAAAAACATACAATAATAAAGGAAAATCCTAATTAAAACCAATTAAAACAGAGACAAATAAATAATAAGGTGGGTTTCAAATTTTTTTACTACCGGTTCTGTGGGTGTGGCTTGGTGGGTGTGGCATGGATTGGTAGGCGTGGATTGGTGGACGTGGCAGGGGAAGGATCCTGTAAAATCTCCATTCCCTCCCCAATCCAGGGGAAGGATACTGTAAAATCTCCATTCCCTCCCAATCAGCTGGGACTCAGGAGGCAGAGAATAGATGGGGACGGGGCCAGTCAGAATTTTTACTACCAGTTCTCCGAACTACTCAAAATTTCCGCTACCAGTTCTCCAGAACTGGTCAGAACCTGCTGAAACCCACCTCTGATGTGCACCCAACAATCAGCTGGCCGGCACCCCACGCACGAAGGACAGCTGATTGTCGCGCCAGAAACCTGGAAGACAAACAGCCAAGGCCGTGCGTGCCGGGTGAAATGGCTTTGCGTGTCACTTTGGGCACGCATGTCATAGGTTCATCATCACGGTGCTAGATCCTCTTCTCTTACCTGGCACCCTTGGACTGGAGCTTCCAAAATTTCCCACCAGAAGCTTCTGCCTGATGCGAATTCCCCAAGGTGCTTTTTCCAAAAGGCAGTTGGATTTTCTTGGGGTTTTTTTCCTTTGAAAATGTTTCTCTTCTCATCCCAGAAGGTTCTTTCAGTTCAAGATGAGAAGAACCTTCTTGGATGAGAAGCAAAACATTTTCAAAGAAAAAAAAAACCCAAAAAGGTCCAGTTGCCTTCTGGAAAAAACAGGACCTGGATGGTGAAGAGCCTCCATGGACATCCTGCTGGGAATTGTAAACCCTGCCCAGCTGGAGATGGGAAGGCTAAACTTGCTTTGTGCAGAGAATATTCATAAAATTGCACAGGGATGCATCGAAGAGACCGTGAGAAATGGCCTTCTTACTGAGTTAGGTCCACACGCCGGTATTCTCCCCTCTGATTTGTGTTTCCGGTAGCTTCGCTCTGGAGGTCCTGATTACCTGGATTTTCCTGCTTGCCAAACAAGTACCTCATCTCACCTGCCAACTTCTCCCCATTTTCTGCTCCATGGATCCTAGTTTCAATTCCTTGGTCCTCTTTCTTGACCTTCTCTGAATCTTGGGTCTCTTGTCTTGTCCCAGGTACTGATGAAGATGCCATCATTGAGATTTTGGTCAACAGGAACTTGTCCCAACGGCAGGAGATTAAGATGGCCTACAAATCCTCTATTGGCCGGGTAGGTAGCACTGAATGGGAACTCTGGGACTGGATTCAGATATAGATTGCAAAGTGAATTGTTCAATCCCATTAACCCAGGGATACCTGTCAAAAAAATTGATTGCTTCTATTGCTAATGCCAAACCTTTTCTTCGTTTGACAATTGTTTGATTTCCCACCCCCCATCTCTCTCTCTCTCTGTTTCTCTCTTTATCTCTTTGGAAGGTACAGTCACTTTGTAAATGTTTAAATAAGGAGATAGATTAACTATTATTAAATCGTTGAAATTAAAGGTTAATTGTGTTGCGCAGGGTCAGGTGTGGCTTGGTGCAAACAAAGAGACAGTGTCTCTTTTATTTATTTATTCACATTTATTCAGCTGAACAAAGGTGCGTCCTCCCGTAAGATTGAAAGAACCCCGAGTGCAGTTTGAAGCAAATTATACAAATACTCACGCATGCCTTTTGTGGTTTTGATCACAGGTTTAACTCACAAGCTTTGCTTTACTTATGGAACTTCCCACAACCTTAAAGGCTGGCTAAGCTGTACTTTATTTCTGTCATTTCAACAGAAGATTCTTTTGACCAATTGTCAGAATCATCGTGAATATCAGAATCCTGGCAGGTTCCTTTGAAGAGTGAATTTAGGGCTTATTTGAGGAGAATTGACTCTCACAAATCACATTAGTGTGTGCTATGAGGTAACAGGCTTCCTAAATAATATGGGAGAGGATAAGATGAGATGAGATAAGATAATCTTTATTATCATTTCTTTTGGTAAACACACTGGCAAACATTCAAAATGAAATTGGGATACCCACTCTCAAAAGAAACATATATATACCCATATATACCCATACTCATACATATACATTTGCTGTGTATACATATATATATGTAAACACATACAGCTCTAAATACACACACACACACACAAATATATACACACATATATCAAATTTATATTTTGCTGATAAATAAAGGGAGACTAATATAGATCTATTTCAAGCTTTTTAGCTTTTTTAGCTGATGAAAGCTAAAAAGCTTGAAATAGATCTATACTAGTCTCCCTTTATTTCTTTATCAGCAAAATATAAATTTGGTATAAAATGGTTTGTCGTGAATGCAAGTGCTTGAGGGCTTCTGGATTGGAGCTGAAAGGCGAAAGGGAGCAGAATGCTCCCTCCCACATGTTGGGGTAGACCAGGTGTCTCGATAGAAAAACACTTAATACACACACACACACATATATATATATAACTGTTTATTTTGTATACATAGCAGAAAGAAGGACAGAAAGGTATCAAGGTTGATATGGAACAAAGAAGGAGCTATGGAAGAAGCAAAGAAGTAAAAAAAAAAAATGAGCCTGAGAATTTTCAGCCAAAATTCATTGCTTCCAAAGATCATGTCAAATGTGAGATTCTGTGGTCCACAAAAAATATTGATCTGGGTCCCTAAAATTGAAAAGCCAGCTGTCGTACAGCTTTTGACTTCTTCCTCGAAGGAAGTAACACCAGTTCTAGAAGAAAATTAGAAGTAACGTTTAATTTTGGGTGGTGCACTTGAAACAAAAAACGACACTAGGCACAATGATATTATCCAATCATTTTCTTTCCTCAACAGGATTTGATTAATGACCTGAAGTCTGAGCTGAGTAAGAATTTTGAGAACGTTATTATTGGACTGATGACCCCTATTACCCTGTATGATGTGGAGGAGCTGAAAAGAGCAATGAAGGTTTGCAAAAAAAAATAATAATTTTTAACCACAACAAAGAACCAGAGATTTGTGTGGAGTTGTCCATGGGGCGGTTTTATATCAGACCAACACCTGTATCTCCAAAGGACACCTGGAATATATTCTTTGAACAGTTGGCTTCAAGGTTCCAGGAAGTGGGTAGCATGGAGGTGCCTCACCCATCTCTACTATAGATGCTGCCTGGCCACATGGTTTCAGCTAGATCTTGGGGAAGGTCAGAGATCAAGGAGAATCTCTGCAGCTACATGATTGAAGCTCCACCTTTTTGTACAAGTATTGGCAAATGTTGGCACTCGAGCACGGGGTTGGACTAGAAGACCTCCGAGGTCCCTTCCAGCACTGTATGTTCCATGTAAAAAAAAGAAGCGAGCAGTTACAGCCATGACTGTAACTCTACTTTTTGTCTCCTCTTCCCCTATAGATGGCCCTGGCTCAGTTTAGCATATTGTAGACTGTGTCAAGCAGAGATCTCCAACCTTGGCAATGTTAAGGCTTGTGGACCTCAACTTCCCGAATTCCCTAGCCAGTCATGCTTTAAAGACCCACAGATGTGCTATCACAAAAGCTTCTGTGGGTTGGAGCCAGTGGTGAAATCCAATTTTTTTTACTATCGGTTCTGTGGGCGTGGCTTGGTGGGCGTGCAGAGGAAGGATACTGCAAAATCTCCATTCTCACCCCACTCTGGGGCCAGCCAGAGGTGGCATTTGCCGGTTCTCCGAACTACTCAAAATTTCCGCTACCGGTTCTCCAGAACCTGTCAGAACCTGCTGGATTTCACCCCTGGTCTGGAGCCCCCTTTGATTGTACGTAGAGTCTGATATTAGAAGATAGACCATAAATTGCGAATTGGTTGGAAAATAAGGATCCTGTGAGGCAGCTGAAGTTGTAGGCATGTTCTCCATAAGTTCCTGATTTTTGGTCTCCCTACTTTGGGGTATTCTGTGAGAGTAGGAAATATAGTAGACTTAGTTTTCCATCATATTACTGCAGCCAGCATTTTCATACGTAAAATTCCCTTAGCTTGAGAACTGAGAGCTTCGGTTTCCACCTTGAGGTCGGTCAACATTATTTTGAAGCCTGGAGATGTTCCTAGAAAAATCTTGCTTCGGTTGGCATTTGCCCAGCTTTGGCACTCTGTTGAAGTACTTTGTCTGTCTTGCAGGGAGCTGGGACAGATGAGGGCTGCCTGATAGAAATCTTGGCCTCTCGTACCAACGAGGAACTCCGGAGGATTAATGACACCTACCACCGTCGTGAGTATTCTTTCCCATAGTCTCCATCGCTCACCTGCAGCCAATTCATGGAGCTTTCTAGAATCACATGGCCAGCTGGGCATTAATTGCATTTGCATGTTATGTTTGACGATAGACAGACCTACCGCAGAGAATTCTTTTAGGCACTTTCCCTAAAATTTGTGCTGATTCAATCTCGGAGTTTAGCGGGATTCCCCATTGTCATAACTGTCTGCAAGCCGTGGTCAAAAAAGTCAAGATGGCATCCGTGATGGTGCACATAAAAAACAGGCAGAGCTGTGATTGCACCATTGCTGTCAGCGATTCAAGAAAGATCAAACTTGAACACCGAAGTCGTGAATATTAAAATTATATTTATTATAGGCTTTCTGTCAGATCTAAGTCCAAAGATGACACAGTGAGATCCGATTGAATCCATTTCTTTATTTACTTTCACCCAACGGACATAATCTTGCCAGACTAAAACCTTCTAACCTACCCCATACACCCTGGGAGATTCTGGGGTGTGGCTATTCTGGGGTGAAACTTTTCCTCCCTCCCCCATATACAATTCAGAACTGCATAGTCTCTTTATTTATTTATTATTGAATTTCTATATTATTGAAATTCTCTTGTCTTGGGCCTCTCTTTGGAATTGTCAGGCGTGAAATATCAGGTTCACGGTTAAACAGATTTATTGGCGCTCACACCTATGCACAGGAATCTTCTCAACTAATGGTTAGCCCCTGATAGGAGTTAGATAAAGGTCAATGGAATCCGAGGAGGATTGGATTTAGTTCACTTGTGGTTATGTAGGGATTCTAGGCTGATCCCCCTTTTCACTCCGACCCCAGGTTCTGCCAGTCCTTCCAGTGCAAGAATGTGATGCTTCTTCCCTGAGAAGCAGTGGTGCTTCATACTCCACCATTCATATTCAGACTCTTGCAACTCTGAATACGCCTGCCCCCTCCCTACTTTCACCCTAAAGACCAGTAGGGAGGGTCCCTTCTGCTTTCTCTGCCCCATCTTTCCTTTGGACTCAATTTCTTGTATCCGACCATTTTCCTGGCTGTGGCGCTTCCTCCTGTCCCTCAAGGGTATTCTCACAACCCCCTACATCTGCAGACACCATCCTGACTATTTTGGACATGCCCTGCAGACACCCTCCTGCGAGTTAGTGGTTGTTTTTCAGGAAGTCATCATAGTTGTGAAGCTTTCCTCAGCTACGCCAGTTCTCAGAGTAGGACTGGGGTGCTTTTTTTGAGGTATATCTCTGGGCCTTTTTGCAGAGTATGGAACCTCCCTTGAGAAAGACATCGCTTCAGATACCTCCTCCAAGTTCCAGAGAGTCCTGGTCTCCCTGTCGACTGTAAGTATTTGGCTCTTCTTGTCATGCCTCAGATCGCTCATCCCATAGTAGATGAATTTACTCCTCGCCCTAAATCACGGCTTGTCTTTGTCGAGCAAGCATTTTTGCAGGTTTGAAAATGAATCATGGCTTGTCTGATAACCTTTTGCGCTATTTCAGTCTCTCTTTGCAGTCCTGTGGAGTGGTTCAAAACTTGTGTGTGTGCAAAAAAGAAGCTGGGAATAAGTTAGGGATGCAAACAATAATCCACGTGTCTCTTTGGGGAACATGACGTTAAACTGTAGTTGGTGTAATAAGCCAGCAATGAACTTGCATCCTATTCAGAAATATTCAGTGATTTTCACTACACTGATAGCATTCTCTGGATTTCCATCCTCCGTCTCTAGGATATTATTGCATTGAAGACCTAGGATTTTCAGCACATTCTATTAAAAATCATAGTTTCTTTTGTTGTGCGATAAACTTTCTTGGGTCTCCTGCATGAACAGGGCCACAAATTCTAAACTGGGTTATAAGTACAGAGAACTCGTGGTGGGAGGAGAGGAATCTTCTCAAAGACAAAAACCTCCGTCTGAGAGTTGCCCTCTTTCAAACTTGGCATGGATCAGAGTTTTAAGGGAGGATTTGGCATCACGCTGGATTTTTTCCCCCCAGATTATTTATGGCCCTCCTCTTCAACCCAGTTTCTCTTGTTCACTGGGTAAATGGCTTATTGGGCTGCCTTCTTCTATGGCTGGGTAGACAGCTGTTCTCAAGGTCCCAAGAAAAGATCTTTAAGAGATTGGTGCTGAGTGTTTGTTTTCCTGCATCCCACTGATGTGGGTCCTTCTCCTTTGCTCCTTCCTGATGGTCCTTCTCTGAAATCGCTGTTCAGCTTCACTTGCCTCTCCCCCTCCCCCTTTTCTTCCCAGGGCAATAGAGATGAGAGTTCACACGTTGACCACAGCCTGGTCCAAGAGGATGCCAAGGTGAGTAACCCCGTTTGCAGGAATGAGTAGGCAGTTTGCTGCTTGATTTCCAAAGTGTTAACTGATAACCAATTTTGTTGTATACATGAGGTACAATGACAATAAAGGCTATACTATACTGGCTTTCTTTAAAATTGAGGTGTAACTTAATTCCTGCTCTTTGCCTCCTCCATAAATCTTCCAGAACAGGGGTGTCAAACTCAAGGTCCGGAAGGCCAGATGTGTCACATGCTCGGTTTAGCAAAGGGGGGAAACTTGTGATACGTCACGTGATGACATGTCGTTGCAAGTTTGACACCCCTGCCCCAGAACAAAGGCTATCACAAGGCCTGTTCAAGACCACCAAAATTTTAGCAGCCAAATGGCAATTTGGGGTGACACAATGATGGCCTCCTTCTCCCCACCCCATTGTCTATGTCACATGCAGACCATTATACCAGTTGCATTAAGACCCCTGCTAAGCTTAAATCGATTATTGGGCACAACATTGCATCCCTGGGAGCCAAAATGATTAGTTTCACATCCTCAGTCACGTCCCAGTTTTACCCTTACATGCCTTACAGTTCTGAGTTGGAGACTTCAGACTTCTTTATCTGTGTGAAGTTGCCCATCCCTACTGTCTTGTGAGAACAGGAAGGAGGCTGTCTGATAGCCTGGATTGGGGCAGATGTGCTGGGTTGTGGCCCCAAAACCCCCCATTCCCTGCCTGTTCGTTCGGCTCCTTGCAGAATCTGCTCTTTGTGCTCCTTTCCTCTAGTGCCTGTATGAAGCAGGGGAGAACAAATGGGGCACCAGCGAGGGCCAGTTCATTACCATCCTGTGCTCCAGAAGCAGGAGCCATCTGCTAAGGGGTAAGCGGTGAAGGGGGCAGTGGATTCTTGCAAAGAAAAAAGAAAAAAAGGAACATCATGGGAATCAAGTGAACATTAAATCAAGTAAAAAAGAGCCTTGGTAGTACAGTGGTCTAAGGCACCCTGTTATTAAGCTGGTTATTAAGACCAGCTGCCTGCAATTACTGCAGGTTCGAATCTCACCAGGCTCAAGGTTGACTCAGCCTTCCATCCTTTCTAAGGTAGGTAAATTGAGGACCCAGTTTGTGGGGAAAATAAGCTGACTTTGTATAAATATACAAAAGGATGAAGGCTATTGCTTAGCGCATTGTAAGCCGCCCTGAGTCTCTGGAGAAGGGTGGCATTTAAATCAAATTAAAAAAAAAAACATTAATGGGATCATTAAGCATTATGAACATTAAAATGGGATCCTACCCTCCAACTCTAAGCTGTACTAAGAAGCCACATGATGATTGGTCAGTTAGAGGCTGGGAACGAGCGTCACTGTTGTTTAACTCTATTGTTTATTTAATTCTGGTCACCACGATCACGAAAAGATGCTGAGATCCTGGAAAGTGTGCAGAAAAGGGCAACAAAGATGACTAAGAGTCTGGAGGCTAAATCGTTATGATGAAAAGTTGAGGAACCTGGGGATGTCTAGTTATGGAAGAGAAGGACTTGGGGTGTCATGGTAGCTGTCTTCCAGTCCTTGAGGGGCTGTCACAGAAAAGAGGAGGTCAACCTATTCTCCAAAGCACCCGAGGGCAGGAAAAGTAATGGGTGGAAGCTTATCAAAGAGCAAACATCTTTTAATACCAAAGCAGAATGTTTTATCCCAATGGACATATAACTTCCATTCCCTATGAGAACAATTAGTCAATGGAACAGAAGTTGCCTTCAGAAGTTGTGGCTGCTCCATCACTGGAGATTTTCAAGAAGAGATTGAGTAGCCATTTGTCTGGACTGGTATGGGGTCCCTGCTCAAGCTGGAGATTAAACTAAGACCTCCAAGATCCCTTCCAACTCTGTTATCCGAATGTTCTGCGACTCACGGCAGGATGGTGTGATTTTCCCATTACTTGTGGCCACCATAGACTTATTTCGGTTCATTCAGGACATCTGCTGTTTTCTAGGGTGCTTTTTTAAAGAAAAAACATACAGTATGAATCAGAAAATTGGGAATATTGGAAATTTGGAAATAACAGAGGAGCTCATAAACATATCTTAAGTCTCCATGTTTGGGAGGTTGTGGAACTGCTTTTCTTTTGTTTGCTAATAAAAATCTGTATTTGTTTATTTAGTATTTGATGAATACAAGAAAATTGCTAAGAAAGATATTACGGAGAGTATTAAATCCGAGATGTCTGGAGACCTTGAAGACGCCTTGCTGGCAATAGGTGAGGTTTCCACATCAGCTTTTATTCCTCTCTCGTTGCTTTGCAGGAGATTAACTTGCTTCCAGGGTGTCTGCAACATGGAGGGAAGGCAATGAAATAATAACACGTGTTGTTGGATCTGGTAGCTTCTGCTCAAAGCGAGTTCCTGAATGTAGGCTAGCCAAGGAGATTCATTGTTGTCTGGTAAACAGATAAACCTCCAGGGGTCTCAACGACCCTCTAAAAGGATGCAAATGACCAGCTGTCTGCAAGGAATATAAATCCTTCAGAGCTGAAGAAGCTTCTTGGAGGAGAAGCGAAACGTCTTCAAAAGAAAAAACAAAGTCCAGTTGCCTCTTGGAAAAAGGAAGTTTTGGGACATTTTTGGCCCAGAAATCTGCTGCGGTCACATGCTCTGAGTTGGCCCACATATCTGGAAGACGCTGGAGTTAAGGATGGCAGTTCCAGCATTTTGGATATTAGATGCTAGCGATATAGAGGAATATCAGAAGTAAAGAGTTTAGGTCTAGTGCAGGGGTCGGCAACCTTAAACACTCAGAGCCACAAAAGTCCTAACCGGAAGCCCCCGTTCAATTCTGGAGCCAACCGGAAGTCTGGTTCCCCCACCAGAGTCTCCTCCTAGCACGGCGTCCTTTTTCCTCTGCCTGTCCTAACCGAAAGCCCTATCAATTGTGGAGCCGACTAGCAACAGGGAGCCACAGCAGAGGGATGAAAGAGCCACATGCGGCTCCAGAGCCACAGGTTGCTGACCTCTGGGATAGGCCATGCTCAATGTATGCAGTATTTTTGTTTAGAAAATTATTGTTTTAATAACAAGTATTTCTGAGCAATGATTTTAATATTTTTTTTTAATCAAGAATGGTTAATTGTTGCTATGCTAACTGCCTTCCTTTATTCTCCTCTCAGTGAAGTGCATGAGAAATAAATCTGCCTACTTTGCTGAGCGGCTGTACAAATCTATGAAGGTAAATGCACGCATAAAACCGTCTGCAAACCGAATAGCAGCTCTGTAATAGGCATGTCCTATTAATGGGTTGATTTCCTGTAATTACATGATCTGGGCTCAGGCTTTGCATGAAAAAACTGGTGTTTCATCCCAGGTCTCTCCAGAACGGATTGGATCAGGGGTCTCCAACCTTGGCAGCTTTAAGACTTGTGGACTTCAATTTCCAGAATTGTGGGAGTTGAAGTCCACACATTTCAGGGGTTGAGAAACACTGAACTAACAGCTTTGATGAAGCACAATTAGCAGTGCTGACAGAAGAGAATATTTATCGAGCTGTGAGGTCCTTTGTGCACGACAATTTTTAGCAAAAGTTTCATGACCAAACTAGTTGAACCTCCTCAATTCTATCTGGAAGTTGAGCGGTGGCAACTGGACGTCTTTTCTTTTTGGTTTGAAATGTTTGGCTACTTATTCAAGCAGCTCAAAGCTCCTTGGATAAGCAGCGAAACATTTCAAACCAATGAGCTGAAGAAGCTTCTCGGATGAGAAGCGAAACATCTTCAAAGAAAAACCAGAAAGTCCAGTTGCCTCTTGGAAAAAAAGCACCTTTGGGACAACCAGGACCTGGATGGCTGAGAATCTCCACAGACATTTCAAACCAAAAAGAACCGGAAGTCCAGTCACCACGGCTCAACTTCCAGAAAATTCCACCTGGATGACTGAGAATCTTCCTCCTCAGTGCTACCTCAGGTAGTCTGATGACGTTACCTACTCTGGTACTGAAATGTCTGTCAGAAGACCATCAAGAACCCCACGGTTAGCAGGTGGCTGCTTTTAAAGGGACAAAGAGCTTTGGTGGCGCAGCAGATTAAAGTACTGTTAAGTAACACCAGCTGCCTGCAATTACCGCAAGTTCGAATCTCACCAGGCTCAAGGTTGACTCAGCCTTCCATCCTTCCGAGGTAGGTAAAATGAGGACCCAGTTTGTGGGGGCAATAAGCTGACTTTGTATATAAAAAAAGAACACCGCTTTGGGGGGAGGGCGAAAGCCCTATTAAGCAGGTATACACAAAAGTAGGAAGGCTATTGCTTAAAAGCATTGTAAGCCGCCCTGAGTCTCGGGAGAAAGGGCGGCATATAAATTGAACCAATAAACAATAAATAAATAAAACGTTTTGCCAGCTGAGATCCAGCATGCGGTGTGACTTGGCTTATCTTTCTTTCTTTCCAACCCCAAACCAGGGCGTAGGCACCGATGACGACACTCTGATCCGCCTGATGGTCTCTCGCTGCGAGATTGATATGATTGATATTAAGGCAGAGTTCAAGCGGATGTATGGAAAATCCCTCTACTCTTTCATTAAGGTGAGCTGCGGCGCCTGATCTCGCAGGGCTTCTGCACAGCTAGTCTAGGGAAGAGAAGGACCAGGGGAGACAAGATAGCCGTTTTGAGGGGCTTGCACAGAGAGGAGGAAGAGGTCAAGCTATTTTCCAAAGCACCCGAAGGCCAGACAAGGAATAATGGATGGAAATGACCAAGGAGAGATTCAACCTAGAAATGAGGAGAAATTTTCTGACAGTGAGAACAATCCACCAATGGAACAGAAGTTGTGGGAGCTTCATCATTGGAAGCTTTCAAGAAGAGACTGGGCTGCCATCTGTCAGGAATGGTGTAGGGTCTCCTGTGTGGGTGGGGGATGGACTAGATGACCTACAAGGTCCCTTCCAACTCTGTTAATCTGTATCTGGAGTTGTGCCCAACAAAACTGTCCCAATCTTATTGGAGCACTTTCAGACAAAGTCATCTGTAGTTTGTGGTGAAAAACATCAAGAGGGCAGTCACAAGGGTGTGATTGAAACTCGGCCTATTTTCTCTGTGTGGTGGAACCTGGGTTGCACCATGATGGCATCGTCTTCCGACTACACCTTGGGGGCCTCCTTGCTTCCCCGAAAGGCAAGAGCGGTCCATATGAAACACGCCGTGAGTTTTATTCTCCGCACCTGTGATTCAGAGGTGAAGGCTTAAGGCAGGAGCGGGGAGCCCTGCTTTGCTAGAATTTGCATTAATAAAATAAAAATGAACTTATGTTTTGTTTTTCCCCTCTAGGGAGACACCTCAGGGGACTACAGGAAAGTTCTGCTCCTTCTGTGCGGCGGGGACAACTAAGAGCTTCAGGATTTCTTCTCCATCTTGACGCTGAAGTGATGTGGCTGGCTGTCCCCATAGAACAGAGGTGGAGAACTACGGCCCTTTTATGACTTGTGGACTTCAACTCCCAGAATCCCTGAGCCAGCCATGCTGGCTGGCTCAGGGATTCTGGGAGTTGAAGTTCACAAGTCATAAAAGGGTCGTAGTTCCCCCAACCCTGCCATAGATGACAAGTAGTCGTACCTTTTGCAGAAATGCTTTTAAAAATGCCAATCATGCTAACATTGATTGTACCTCTGCCCTCTTGTGTTTCTAAATTTAAAAAAAAAAATTTAGTCCCTGCTTTGAAACAGGTAGACAATACGCAGTATAAAATGACTAATACAATACAATGTTTTAAAACCCTGACTCCTTCCCAATTATTCTGCAGAAAGGTGAGCTTTTATTGAATACAAGGAATTGGGGAAGGGAGTTGTTAGGGGAGATCCTCCATCTAATGACTGTGGCAACATGCGATCATAATGGGCAGGCTCCATTACGTTGTATCTTGAGGACCACCTGTAGAAATGGTGAAAATGCCAAATTTCCTACAATGATGGGACATCTCCTTCCTGATGGCAAGGTGGAAGGTCCTTGCTGTCTCCATTCCAGAGATTATTATTATTATTATTAATTCAGTTTGTATGCCGCCCCTCTCCGAAGACTCAGGGCAGCTCACAATGCATTTAAAATCATTATAAAAAACATTTAAGAATTTAAAACATTAAAACTCATTCACACCATTCATGGCCGGATCACAAGAGCGAGATCAACGGCCCCAGGCCTGCCGGAAAAGCCACTCTTCACCGCTTTTCGGAAGGCCAATAGGTGGGGATGGTCCGGACCTCAGGAGGTAACTGGTTCCAGAGAGCTGGGGCAGCCACAGATGCATTTCTCACCTGCCCCCCCCCAAAAAAAAGTTGATTTGATTGTCAACTGAGTTTGTGATGCTGTATTTCACACTCGTGCAGGGAGTTTGCCTCACTAACACAGAGCTTAAACTCCAGGGCAGATGAAATCTCGCAGCTGCTTCAGACGCACCAATGCCACCTATGAGGTTCCTGTTAATTCTCACTCTCATACAGCTCATGTCAAGGGAGTTTTGTTAAAAAGCACAAGCATAAGGGGGGGTAGGAGCCTTTCTTTATGCTGGATTTTAGTGGCTCAAGTCAGCAGAGGGTTAAAAGAAAATCCCCATGAACGCCTTTATACAAACCCTTCTAGCTTCTGAACATGAGCAATTCGACACCCACAGTGAACCAGTGCAGAGCGAAACATGCCAAACAATCGAGCGACCCCATCTATGGATCTTTTTTGAGGGCAATCAAGGGCTTCATTTGTACATATTAGCAATAGCACTTAAGACTTATATATCGCTTCATAGTGTTTTTACAGCCCTCACTAAGCTGTTTACAGAGTCAGCCTCTTGCCCCCAACAATCTGGGTCCTTGAACTGCAAACAGCACCCGTTGTATCTTTCTTGCACCCTGCCAGATCCAGGGATGCAACTGATTCTGGTTTTTTTTTTCCTGGAATGTGAGCAGAGAAGCTTCACCACCACGGAAGCCGTAGCTGAAAAAAGGTGTTCTAATTTTTTGCCTGATCCAAACCGCTCTACAAGTAATCATGAGCTGTTAAATAGTTTCCAGATCAATAAAGGAATTTTGCCGTTTCAATAAAACCGCTGTTTCAAGACGAGGAATACCAAAGAACATAGTAAAGTAAGTTTCACTCTCCTCTCTGCCAGCCAGAGGCTCAAATCTCCCTGAAGACTCCTTTACAGGCGTAGTTGTCTCAACGTCTCTACTAGAGACGGAAGCCTTGCTACTCGGAGCCAAACTTTCTCCTACATAAACCCATTTGCAAGATAATTACTCCAATGGCTCCATGAAATGCTAGGCATATTAAGGCAAATCAGACAGGACAGCTGGCTGCTTCATAGATACCAGATTTCTCCAGATGTTGGACATCAAAAGAAATACTAAGTACCCCAGAAGTTTATTTTGGTATATTTTTTCCGTGCATAAATAGTTGCTTAGCTAGAGCAGTTAGTCCATTTCCTCCTCTCCTTCTAGGCCAGGCGGGATGCCGTCCCTCCACCTTGTGGGCTCCGGCACGTAGGGATCGAAGGTCCACCTGGGAAAGACCCGCTTGTACAAGGTCATCAGCACCGTGTCCTGGGACCTCAGCTGCCCGTCAAACTGGCACTTCATGTGGCCATGGGTTCCTGGCAGCAAAGAGGAGAGGGAGAGTCAGGGCACGCAGCCAGCGAGGAAGGGAGATTTGCTGGGCCGCCCCAAAAACTTTCACCCGCTTACCCAGAGGCTCCTTGATGTGGCCGCGGCGGCCCCACTTGGTCCGGAGCTCTACCGGTTTGAACCACAGGACATCCTCTGCAGGAGAGGGAGAAGGAAGAACTGGGACTCCAGCAGGTTTCACAGCAAGATTCACCCGAGATTATAGTCACAGGCAAGGAAAAGTTCTATACCATAAGGATACCCAGCACAGACTCTCTGTGTGTGTGTGTTGGGGAGGGAGGGAGGGAGGGGGTTCCTACCACACTGCATGTGAGCAGAGCTGGATATCCTTATTTTATAGAGCAGTGTTTCTCAACCTTGGTAGCTTGAAGATGGGTGGACTTCAACTCCCAAGTCCACCCATCTTCAAGCTTCCAAGGTTGAGAAACACTGTTATAAAGCAATCTGCAGACAGGTGAGCTCTGCTCTGCCCAAACTTTGAATGGGTCCATTTCTCTCAATGAAGCCACGGCAACTCCTCCACTCCCCACCCCCCACCCTTTCCAGGGACTTTAGATACATACATACCTCTGTTGAAGAACATGTAGCGCACCACGGCCAGTTTGCTGAAAATCTTGAACGGGTGGCCACTGAGTACCACCCGTTTAACGACTAGCCGGTTGGGATCGACACTGAGCAGGGAGCCCGTAGCCAAGAGATTCTGCGCTCCTGCAAAGAAGCCCAAGTGGGAACCCTGTGACTTCAAGGACAACTTCAGGCCGGGCAATCGACAACCAGCATTTGCCTTGCTGAGGAATCGAGTCTGCCTGGCTCCCAAGATCGGCAAAAGGGCAGAAAAAGAAAAATCCAAGCTACAGTGTCAGCTACCCTCGCGGGTGACGAGGCCACCAAGTGGGATAACTGTGTGGCACAGATGGACCACAATGTATTCAGCATACCGGTTGGGGCTGTTGGGAACTGAAGTTCAAGATTGTTACCCCTGCAGGCAACTTCTAATACAAATCCGAACGGAGCAGAGCAGCGTCGCCAACAAAACATACCCAAGGCAACGCACAAGCCCTCGGCGAGCTTGTTTAGTTTAGTTTAGTTTAGTTTATTTTGGATTTATATACCGCCCTTCTCCCGAAGGACTCAGGGCGGTGAACAGCCAAAGATAAAACACATACAATATAAAATTTAAAAAAAACAATTTAAAACATATTAAACAAATTTGGCCCATACTAATTAAAACACCCCTTTTTTAAAAAACAAATTAAAATTGAACAGTTAAAAAGAGTTAGGCCAGCCCAGCTTGTTGGAATACAAAAGGTTTAGAGGGCATGGCGGAAAGTGCATAAATCCGGGGGAAAGCTTTGCTGGGGAGAAAGCCCCACATCGCCTGTCCCCCCACTCACCCCAGAAAATAGGATGTGCTCTGGGACATTCTTCCTCTAGGCTCCCCAGGGACCCAGAGTGAAGGCTGACAAGCTAGAAGGATAGGAAAATGCTGGTTGTCTTTCCCAACGGCTGCAGAGGAACATTTCCCCTCCTGGCACCTTGCAGACGATCTGAGAATTCCTCCCCCACCCTCTTTTCTCGCATGAAGGGAAAGGTCATCCAATCCATCCGCAGGGAAGAGGTTAAGGGAGGCTGCTGGAAAAGGTGGCAGAATCTAGAAACGCCAGCAGATGGGGTGATGGGGGTGGCAGCAGCAGCTCACCAGAGGAGGCCAAGGCAGGTGAGCCCAAGATATCTTCCCAATCCCCAACTCACCGTCGCTCTCCTGCTTGAACAGCAGCACCGAAGCAGGCGGAAAAGTGATGGGAGCATAGATCGTGGCCACCACAGCAGTGTCAGCATGGAAAAACTTCTCCAGCTTGTGTTTATCAGCTGCAAAGAGGGGAGGGGGAGGTTGAATGTTTAGTTTGGCTTGACTGATGAGTATTTGTAGCTTGGGGTTGACATGAGGGACCCTTTGCTGCTCTCTGTGCTTGCTTGTTTTCATGCAGACATTTCATGACCCAGTTATGTAATATCATCAGTGCTAAGGGAGTGGGGTCTGCTTTCAACTTATATGCATGTGGCTTGCCCCGTCAGCATTGATGGACTGATCTGGGTGATTAGGCTGTGGTCTGATTGTTTGTCTGAGTTGGGAGCTCCTCCATTGGGGGTATTGTTTACTGTTTGATTTCTGGTGTAATGTTAACCTTGATGTTTAATCGAAGCATAAATTCTGACATTAAGCCATTAGTCCTTTAAAATTAAAAAAGTTTCTAACTCAACACTTCAGTTCAGAAAAGCTTCTGGAAGGGCTTACAAAGATCAAAAACAAAACAAGTGTTTGCCTTTCTTTGCATTTATAGTTTTAAACCATGTGGCACAAAAGGAAGGGAATCTTGGGAAGAAGCTACATAAACTTACGTTAGCAAGCTTAAGGTGTAAAATTCAGGCTGACTCTTGCAAAGCCTCAAAAGGCTGCAGCTGGAATGTGGGGAAACGTGTAAATTCCGAGTTTTCTCCCAGAACTCGGCTGCAGTTTCTTCAAGGGAAGCTCCTGGATTAAATCACTGATAATCTACTACCCTGTTTCCTCCAAAATAAGACATCCCCTGATAATAAGCCCAATGGGGCTTTTGAGCACATGGGCTAAAATAAGCCTCCCCCCCCGAAAATAAGTCCTCCCTGAAAATATTTAAATGCAGAGCTGGAAATCAGGTAAGAAGGCAAGAGGAGCCCCATCTTGTTCCACTCACCCCAAAATAATAAGACCTCCCCGAAAATAGGGCCAAGTGCTTATTTTGGGGTTCAAAAAAATATAAGACAGGGTCTTATTTTCGGGGAAACACAGTATCAAATTGGTATTGACTCTTAGCAACCACATAGACCTTCTCCAGCTGATACATCCCTCATCTGGTCCTTGAGCTCTTTGAACAGTGTACTCCCTGCTACTTTAACTAAGTCCATTCCCCTCACTTCCAGTCACCTTCTCCTTCCTTCCACCTTTACCAGCATCAGGGCCTTTTCCACAGAGATAGGCCCTCAAAGGATGCATCCGAAGGAAGATCAGTTGAGCTGGTCATTTATTCAAGTGAGAATTTGGCATGATCAGCAATCCACTGGTTTCACATATCACAGTATTTGAATATTTTTTCCAAATGCACGTGGCCAAAAGGAGACAGGAAAGAGCTGATCCACCTTCTCGTTTCCCTGCATTCTGAACTCGATTTAAGCCACTCAGACTACTGGGTTGGGCGGCTGATTCCCTGCAAACGAGGCCTATTAAGACCCCGAGTTTGATTCAGGCTTGTCAAACTCCCTCCAACAAAACTAGGAATTTCACCTGCCTGGCCTTTCTGACCATCTCCCACTCTCCTCATCCCAAAGGTCATTAGGAAGCCCAAAACCACAAGGGTTCCCATCCCTTCTTTAGAGAGGAACTTGCAGGGACTTTGCCTCCCCTGGGTGGGGTTGAGGACACACCTGAGGTGTGCTGAGAGTAGAGAGGGGAGGCCCGGAAGCGGCGGAATCCACAATGGACGATCACGTCCTCTTTGGACTTCACTGGCTCACTGTATCCTGGATGGCGTCTCACCAGAAGGTTCAGCACAGACATCTGGAGACCATAAAGAGGAGGAGAGCAATCAGACTGAGCTTCTCAGGCCACCCAGGGATCCTCAGCTGCTTTCAGACGGATTCGGACCCCAGAGAGAAAAGTCAGCTTTTCTAGTCCTTGAGCCAGTCACGATCAAGCCAGGCTTTCCTTGCCCCAGAGGGGGGGGGAAAAATGAACCCCTCTCTCTCTTCTGGACTCACCTTCTGCTCATAGGGAAGTAAGGTGAAAAGCACCAGAGGCTCCTGCTTCTGCTGGAAACTCTCCATAACAGAAACCGGGACATTGGAAAGATGGACTGTAACATACCAGCCGACCTGTGGAAGGAGCACATAGGCAGGTCACGTGGAAATCTTGGCATCCTCACAGCACAGAAGGTAACAAAGCTGGGTTAAATTCTGCTGGTTTGCACACTTTAGCATCTTTCCCAAAGTGCAGAAAACCCGTTCTCAAATACCAGGTTGACAGTAAGGTTGGTAGAATCGTCTTTATTTTTTCCCCTCTAGAAATTAAACTAAACCTATCACAAGAGGCAGCTCCCATTAAACTCCCAAAAGCTTTGATACAACTCTGGAGATTGAACTCCAAGGAGTTAGACGAGGCTCTCCGGTTAGAGCTTGGATACTCCATACAAGTAAAGCAGGAGTGTCTGGCCAGGGAATTCTGGGAGTTGAAGTCCACAAGTCTTAAAAGTTGCTAAGGTTAGACCACCCCTGAATTAAAGAATAACTTTAAAAGTACGAAAACGTAACACTTGCAAAAGTACAACAACGGTGATTGTTTTCAAAAATTAAAAAATGTAAAACCAACCATTGTTAAGTAGAGTGAGACTGGAGAAAGGACCAACCTGAGCTCCATCCGTTTCCTCTTTTTCCAATTGCCGGAAGGTGTGTTTCCTTGTCCGGGAAAAGTCCTGGAACTGGAAGATCCGGGCATAGTCCCTGGGGAGGTTCTCCTTGGGATCCCAGGGGGATGTTCGGAAGCTCTTTAGTCCCCTGAACTTCTGGAACCTGAGGGAGCCAGTGGGATCACATTCTCTTGCCTTGCCTTCAACCCCTCCGCCTGCCTGCTGCCCTCTCCCATCTCCCTGTAACCCAGCAGAGCCTCCAGGGTAAAGCAGCCTCCCAGGGCAGGTTACCTGGGCAGTCAGGCCAGGCCTTGCCTCAGCTCCCCCACCCCCCGAATGGTCCCAACTCCTCCCATGTCCCTGGCCATTTGCTGAGGCTCTCACCGGACTCGGGCTGGCACATCCCGGGGGGTGTCCATCTCATCTGGGAACATTTCTTCTTGTCGCTCCTGTCGGTATTTCTCCAGCATTTCTTCTTCCTCCTCCATTTTCTCCTCAGCCTGCTCCGTCTCAGGCAGCGTCATGGTTTCGCAGTCCTCCTCCTCCTCCTCAGAAGCAATTTCCTCCTCACTGCTGCTCCCCTCCTGGCAGAGCAAAAGCAACGCGGGCAGAGCACCGAGTGAGAGAGCATGAGGAGGCCTCCCCAGCCTGTGAGCCTCAGCGCCTGCCATGTACCCACGTCCACCTGCAAAGCCCCCACCCGCCAGTGGGCCTGTCCCATCCTGCACAGACTCTTCGCCAGGCTACCATCAAAAACATGGCTACTCCATTACCTGGGACCTGGCTTCTTCCATCATCTCTTCCTCCTCGTCATCCTCGTCCTCCTCCTCACTGCCATTTCTCCATTCGGCCTTGTCCAGGATCCAGGCAGCCTGATAGGCAGATGTGCCTTTGGGGACCCTCTTGGCCACTTTCTTGCTCTGCTTAAGAGATTCTGTGCGGAGTGGGAAAGAGAGTTTACTGGAGACCGGAGAACCTCTCCCCATAAAAAGAAAAATAAGGCATTCCTCCCGTCAGTGTAAAGCCAAGATTATTAGGGCCCATCCCACTTCAACCTTCAGCAGGGACTTCCTTTAAGATAACAGAAGCCCATCTGCTTGGAGACCAGTAGGTTTCCTTGGGCATCTCCGGGCTGGCCAAGGACAGCAGATTGTGGAGTGGTTAGGCTAGGGGTCCAATCCAGCCTGGCACCGCTTATGTACAGATCAAGAATCTGAAGAACTGAGAATGTTGTTGTTTTGATAGAATAAACCAGGCCACCAAAAGGAAGAATATTTGAAAAAAAATTAAGCCCTTCAAGGTTTTTTTTTTTAATTATTATCCTTAAAGCTTTATCTTAATCATCAAAATTTTAATGCCTCGTCAATACTGTATAAATAAAATTGTACTGAAATATAATATTCTGTGCTTTATAATACAATAAGCCAGTAATAAGAATGATCCCTTGAAGAAATGGTTGAGGGGCAGATATACACGGCCTCAACCCCCTCAATGGAATTGTGGTTAGATAGCTGACCCTTTTGAGGGAGGACAGGCAACATTCACACATCAGAGTTATGCTATAACCTGGTTCCTTGTAGTTCCATCTTAGCCTATGTGAATCCAGCCAGTGTAATTAAAAGCTATGGCTAGCAGTACAGAGCATAAACTGGAGAACCCATTTAAGGAAACGTGGTTTAGGACAGGAGTCTCCAAACTTGGCAACTTTAAGACTTGTGGACTTCAACTCTCGGCATTGGCCAGTTGGGGAATTCTCGGAACTGCACAAGTCTTACAGTTGCCAAGTTGGGAGAGTCCTGGCTTAGGGCAAATGAACCAAGGCACGGCCTGTCCTAAATCATCTGACTGACCCTCGGCCTCCCTCAGCTCCTCCTCAGAGGGCCAAGTCTGCTCTCCTTCCATTGGATCCGGAACCACTTCTGCCTGCAGAGACTCCTGCTTGGCAGGATCAGCCTTGCTCAGCACCTTCACCTCTTCCTCCATCTCGGCAGCAGTGCTGCTGCTAAGGTCACCCTGCAAGAGGCACAAGAGAGCAGCTCAGACCACGCCCCCTTCGGGGGGAGGAGCATCCCAGTCACACCTGCACAGGAAGAGGCCCCACCTGTTTCTTCCTACTTGCCAGCTGTCCTCCTGGACACTTCGGGTTCAGGGCAAAGAGGTCTGGGGGAGCATCCATTTGATTCATCTGGAAGTCTCCATGCCCAACAACGTGCACCAGGGAGTTGACGTTCAAGCTTCTTCCCCTCACATAGCCAGACACCTTTAAGGTCCCCACTGTGGCACTGTCAGAGTTGGGCACAAATTCGGCAGCATCAGCCAGCAGGTGAGCCCGCCGGTCTCGGAATGCCAAGTGCTGCTGTTTCTGGCTGGCCAGGTGCTGCAACAGCAGCGCAGATTCCTGCTCCGTGTTGAGAGAAAAAAGCTTGGCTCCAGGAAACCGCTTCTCGGTAACCTTACTGAGCTTTTTCCGGTAATCGGTTTGCTTCTTTGGCGGCTGTTCAGCCAGACCCTGAACAGCAAGGCCTGCAGGGAACAAAAAGGAAGGCTTGCTTAACTACAGACAGCTGGAGAAGTCGGCCATTCCTCTGGATCATCACCGAGGCTGCTATTAGCACTAGCAGTAACACTTAGACTTATATACCGCTTCACGGCCTCTCTAAGCTGTCTATGGAGTCAGCATAATGCCTGCAACAATCTGGGTCCTCACTTTACCAACCTCGGAAGGCTAGAAGGCTGAGCCATCCTTGAGCCGGTGAGGATCAAACTTCCAAACTGCAGGCAATCAGCAGAAGTAGCCTGCAGTACTGCATTCTAACTATTGTGCCACCATGGCACAGTATAATGAGAAAAGAGTAACAACAAAGCAGCAATAACAATTACAGAGCATCAGGGGAATCAAAGACCCAAATTTAGTGTCAGGGAACAGAGCCTTGGTGGCGCAGCAGACTAAAGTGCTGTTAAGTAACACCAGCTACCTGCAATTACTGCAAGTTCAAATCTCACCAGGCTCAAGGTTGACTCAGCCTTCCATCCTTTCAAGGTAGGTAAAATGAGGACCCGGATTGTGGGGGCAATAAGCTGACTTTGCATAAAAAAGAACACCGCTTTGGGGGGGGGGGGCAAAAGCCCTACTAAGCAGGTATATACAAAAGGATGAAGGCTATTGCTTAACGCATTGTAAGCCGCCCTGAGTCTCCGGAGAAGGGCGGCATATAAATCGAACTAAATAAATAAATAAATAAATATTTCAGATAGCTGGGTTAGTTATAAAAAACCAAGCATAGTTTCCAAGTCCTACAAGAAGACAAGGCTGCTTGACAGCAAGGATTGTAGCCTGCCAAACATCTCGTATCTTACTGGATAGATGGACAAACAGGCTGCATCAGGCACTAGACTCACCATAGCTGGGGAGACCCTGTGCAAAGATGCAGGAGAGGCAGTGATCGCCAACAGCATCCCAACCATCTGCAGCATCCAGCAGGAAAAGGAGAGTATCGGCTACTTTGGCAAGATCCAGCACTGCATGAAGGCTTCCTGGAGAATAAGAATTATGGAAGTTACAACTCTCTGAAATACCCCAGAAAAACGCAGGAAAGACCGTAGAACTATTTTGTAAGTAGAAGCTGCCAAGATGCCTCTGGAAAATGAGGCCCTCACCTGCATCAGCTACTACAAAACGCCAGCGCAGCTTGGACCGGGGACACAGCAGGGCAAAACCAGGCGGGCCTCCCTTTGCTGGGAAGACAACCGAATCCTGGTTACTCCGGAAAAGGTTCAAGGCCGCCTGGGGATCGATCTGGGCATGCAGCGGCACCAGGACCATCAGGTGCGGTGGCCCATCCTTGCGCCCCAAATTCCGCTTTTCTTCCAACACCTGCAGGCAGAGAAACCAAGGTAGGTGAGGCTCCTCCATTCTCCGAGCAAGCGTCCCCGATTCGGCTTCCCTGCTGTCTGCTGCTGCCGACTCACAGCCTCCTGGTGTTGCCGGCGGAGCTGCCAAGCCCGGTGTCTGCGGTCCTGTTTCGACCAGTTGCGGTTTACCTGACGAGTGAGGGTCTTGACCGAGACCCGACCTGGAGGAAGAAGAGGGGAAAATCAATGGCAGGAGATTTTCTGGCTGTTCCTCCTTGGAGGGCAAAAATGGCAGGTGCTGCCTGAGTAGACCCGGGAATTTCCAAGCCTGGCAATTTTTAAGCCTTGTGGACTTCAACTCCCAGGATTCCTCAGCCCAGCCACGCTGACAGGGAGACTCTGGGAGATGAAGTCCGCAAGCTGCCAAGATGGGAGAGCCAGGGACTGGACTGGCGTTTCTTTTTTCTTTTCTTTTTTTTGAATTAAATTTTTTTTATTTTAAAAACAAAAAAACAAATTAAACATAAAAAACATCACCATTCCAAACAATTACAGACAGTTTATCAATCGGTTAACATCTTTTTGTTAACTTCCTCCCTTCAAAATATTGCTTTGTATCCAGAAATTTATTTCCAAAAAAAGATATTTCGCTTAATTTATCTCAGTGTCTACTTATTTCATATTTATCTCCATATTTTATTGTCCATCCATTGGTAAAATAAATCCCATATCAAATATTGTTTGTCTTCCTGTTCTCTTATTTCAAATGTCAATTTACTCATTTCAGCACATTCCATCATTTTCTTAATTTCTTCATCAGAAAATATCTTTTTTTCCTTTTCAGTTTTTGGCAAATACAATTCTAACTGCTGTTAAAAGGTTCACAATTAAATATTGCAATTCTTTATTGCCCAACAAAAATATCTCTGGTTTAAAGTCAATGTGGCTCTTTATCATGAGTCCCGCAGAAGGGCGGTATAGAAATAAAATAAAATAAAAAAAATAAAATAAATAAATAAAATCATGGACTGGCGTTTCTTGAGTTTCCAGAATGCCTCCAAGACACCCAGACGCTGAATTGGATCAGCCTCTGGGGAAAGGCCCGGGTGGGATAGACTGCTCCTGGACTGGAGGCTCTTCTTGGCCGTCCACCGAGGCTCCCTGCTTCCTCGGTAGACTGGCTCCCCCGGGAAAAGGGAGGCCCTCCGCGCTCTCACCTCCCTGCCTTCGGGCGCTGCTCACGCGGTGCTTCCCGGCCTTGTGCGGCTTGTTCTGCTGCTTCAAGGAGCCCGCGCGGTGGACGGCCGCCTGCTTCGCCATGGCGGTGCCGCTGTCGCGCCGGAAGTGACGCCAACGAAGGTCCGGACTCTGCCGCTCTACGGAGGCCCGTCTCTGTGGCCGCCCGCGTCTCTCCTATTGGCCCGGAAGGCGCCGGCGCATGCGCAAAAGGAGGTCGCGCGCCGCCTCTTCCCTCCGTCCCGAGGCGGTCGCGCATGCGCAGCGGCCGCCTTGGGTAAAGTGAGGGGTGGGCTTCCTTCACGTCGCCGGCCGCGCGTCCCCATGAGGAGAAAGAGGCGGCGGCGGCGGCGGCGGTCGGGCGGGCGAGCATGGGCTCGTTGAGCAGCCGCGTGTGGGGCCCCCGAGCCGGGGCGGCTGAGGGGGCGGAAGCGGCGGGGGGTCGGAGGGGCGACGGGACCCTCCCCAAACGGAAGCGCGGCGAGGGGCTGAGCGAGAGCGAGAGCGGCGAGGAGAGCGACGGCGAGGAGCGGCTGCTCAACACCCCCAGGAGGTAAGGCCGGAAAGGGCCCGGCAGGTCCGGAGGGGCGCCTGGGTGAAGGAGGGGGGGGGTCCCGTGGGGAGGGGGCGGCCCAGGTGGGGAGGGGGCAGGTGAGGCGCTGCTCTTCAGCGGAGGGGGCCCTGAGCGCCTCCCGAGAAGAGTAGAGCTGGGAGGGGCCTTGGAGGTCATCTAGTCCAGCCCCCCGTCCCAAGCAGGAAGACCCTACCTGCACCATTTCTGGCAGAGGGCAGTTCAGTCTCTTCTTGAAAGCTTCCAGGGATGAAGCTCCCCACAGCTTCTGAATAACAAAATAATAAACAGAATAACAAGAGTTGGGAGGGACCTTGGAGGTCATCTAGTCCAACCCCCCCCCCCCCCCAGGCAGGGAGACCCTACGCCATTTCTGACAAAGGGCAGTCCAAGTCTTTTCTTGAAAGCTTCCAGGGATGAAGCTCCCCACAACTTCTGAATAACAGAATAATAAACAGAGTTGGGAGGGACCTTGGAGGTCATCTAATCCATCCCCCTGCCCAAGCAGGAAGACCCTACCTACCCCATTTCTGGCAGAGGGCAGTCCAGTCTTTTCTTGAAAGCTTCCAGGGATGAAGCTCCCACACTTCTGAATAACAGAATAATAACAGAATAACAAGAGTTGGGAGGGACCTTGGAGATCATCTAGTCCAACCCCCCCTGCCCAAGCAGGAAGACCCTACCTACCCCATTTCTGACAGAGGGCAGTCCAAGTCTCTTCTTGAAAGCTTCCAGCGATGAAGCTCCCACAACTTCTGAATAACAGAATAATAAACAGAGTTGGGAGGGACCTTGGAAGTCATCTAGTCCAAACACACACCCTCGCCCAAGCAGGAGACCCTCATACCAGTTCAGACAAGATATTCATTTATTTATTTTATTTTATTTCTTTCGTCAAGCATGTATTTTATGACAGACACAAGTGTGAGCATAATTATAAATACATGAAAAGGAGACGAATAAAAAAAACATTAGGACAGGGACGCTGGTGCGCTTATGCTAAAAAGAGATTGTGTCCAATCTCTTCTTTAAAACCTCCAGGGATGGAGCACCTACAATTTCTGGAGTTTATTGTCATTGCACATGGTACAACGAAATTCAATGCCATTTAAAATTCTTAAAACGGTCAAGCGCTCTTTTTGGATGGTTGGATGTCAAAATGCAGCAAAAGTATGGAAAGTGTTTGGCAAAGACCCAAAGTAGGTCTTAGACCTGCAGAGTTACACCTTATTTGAGTGGGAAAAGCCTTAGAAATGGAAGCAAGGAAAAAAATCACCTGAGAAATCACTGACTCAATCTGATAAATTTGATGTCCTCTTACAAGAGTTAAGAGAAATGAAGAAAAATATAAAGGAGGATTTGAAGCAAATGATAAAATAGATAGTATGGATGTAAGAACAACATTTGATGAAATGTCTGCAAGCAAGCAACGAAGCTGAGAGGGCCTCAAGAACTCTACAGTGCAACCCTGAGTGAGTTACAGATGTTTTTCTTGGTATTTATATCATATATATGTTTTTTTTTTCTAACTCAGGAAAAAGCTAAAAAGCACTTCGAAGTATATTTATCAGACTCTGTTTCTGAATGGTGAAAACAGTGATGTTAAAATATGTGCCCTGGGAGAAGAATGGAACTTGCACAAGATATACCTCTGTCAGGTAAAATTAGCCTTTTTCTTTCTTGGATCTCTTAGGAAGCGAGGCTTCAGGCCTTTTCGTTTAATACTCAAACGCAGAGCTCCGCTGCCTTGAGTGGGGTCCAGAAAACACAGGTGCTATAAGTGGTTCTCCTTGAACCAGTCCATCCACTGTTAAGCCAGTTTGTTTCTGTGCCATTCAGAGACCTTTCAAACATACAATTTATAAACCCATCCAAGTTCATAATATTTAATAATGGTGTTTTAACAAACCGTGTTTAGGTGTATTGTATGAATATTACAGGTTATCCTCGATTTATTATCTTTCCATGGTGGTTCAAAATAATGAGGGTCTTGAAAAATGTAACTATGCCCAAAGTTAAAACTGTTGCACCATCCCCATGGTCACAATTTTAATTTGGGTGCTTGGAAACACTCATATTTGCAGCTTCTTGCGGTCATGTTATCATAATTTGTGACCTTCCCAACCAGCTTCTGACAACAAAGTCAGTTGGGAAAGCCGGATTTCCTGAATGACCATGTGATTTAATTAATGAACACTATAAAAATGGTCATAAAATCTGGTGTGGTCATGTGATGATTTGCTTTATGGCCATCCTGACTTGTGACCAAAATTCTGGTCCCATTAGTGGTCAGAAGCCAAGCTGAAATACAGCAGCTAGACAAATATTAGTCTGCAGTCACAATATACCATTGCTATACCTATAAGAGCAGCAGAGAGCTAATGATGCATTAACACAATCTATGAATAATACAGATTTGTCGGGGTTAAGGAAATGGAACAAGAACAATATTGCTGTACAAATAGATTTTATTTTTTTAATCTCTCAGGCTTAAACATCAGTGAGTGATAGCAGCTCATAATGAGTCACCTCCAGCTGGGATGTGATCTTCTAGTAAATAGTATTTTTCTCCTCATTGGATCAAAAACTAGCAATTTCAATTTTATAAGAAATGCACTTTAATGAAAAGGTATACCTAAGTGTATGTACTGTATGTATTAATTTATCTACCTATATGTGTTCTTATAGAAATGTCAACCTATCATACTCAGCCCCTCTTCCCCCCTCCCAGTAATTGTATGTGTTGCATGTAGTTCCTTCAATACCTATATATAATTGTGGCCGCAGGAATTTTTGGCCAAGGTTTAGGTAGTATAAGTATATATTTGGGATGCTGTTATATATTTTTTTCTGATCACTTATCTTTCTGAATGCAGTCTGTCCACTTATATAAATAAATTATAACACAGCTTTAGCCGGCCCCCTCCCTCTTGGCTTTGCATGCTGGTTCCAGTTCCAGTTTAAGTAAAAGCCGCAGTGCCCTGTTACAGCCAGGTTGATAAAGTGTGGTTTAATGCTAGTGTCAGACCTGGAAGCCATCTTTCTACCTTTGTGCCTTCAGGCTTCAGGCCTGCCACAAATCCTACTGTGGGAAATTGGGAGGGGGGATTGCATAGAGAGGAGAAGATATGTAGTCACAGTAAAATTCTTTATAGGAAGTCAAGGCCATTGTGCCCTGCAGCTGTGCTGAGAAGAATGAGGAAGTATCTTCTGTTCCTGAGGATTGTTCCTGATTGGATGTGTGGTGGACATGTGGGAGATGGGAACTTTCTTTTGGGTGTGGAAAACCCAGAAGCTCTGAGATTTGGGTTAATGTCAGGGTTCCAAGTAACGCCCCCAACGAAATCAAACTCCGAGGCTTGAAGTTCCTCAAAGCTAACTTTTATTAGAGATGTCATATTGGCACATCTGGGAGAACCCGAATCTGAGACCTTGCCCCTTTTATTGTGACTACATATCTTCTTCTTTCTATGCAATCCCCCCCCTCCCAATTTCCCCACAGTAGGATTTGTGGCAGCTAGTTTACTAATCAAATTTGAGACCAGAGCTTGATCTTAGTTCCAGTTCCTGGAGCAATCGTTCCATCATTTCCCATTTTAGATGCAATGAAAACCCATTTATTCTGTTCAGATCAAAGCATTAAAACCAGTCCATGGAGATGGAGGGGGTTGGTGGGCAAATGAAGCAATTGGTTTAAAATATGAGTAAGATTCAAATTTAAGAAACGTATCTTCAAATCAGAAGTGACAAATAAAAAATTTAATTCAAGTGTAAACTATCTTAGTTCCGCTTGCTATGAAAATAATATTGTGTTATACCTTCTTATCATATAAACTCTCTTAATTCCAAGGGTTGTAAAATTATTTAAAAACATGACTTTTCTGTTTGTAGTCTGGCTACTTTTCAAGTATGTTCAGTGGGTCTTGGAGAGAATCAGGAATGGACACAATAGAATTGGAAATTCCTGATCAGAATATTGACATAGAAGGTAAGCAAGGATTCCTTCTCATTAGACTCTAACATAAAAGTTTCAAATTGAAATAGGTTACTTGGATCAGGTGTTCTAGAACAAAGCTGGGCAGTTATAAATTATCTTTGGAAGGACTTTCCAGTATTTTGTCTCCTTGTTGCAAAATACTTTTTCGCAAAATTCATTTTGCTAAGTAATTCATCAGAGAAATGGATTTCTGTGATGTTGATTAGAACACTCTGCCTGAAACTGAGCAGATTTTAATTGGTTTCATGCTGAAGGCATTGGTGGTGGTGGGGGGGGGAATAAAACTGCCATTATTGATTAGATATTGTGGAGCATACTTCTCCCTGAAGCATTGGATTAATATCTTGAGCCGCACATGCCTGCATTACTAATGCTGATATGAACTAAGACCCTTGTCGTGGCTGCTCCAGAAGCTTTTGCTTCTTTAACAAAATGTGGAAGCCAATGTTGTGCTGCAAATACGGACCATGTCAGTAACTTCACAACCTAGAGAGTAGGACTCGCATTGCAAGAATGCTTCTTTTTTTTCTTTCTTTTTTGGTCATTTAGCCACTGTGGGTGCACATTTTTAAACCTGATTGAGACTTTCAGGATTTTAAAATGAAAATGCAAAACCTAACACACACTTTATTTTGATCCATTATTTTTTGATCAATTTTTCAAGCTTTGTGCAGTGTCCACTTTGCCAGCTGGTGAAATCTGCAGGAGAATGGGAGTTTTCTAGTGTGAGGCGCTTACGTTAGAACCCAAATGTGGTGACTCCTGTACTTAAATTCACCATTTGTCCTGCTTAGGTTTTTTTTAAAAAAAAATAGCGCCTGATCTACCACTTCTTAATATTCTGGGTATCTTCTTGTTGTTACTATGTGTAAAATAATTTGAGAAATAACACTTTTTGTATATCAACCTTAATAAACCATACTGGATTGGAAAAAAAATAAATGTATAACTTGTTTTCTATGTTATGAGTAGCCTTAGAATGTGGTTTTCTTTAGCCTTACAGGTTGCCTTTGGCTCACTTTACCGGGATGAAGTGTTAATAAACCCTAGTAGAGTCATTGCCCTCCTGGCAGCTGCCAGCATGCTACAGCTGGTAAGTGGAAATGGCTCCCTGCTTTTACAGATCTTTGCTTGGCAAAGTACAGGCCTTTCCGTTCCAAGATCGGTAAAGTGAGGACCCAGATAGTTGGGGACAATATGCTGACCAGTAGTGGGTTTCAATTTAGTTTGCTACCGGTTTGCTTGTGCGTGCACGCTCACACATGCTTGCGACACTTCTGCACATGCGCAGAAGTGTCCGGACGGGTGGAGCCTCCCGCTGCTACCGGTTTGCCCGATCCGGGGCAAACAGGTAGGAAGCTACCACTGATGCTGACTCTGTAAACAGAGAGTGCTGTGAAGCTGTATATAAGTCTAAGTGCTGTTGCTATCTTCATTTCTAGTCTGGGGATGAGCACATGGTCATTGCCACATCGCTTCCGTTACCCTAGGGCCATGTTTTCAAGCACATGCTTAGCAATATCAAAATGTCTCTAACTCACCTTGAATGGCAGAGCTGAGAAAGACATTTTCTCGCTATCTCTTGCTCTCCTCCCCTTCCTAGATGGGGGCATATACATGAATGATTGATGCTGGAAGCACAGGGACTTCTTATGTGACCTTCGGAAATGTGTTCAGAAAGGTTAGGATGCCTCTTATCACAAAATTAAACATCAGGGTAGCAGTCCTTCCCTTTTCGCCTTCTGTTACAAATACAATATAATTTTGTATAATCATGGTTGAGACTGGTAGTATATAGTATACTCCAGATGAAGCCAAAGTATCTCTAGATAGTTATTGTTTGCATTCATTTTTTGCCAGCTAACTTGATGTCAGGGCACCCCCTGTAGCATTAGGTCCAGGAGTGAGGATTTATTTTGCATCATTATATGTTTACAGGATGGCTTAATACAGCAGTGTGGTGAGACAATGAAGGAAACAATCAATGCAAAAACTGTGTGTAGCTACTATAATTCCGCGGGAACATATGGATTAGATTCTTTGAAAAAAAAGTAAGTATTGGCACTAAGAGGTTTTGTTGAGGAAGAAAATTGGTATGACTCCCCTTTGATTTTCCAATGTGATGTGGGCTTTGAGATGCATGTCATGCGATATTTTTCAGCAGAAAAATGCTTATTTATGACAGAACATTGGAAGCATATATAGGAAATTAAAAGTTAAAAACAGAACAATCGCAGTATGCAGTCTCATTATGGTCTGACGACAGTCATAGTTGACCGGATGGGCTTTGGAGTATAATGGCTGTGGGCTCCCTATTTTACTATAACATCTGGGGGGAAAGAGCTCAGCAGCTTACTAGAAACATACACTGCATCTCATCGCATTGCCTGTGTGCTATGAAAGGATTTCCGTATTTTAAATCTAGGTGTCTTGAGTGGCTCTTGAATAATCTGATGACCCACCAGAGTGTGGAACTCCTCAAAGAACTCAGGTATTGAGTTTTCGGGATTAACCCAGATACTTTGGGAAGATGTTTAGCATAAAATATAATCAGATCATCTGTTGGACTGAACACAATTCATGCCCTTTGCGTTTCAAAGGCCACGTTGTTTGTTTCAGCATCAACCTCATGAAACAGCTGATCAGTTCCTCTAACCTGTTTGTCATGCAAGTGGAGATGGACATATATACTGCTCTAAAGAAGGTACCAATATTTAATAACGTCTATTCATTCCAAGTTTTGTTTTAAGGATGCAAAAATAACCTTTGAAACCCCACTGCCATTTCTTCCAAATTGACAGTATTCTTATAGACCGATGTTATCTCTCTTGCCTGTTCTGATAGTTTAGTATCTTTGATAGGTAGTCATATTCTTTGTTTGGTTATTTAGAGTACTAATTTATTAATGACCCATTAAAACTTAGAATAACACTGGATTACAAGATAGCACAGGATACTTAAAGAAGTACCAAAAAAAGTTCTGTGCATTTAGAATAACTATTTCTTGGATTATAACCATTTCTTTGGTTATTTCCTTTCTTACTCCATAAAAGCTGCCTCTTTCTTCTCTTTTGCTATTATATTTTCTCCTTGCTTTCCTTATAAGGATGTGGCCAGTTATCCCTTTAATTGCATTCTAACAGAAAAAGAAACTCATTTCATCACTTCATCAAAAATCCCAAGAAATTAATTGTACCAGACTGCAGTTAAAGTGCCACTGTGATACTTTTATTCCCAAATACATGTCACAATATTCTCTATCCATAAACAATTTTTAGTAGAAACACAGTGTACATATGTGTTTGTGTAAAGCTTTAGTTACTACTACATTCGTATCGGGATTGCGCTTGGGTGTTGTAAGGATTGAATGGTGACATCACTGTTGCCTGGGGGCCGCCCAGTTGGGGACTCCTTTCATGTCCCCGTTAAGTTGCCCACCGAGGTGGTACCCATTTATCTACTTGCAGTTGCTTGCTTTCAAACTGCTGGGTTGGCATGGAGCGCGTGATGGGAACTTGCCCCATTCCATGGCAGCAACCAGATCTCGAATGCGAACCTGCCAATAGCCTAGCATCCTAGCCTTGTGAGCCACCATGCTCCTCAAGCTTTAGTTCCTTAGTATATACCTCAGGTGAACTTATAACTGTTCCTTTATTTTACGTAGTGGATGTTCCTTCAGCTGGTGCCTTCTTGGAATGGATCATTGAAACAGCTTTTAAGTGAAGCAGATTCCTGGTTCTCCAAACGCAGGAAAGGTTTGTATGAAAAGCTTTGTGAATATTCTGCATGTTGAAAATCTCTGCTTTCCTCAGTATCAAGATTCCTACAGTATCTTCAGCTAACTCTTCATTATGGGCGGTTCCATATTGGCCCAATATGTATTTCTTTTGTGTGGGGTGGGAAATTTATAAACCATAATCTTCCACTAGTTTTCCCTCTGAGTCACTTTTACTTTTAAAAGCAAATCAGGATATAATCCTATTAAACTGTATCCGAATTGACTTCTCCGTTGGGACTGATAAACTGCCTACAGACTGCAGTGCTGCTTTTCAGTGAATAGTAAAAAATATGTTTGAACTCTTAAGAATCTGCTTTAACTTTTCAGATTTTGAGGATGGGATCTCATTCTTGGAAACGGAACAAGGATATGCATTTATACCCGTGTTCAAATATCTGAGGCTGCAGTATATAATCAGCGATCTGGCATCCGCAAGAATTATTGAACGAGACAGCCTGATCCCTGCAGGTAAGAATGGAATAGCCTGTTTTCCCTCTCTATCATGCCAGACACTTGAGAAAATAAAATCAGAATTGAGTTTATGGGTCCTTGGAAGAGTCCCCACGTATAGCAAATAACAATTTGTGTGGACGTGCCTTGGTAGTAAAATCGGTGAATCATTGAACCTAGCTTCAGGCACCTAAGCTACTTTGTGGCTAGGTTTAAATTACTTCTCTACTTCTCTGACGTCCCACTGTGTGGAAAAAGAGTAAAGGGGGTCGTAGCCTTTCCTCTTCTTGCCCCCCACTTCCTCCTCTAAACTTGCTGCTTACAGGGTCTGTTGCTTAATGACTCTAATGAAGTGGTTTGAATTTGTTGCTACAGTATTTGTTTTTAGACTCTGCTTTTTTAAATGGTTGCAGATATGGGGGTAAATAAACTGCTCAGAGTCAGTTTTGATTGGGACAGAATAGAAGCCTTGTAAAAATATTAAGTGCTGCTTAACTTTCTTGCCTCGTTTTACAAAAGGCCCACTTTGATCTTTCTGAATTTTAGACTGGCTGTTCTCTGTTTACAAACAGCAGTGGTTTGCCATGCTTAGAGCAGAACAAGACAATGACGTTGGGTATGTATAATGCCTCTTTCTCCGCCACTGAGGAACACCTCTTGCAATGTTCCTATAAAGAGAAAACAAATTTCAGCTTATCTTATCAAGTAACTGAAAAGCAGCCTAGCTATTCCTTATTTCAAAAGAAGTTTGGTGTAGTTGCAGCAATACTTTATTATAGGATCAAAAGTGGAAAGGCTCAACACCACCGGCCACAAAGGAATGCTCGGGGAAGATGATGGAATTGACAGATGTGGCTAAAGTAACTTCTTTGAGGCAATGTGGACATTTGTGGCAGCTTAGAAACCGTCACAGTGGTCACCAATCTCTCTGCCTCGGCAGCCCTGCAGCAACAGTGTGGTACTTTTTGCAGAGAAAGTCTTTTTTTCACCCAAAAATACTGCTTGCCAACAAGCATTACTAAAAGTTAGGCAGAAATATTATGTGCTTTGATTTCCAAAAAGTTTTTGACTTTACCTTCAATGGAAATCTTGAATAACGTAGCAGGACTAGCATAGCAGAGCATGCTTTTCAGTGAGTGGAAATTGCTAACGAAGAAACGGTCAAGATTGAATTATGTATAGCTTGCATCTGAATTATGGAAAGTAATCCAGGTTACTGGATTATTCCCAATTATTCAGAATATAACGAAAGCTAAACAGTGTTGTAAAGATTGCCAGATTTCTTCTAATGAAGTGACTGTGCACTAAGGGCACAGTCTATTAGAAAAAGGAATTCTCAAGGGGTATAAGGGTTGTATTTGGGTGGTGTCCCTTTGAGTTGGGCAGATTCCTCTTCTAGTAGTTGTCAGTTGATAACTTCATTTTTGGTTCTTGTACTTCTGGTGCTATTCTGTGAGTCCTCTTCACATTATGACCTTTTAGCCTTGGGTTAAAGTTCGGCAACCTTTGTATTGCGGGGCAGGTATAGATCCTTTGCCAGGTGACTTTCAGGGCGTGGAAAGTACTTCTTGCTCTCCTTTGTAGCTTAGGGAAAACATAGAGAAAGTAGAGCAGAATGTGGCTCTTCTTCTCATTTGAACCTCATCACTCGTGGCCCGGGGTCAGAGACACTAAGAAGCCCTGGGCAAAACAGCTCTTCCGTGCTCCATCAAAAGCCACAATATTTGTTCCTGCTCTGGGAAAGTGCGCCAGGGATTACTAGTGACCTGCTAGGGTGTTGGTTACGCAACCATGATGTACGTAGGTGGTCATTTTAGCATAACTCTTGGATGCGTTGGCCAGGAAGGCATTTCAGGACGCTTAACAAGACAACCTCCTGGGGAAAAGTGAATGTGTTCAGGCATTAAGATCTGTAGACAACCAGTTAGAATACTTTTCTTGTGCTTTCTTTTGATAGAATGCCATTTTATAGAAAGTTATTTTGTATGTTCAAGGCCTCAAGAGATTAATAAAGAGGAACTAGAAGCAAACAGTATGCGGTGTGGCAGAAAACTTGCCAAAGATGGTGATGTAAGTGCACATATTTTTCCATGTCCTTTTAAAAATGTAATTCGTTTACAGTTTTCATAAGCTGTTTGTTTCCCCAAAACGGTGTTTCCTTAACTAGATTATTTTACAAGGTTAAATACTTTGTGATTGAAAAATATAAAAACGATGGCAATGCTCATGTAGCTTTTTTAAACCACCCACGTTTTGAATTTCCCGAGCTGGCACAAAATACACAAGGTGTCAAAGTGGAGGGGGTCCTTTGCAGGTTGCTTAAAGCCTCTCCTTTAGAATAGAACCGTTTCTTCAACAACCTTTTTTTCTTTTCTTCTTGCAAGTATTGCTGGCGATGGACAGGCTTCAACTTTGGCTTTGATCTGCTGGTCACGTACACCAATCGTTACATTGTCTTCAAACGCAACACGCTAAACCAGCCCTGCAGTGGCTCCGTCAGTTTGCAGCCCCGGAGAAATATCGCTTTCAGGTGGGTTCCCTCTCTTGTTCGTCTCGTTCTCCATTGCTAGAAGGTGATAGAATAGAATAGAATAGAATAGAATAGAATAGAATAGAATAGAATAGAATAGGCCAAGTGTGATTAGACACACAAGGAATTTGTCTTGGTGCATATGCTCTCGGAGTACATAAAAGGAAAGATATATTTATTTGTGGTTAGGATAATAGTTTGTGTTTAGGATAATGGCAGACACCAGCCTGTCACCATGATCATAAATGTGAGGCAGGGGTCTTCAAACTTATCAACTTTAAGACTTATGGACTTCAACCTCCAGCTATGCTGGCTGGGGAATTCTGGGAGTTGAAGTCCATAAGTCTTAAAGTTGCCAAGTTTGGAGACTCCTAATGTGAGGGGTAACAGGCCACGTCGTCTTCCCAAGTGCAAAGATGTGTCGTGCCTTTTACCAAATAGGGCGCTGGATGGCTCAGCGGTTAAAAGACACCGAGCTTGTCAGATGGAAAGTCGACAGCCTGGGTTTGAGACCCGAGTGCCATGCTCCTGTTCTCGCCCCAGCCCCTAGCAGTTCGAAAGCAAGCAAATGTGAGTAGATAAAGGTACCACTTCAGTGGGAAGTAACAATATACTCCGTGACCTCATGCTGGCCACATGAGAGCAGAAACATCCTGAGACAACGTTGACTCACCGGCCCTCGAAACAGAGAGGAGCACCGACAACGGCTAGCAGAGTGAAATCCGCAGGGACTCCCGTACCTTTTACGAAAACAAAGTCTCCTCAGGGCTGCTAATGAGCCAACTGGGTGTGTTTTCAGTCCAAAGGACTCTTGTGTTGGCTACACATTGTTCTTGGCCCTGTAATCAGCTTAGAAGAGATACTCCTTTTTATTTTTATTTTCATTTATAAGATAAGATCATCTTTATTGTCGCTTTTTTGTGAACACAATTATACGGGGGGGGGAGTTGTTAAAAAAATTGATTTGCTGACCATCTCATATCCAATAACTCTTTCACCCTCCCTTCAAGGAAAAAAAACCACAACCTCCTTTCTCCATTGATTTTATTTATTCGTTCGTTTATTTATCAAATTTTAAAACCACTTAGTGTAATTTCTCTTCTGACCTTAGGCTGCGCCTGGCTTCTTTCCATAGCAGTGGAAAGCTTATTTGTAGCAGAACTGCAGGATATCAATTACTAACCCTCGAAAAAGATCAGGTATGTATATGCAAAGCTTTTGGTTCATTTTAGCTAGCAGAGTCGGAGAAGAAAGAGTAGGGTTCTCATAAGAAGCAGGAGAGATAAACAGAAATGATCGGGGTTCCACCCTTAGCTATCTTGAAACGATGTTGTCCTGTGACAACACTATTTGCAGGCTGTCCTCTCACTGAGGGCTTCTGACTGTTTCAGCTCCACTGAATGTCAAGAAGGTAGTTGGGCCACATCTTCAAAGCTGGAAGACTGCCTGTCTGTCTCCCTGCAGAAGAGAATAGCGTCAGATTGCTTCTTCCCTCCTGCGAAGCACTAAGAAGAAAGTCGAGTGAAATGCAGTATTTATTACAGCTCTCGTCAAATGATTGGAGAAAATTCCTTTCCTCACAAACTGCAAAATTTCTGGGCACAAGAAGGAAGGATGTTTGTAAGAATATCACCCGTAGGCTACTCGGTTGCAAGCAATTGTGACAGGCAGCCAGTTCCTTTCATTGTATTCAGGCATTTAAACCTACGAGAAATACTGATTTGAAATCTCCTGATACAAATGAAAGCTGGCAGGATAAGCTGGCCCCTTCGGTGGTTGCTGTTCAGGTGGAGGATGCTGGAAAGATTAAAAATCCTAAGAAAAATGCAACTAGAGAAAATATTTAGAGAAATAATGGTTTTCTCCTGTACGGATTCAACTGAGGGATGATGCTTGATTGAAAATTGCCTCTGAAGTTACATGAGAACGTTAGGAAATTAGTTTCAGAATTTCTAGCCTTTTCTCTAAACCTTTTGTGCAGGGTTTCTGAAAGCATTTTTATGTTCAGTCTGGTATCTATTTATTTATTTGCTTTTTAGGAACAAGTAGTGATGAATTTGGACAGCAGGCTGCTGGTCTTCCCTCTGTATATCTGCTGCAACTTTCTGTATACCTCCGCCGAAAAGAGGAGAGAAAACGATGGGCAGTGAGATAACCCAGCCAGCTGAGATTGACTTTTGAAATGTCTTTGTGTGGTCATTTTCATTTGGAAGCTCCTGGTGCCTTGAAAGAAACATCGTGAAATGCTCTTATCTATTGAAGAAAAAGAGAGAGGAATCTGATATCCTATGATTGTCAGCTCCGGCAGCTCCAGCCGGCATGACTAACCGGTGAGGTATGTTGGGAGCTGTAGTTTTTGAGGAATTGTGAGCCACAGGTTCCCCACTCCTGCTGCAGCAGATAAATGCGATGCCCACCTCACCTCTCTACATTCCTATGCCTGTCTGAATTTTCTCCTGTGAATTCTCGGCCCTAGAGAATGACACAGACTATATAAGGATTGCCACCAGTTTCTTGACAGTACAGAAATACTTATTAACTGAGCCTGCTTAATTAAAAGGGAGTAGGATGATATATCAATAAAGCCCACAAATTAACTTTAATAGAGAACACCGTTTTTTTATGGTCTCTTGATTTGTTCTTCTGACCAAGCCCTTCATTGTTAAGGGTCAGTTCCTGGCTTGATGAAATCTCTGGATTGTCTTTAATTCATTATACCTGTAAATACTTCCTATTGAGTTGAAAACTTTGTATAATATATCCTGTTTTGTTTCCGAGAAATATATATATATATTTTTAAACATTGGTTGTATTTTTTTAAGAGTCATTTTGTAGAATCCAGCTGCCTCAATTCAGTATTTTTAATTCATCAGATCCATCATTTAATTCTTGGATATACTTTTTTAACTTTTTGGGTTTTGACTTGGAAAAAAAAAAAGCACTCCCAAACCCCGAAGCGAGTGGGTCAGCCTCTGCTAGTCAGGCGGCTACGTCCAGCCCAGGAGAAAAGGGGCTATAGCTGAGAATGGCCTTTTGACCCGCAGGTCTCTCTGATCTCTTCTGATCTGTGGCCAGAAGGGCCCCGGAGAGGGGGAAATCCTGGATCCCGGGTAGCCTTCAAGGCACCCAAGTCCCAGGGGACTGAAGGTACACGCCACGGGTCTCAGGACTTCAAAAACTAGCCTGTTAAATAGAATCATTGAAAGGCCTTTTTTTTTTACTGAACTCTGACTCAAGGGAAAATGTAAACCCCATCTTCAGGAATTTAGAACTTTTTGAGTTGTATTTTTTATTTGAACACTTTCTTTACTTTGCATAAGATAAGATTGCTATTCCAAAAATCGTCTATCCTTAAACACTTGCTATAATATTTAATTCAAAATATATCCCTCATTGAGTTATGAAGGTAAAATGTCTGGTTCAAGACAGTGAAACAGTGACAGATTGAGAATAAACTATCTGTTGCTTAGACTTTTTCATTGTTTATTTTGTTTTGGGGAGGATTCATTAAAAACAATTGTTAATCCTGGCTTATATGCCATTTTGTAACACAACAAGAACTCACCTATTTTGTTTTTCTATTATTAAGTATATTAGGTATAATCTTGTGCTGGCACAATAAAATTACACAGCTTGGTAATGAAGGTAAAATTCAACTTAATTCGTGTTAATTCAATTCAATTCCAAAAAGGAAATGTGTAGTCCTTGTGGCTGCAGAAACGTTCCAGGCAAAATGTGTGGACTGCTGGCTGAAGGCTATTAGCGGGGTTACTATAATATGCTCAGTGACAAATTTACAGAAATCCACTTTAGTTTAGTCAGGAAAGGTTTTCACCCAGTGCTCGCAAGTAGAGAAATATTGGTCTCAAAAAAAGGGGGAGTATTTGTAGCTCAGGGTTGAAGTGAGGGATCCTTGGTGCTCTCGGAGCTTGGTTGTTTTCTTGCAGACGTTTCATGACCCAAACTGAGTGACATCAGGGGTACCCAGCAGGCTCCCGGTCAATATTAATGCTGAATATTTTTATTTACAAGGATGTCTTTTGCCCCACTAGAATCTCCCTGATAGAGAGTAGCAATAGCACTTAAGACTTATATACATCTTCACAGTGCTTTACAGCACTCTCTAAGCCAGGGGTGCCAAAATAGCAAAGGACCAGCCCACAGTGCCTCTGGCAGCCAAAACAGGGCATGGGGGCGAGAAATTTTCGGCCTGGACGGCCTCCTGAAGCACTCTGCCGGCCAAAATGGGGCGCCCGATGGAGGGGGGGTTCTAACTAGGATCAAACTCACAACCTCCTGATTGTGAGGCAAGAGCTCCATCTCTAGGCCACCACACCACTCAGTTGCTGTCTTAAATTAAAAAAACTATTTCTGAAGTTTTTTTTTTCTGAGATATAGAATAAAATATAAATATGAAAAGTTCTTTACACACCCTAACCCCAATGAAATCATTTTGTTCAAGGAAGACTTCACACAAATGTATTTATTTTGGGAGGGGTGGTGGGTTATAGACGAAGCCTTCTGGAAGTGTAGAGTTGTGGGTTCAAACCAATTGATGGATCCAATACAGCAGAAGACACGGTCAATTCTTTCTCCAATGGTCTGTGCTGTAATCCTCTAGGGATCTGAATTCTGCCCTTTCCCTTCCCATCCAGAGGATTCAGCTGTGTCCCTGGTAACCAAATGCAACCAAGAATTTCTCCCCATTTAAGGGAAAGTTCCAACTGGAGAGATGCAGAACATGGCTGCTTTTGCCTGGGGAAAGCAAGGGTGGGGGCGTACACTTTCCTGCATTTGCCATTGAGTGTCTCTAATCTTTCCTAAGCTTTTTGGAAGAAAATATACATCTTTGGAAGAAGAGAGAATTAAATTGTGGAAGCATCCATCAATCGTTTTCTGGGAACTCAAAGGCTAAGAATGTATTGCATGTGAAATGATCTTAATTGTATTTATTTATTTATTTATTTTTGAATTTGTATACCGCCCTTCTCCCTGAGGACTCAGGGCGGTGAACAGCCAAATAAAAACATCAAATACAAATATTAAAACACATTTAAAATATATATATAGATTTGGCCCCATTAATTAAAACGATAAACAAAACAAAACAAACAAGCCAAAGTATGGCTGCAATTTATCTTGACTCCAAGTGCAACTCATTCCATCTAGAAATGAAAGTGAAAGTAAGAAATGTAGTTAGCGACAGTTTTCTGTACATTTCTAAGAATTCCTAGCAAATTAGAGAGTGCCTCTGGTGGTTGGTAGGAAATTTCATTTCAGGTAGGGGACACAGCGCTCCCTGTGGCTGACCTGGGTATTAAAGCCCCATTGCAACAAACACTCAACGACCCACGGACTCCTTTAATGATGGCCATTGGGACCAGGTCTCAGTACATGATGCCATTTGTGTTTTATCCCAAAGGTGTCTCTTACGCCAAACTGATGCTTGGTCTCCCTGAGCCCTGATGTGGAACCCTGAGTAGGCCAGTGGCATCTCTGTGGCAAAGAGATTGGACCTGCTCCTTCTCACCTCCTGTTCCTGGCAAGGGAAGCAGGGAAGAAAAGCCAAATGAGACACGGGCCTCAAGTCTACTCACCTGCTGCCTGAGCTGGTGCATAAAGTCCATCTCGGTGGTCTCCATTTTTATATGCTCCACAGTTGACTCATGCGGCATCTGAGAGGGAAGAGATCAAAATGAAAGTGAAGAGCCACCTTCAGGGATTCCCCTTCAGGCACCCAACGGAAGCAGCCAGGAGCAGCATGGAGCTGCTGGGGAAAAAGGCTGCCCCCTAGGTCAGCTCACAGGACCCCTGCACCCCATTTCCTCTTCCCCCCCCCCAATTCTTGGTTATGCCCACATACCAGAGCCGCTGGGGCCCGGAAAACGTAGCTGAAAGGATAATAGAGGAAGTTCACAAAGGAGGCGGCATAGAGGTCTGCGTAGCGCATCAGCTGATTGGCAAAGAGTGTCTGACGGGAGCCACAGTGGAAGAGGCTTCCCATCTTCCCGTAACACATGTCCATCTCGTGGGTGACTTTCTGCAAGAGGAAAGTGGCCGCTCTTAGGAGCCTGATTTTTACAGAGCTGGATTTCTGGAGACAATGATAACCGTTTGTCTGAACAGTACAGGGTCCCTGCTTGTTCAGGGGGGTGGACTAGAAGACCTCCGAGCTCTCTTCCAATTCTGTTATTCTATGACTTCTATAACTTTGGTGGATCACCAGAACATCATCAGCCAACGCCCCCAGCTGTCGGTCTACCCTTCCCGTCCTTTAACTGTAGATTTCCATGCCAAGAAAGCAGAGAGGAAATTCTCTCCAGACTCCCAGCCCTTCTGTACAATAGATACCACGGGGAGCTGCCATCAACGTGGGGGCATCTGCAGGGTGCTGCCAGGCCTCTCTCTTTTCTCCTGGGATGCAACTGCAGGGGTGGGGAGGAGAGGCTGCTCCCCTCCTGCCCAATTCCCCACCAGCTCCTCTCCCTGCAGCCAGTTCCCCCTCGAGGCTGCTCAGTATTTTGTTCTACTTTTCTTTGGGAACTTTCTGTAGTTCTTTCTCTGGAAGGCCAGGGCCCCCCCAATGCTCCATGAAGGGAGGAGGGGGGTGATCTGAGCCTGGCTCCAAGACCTGCCATGCAGGACTGAGACCCCAAAGAACGGGGGTGGGGGGGAGAGAGCAAAGGAGAGGGATGAGACCTGGATCTGCTTCTTGATGGAGCTGATGTCTGGGCATTCACTGCTTCCACTGTCCAAGTGCCTGGAAAAGACAAAGCAGGAGGCCTGAGCCCAGAAGTCTTCCTTTGCTCAGACTGATGCCCAGCCAAACCACCTCAAAGGGGAAGCAAAAGCCACCTCAGCCCCGCTTTGAGACACTCTTCCCAAGTTGCCTCCTGACCACTAGGACGAGTTCTCCATTCCCCATAGAGTCAGCAGATGTCCCTATCCCTCCGTGTAGAAAAGTCACGCTGGATGCAATCTCAGATTAAGGAGAAACTTCCTAACAATACGAATTCCAATTAACCAGTGGAACAGCTGCCTTCCAGAAGTTGTGTGTGCTTCATCACTGGAGGGTTTTTTAAGAAGAGACTGGACAGCCATTTGTGCAGAATGATATAAGGTCTTCTGCTTATGCAGGGGGTTGGACTAGAAGACCTCCGAAGTCCCTTCCAACTCTGTTATTCCGTTCTCTAAATCCACCCACCTTTTTAAGCAGAGTGACTGTTTTTTCCAACTGCAGCAGGCAATTTTGAGTGGAGCAAAAACACAGCCAGGGCAGTCCACCAATCCCTTCCCTTAAATGATTCTGTATTAAAACCAGGGTGGATTTGATTTAAATCAAGTCAATTTAAATCACGATTTAAATCACGATTTAAATCACTAGTAAAAAGGCTTGATTTAAATCAACTCGATTTAAATCATAATTTTTAAAGAACAACTGTCATCTCCGTCCCGCAGCGGCTCCTCCTCTGACCTGCTGTTGATTCGCCGACAGTCCCAATATTACGGAACATACAGCCTCATGCTACATAACTAAGCTCCGTTTTATGCTGAATAAACTAAATTACTAATGTATCTTAAATAGAAGAGTATCTTTAGATAGATTTTTACTTCAAAAGCATTTTATTAAAATTTAAATTTGATGATCAAAAAAATCCGATTTAAATCAAAAAAATCTGATTTAAATCAAAAAAAATCTGATTTTTTTGATTTTTTTAAAAAAATCATTGATTTTTATCCACCCTGATTAAAACTGTGAAGGGCAGCACCAGCAGCCGGCCTCACTCCTGAAGAGGTTCAGGCCAAGTTTAAGTCTGGCCACATCGATGTGGCTGTGAAGAGCATCCGCTTACGATCCAGGCAAAATGCGAACGGGTCAGAAAGGATCTTACTCACTGGTACAGTTCAGCCAGGAGAGCATCCAGACGCCTCAACTCGTCGAAGAGTTCTGTAAAGAGAAGACGGCTTTAGCTGATGGCCCCAAACGGAAGGGAAACTCAGCCAGAGCAGCTCCCAGGGACGGAGGGCACGGGGGCTCTTTGAGGTCTCTGAAACGGGTGCAGATTCTAGCCAGGGAGAGATCAGACCACGGCTGGAAGATTGGAAGATGGCTGAGCTTAAGTTCTAGCCAGAGGCCCTCCCCAAGGTCTTAGGAGACACCTGGGACCCTCTCTCTCCCCACAGGCGGATGGAACCTCACCACTCTTCTCTGTCCACACTGTCAGCTCCTTCGCCACTTCCGGGACTACCAGGAATGTGCGCCATCCTTGCCTCTTCTTAGATTTGAGAATATCCCCAAAGATATGATCCCCAATGTACAGGATCTCCTTGCCCTTCACGCCCAGGAGGTCACAGATCATGTCCGAGGAACCTAAAATCAGAGGGACGTCTTTCATTCTCACGTAGGTTAACTATGGGGTTTTTTTTAACTTATTATCCATAATTCCATACTGTATTATGTGGATTAATTTTCAATTTTCACCTTCAAGCAATGTACTAACGTGGGCCATTACTATTGGCATATTGGGGGCAATTCACTCCAGCACTGGGGATGCATCTGCCACTGCCTTCAGTCTTCGGGTAGATACAGGGAGTCCTCGACTTACAACAGTTCATTTAGTGACCATTCAAAGTTGCAACGGCACTGAAAAAAGTGACTTACGACCGTTTTTCGCACTTAACAACCTTTGTAGCATCCCCATGAGCACCTGATCAAAATTCAGAGGCTTGGCTACTGATTCATACTTACGACCTTTTCTGTGACCTTCTGACGAACAAAGTCAATGCGGAAGCCAGATTCACTTAACAACCGGGTGACCAACTTATCAACTGCAGTGATTCACTTAACAAATGTGGCAAGAAAGGTCGTAAAAACGGGGCGAAATTCATTTTAACAAATGTCTCACTTAACAACAGAAAGTTCAGGCTCAATTGTGGTCATAAGTCGAGGACTGCCTGTATTTAGTAGCAGGAAGGACAGGGTCAAGTTTCAGGAGGCCGCCTCTGGCCCTTGCCCCTCGTTTCCCTTCAGAGGAGGGGATTTTCCACTTCTGCCAGCACAGACCCGCCTAGAGCAACCATTCATACCAATAGGGGCCTCTCCTATTGGCAAGGGGTGTGCCCCAAAGCCATGTCTGCCCACCCAACAGCAAACTGGTCTTCTGCTTGCCAGTGGGGGATCAAAGCCAAGGGATGTAGAATATCTACGTTGCTGCCAGTCCTCCAGAGCCATGGAGACTGGAGAATTGTGATAATTTTTTACCCCGCCTTGCCATGGAGGTGGAGAAAAGAGGAATGTCCAATCCCAGAGAATAGTTGCAGAATCTGAGAGCGGAAGGCTCCGCGGTCTCCTGCAGCCAGAAACTGGCTTTGCCATCCCCACCTGTTTCCGCTCACCTCCCTGCTTTGTTACGAAGGCAGAACGTGGGTTGGAAATGCACTTTAAAATCTAGCCTCGTTATCAGATATCAGCATTTTAGTCTGCTGTGCAAGAGGGGCTCTATTTATTCTCCCATCCGCTTGCAAAGAGAAGCACAAGGTACTTCTTCCCGAGGTCTGTAAGGGGAATAGCTATCGGAAAGACAACAGGCCCAGAGGGATGCCCAGGCCCCTTTACCTCCAGAATAGACAGCACAGTGCTGATGTGGTCCTGTGTAGGTCCCAATTCGCAGCTTCCCCGTGTCCTGAACACAAAGACAGGGCTTTACTTCAAGTAACCCAGCTCAGCACACAGACAATCCCTCCATCTTTCCAGTGGTGAAATTCCAATTTTTTTTACTACCAGTTCTGTGGGCGTGGCTTGGTGGGCGTGGTGTGGCTTGGTGGGCGTGGCAGTGGACAGGGCAGGGGAAGGATACTGCAAAATCCCCATTCCCTCCCCACTCCTGGGGGAAGGATATTGCAAAATCCCCATTCTCTCCCCACTCTGGAGCCAGCCAGAGGTTGTATTTGCCGGTTCTCTGAACTACTCAAAATTTCCACTACCGGTTCTCCAGAACCTGTCAGAACCTGCTGAATTTCAACCCTGCGTCCAACCCACAGGTCTATGGATAGGCTGGGAAGCTCAACCCCCAGCAGGGAACTCCTTCCCTCCAGCGTCTTCTAGCTTATCATCCTTGCCCATCTGTTTCCTTTTGAAGAGTTCCCATTTTCCCCACATCTGGAGTCTGTTTCTTGATATGGTTTTTCCCACAGTAAGTAATTCTCACAGTGGGGGAACAAGCAAAAGAAGAGCAAAACGACTGTCCCTTCAGTATTCGCTTTACTCCAAGATAACCTACGTCCTGCCTCCTTGAAGAAGCAAAGCCAAGTTGGGTTCTGACTGAGGGAGAGTCTATATATATATAGAGTCTATATATATATATCCACCAGACCAATAAAATATTACATCCCAGACTTTAGAAGACCAGGATGACAATGAATCCTTCCCTGTTTTCATGAAGTTCATCCTAGATCAGGTGTCAAACTCAAGGCACGGGGTACTTAGATCTGGCCGGCGGGGCCGCCGTGGAAACAGCAAATAACGTGGCCAGATCGACGTCACTCGTGTCATGGGCGCCTGTGGTGGCTCATGCGCTCTGCCAGCAGACAGAAAATGACTCCCAAGCTCCGTTTTCAGCTGTGACAGCCTCCTGCAGTGAAAACAGTTGCAGGAGGCTGTCGCAGCCGAAAACGGAGCTCTTGGCCCTGTTTTTGCTGGCAGAGCGCTCAGGCCCCCACTGGCGCCCCTGACACAAGTGACGTCGAGCTGGCCACGTCCACCCTGGCCATGCCCCCACCACCCCTGAGGTCAAACACAACTCTGATGCGGCCCTCAATGAAATCGAGTTTGACACCCCTGTCCTAGATCCTGCCCCGCTCTTCTCCCGCCAGCCTCTTTGCTTTTGTCCCTGGGAGGCACGTACTATGTTGACTTGCCGCAGCACAGTTCCCTCGGCAAAAAAGAGGGGCTTGCGAGTGTCCACAACAATCAGATCAAAGTAAGAGCGCCAGGGTCGATGCTGGGATTTGTGCTGCTGTTGGAAAAGGAACCAGTTAGGCTACTCGGCAAGCTAGAAAGTCCTGAAGGTTTTGTACTCATCACAACAAGCTCACAATGACTGCATCCATGTTCTCTCTCTCTCTCTCTCTCCCTCTTCAGATACAGACCTGTTGCATGGATTTTAATAAATACAGACCTGTTACAGATACAGACCTGTTGCATGGGTTTTACATTGGAAGTCCCAAAGGTGCTTTTTTCAGGAGGCAATTAGACTTCCTTGTTTTTTGTTGGAAGATGTTTCGCTTCTCATCCAAGGAGCTTCTTCAGTTCTGACTGGATGGCATGAACAGATTTCCAGAAAAATTGCAGATTACAGGAACCAGGAGCACCACTCAGGTGACCCTGAGGACACAGGTAAACCTCCAGGTGGCCTCAACGACCCTCTAAAGGGATGCCAATGACCAGCTGTCTGCAAAGAATAGAAATCCTTCCGTTCCGCACCATTCAGTCAGAGCGGAAGAAGCTTCTTGGATGAGAAGCGAAACGTCTTCAAAGAAAAAACAAGGAAGTTGCTTCCTGAAAAAGCATCTTTGGGACAACCAGGACCTGGATGACCGAGAACCACTGCAGACTTATATTGGAAGCTCTCTGACAATTTACATCACTAAAGCACGCGGGACTTAATAGCAGCTGTTTCCCAGGGAAGACACGAAAGGAAGGGCAGCCCCAACGTTCCCTACGGTTTGGCAGGAAGGCCTGTCCCCAGCCCAGTAGTAGTAGTAGTAGTAGTAGTAGTAATAGTTGTTGTTGTTGTTGTTATTATTATTATTAATTTAATTTGTATACCGCCCTTCTCCCAGAGGGGACTCAGGGCGGTGAACAGCCAAAATTAAAAAACATACAAATACAAAAGTTAAGATAATTAAAAAGAATTAAATCACTGGCTTCCCAATTTAAAACCCCCAAATCCATAAAATTTAAAATCCCAATTAAAAACCATTTAGGCTAGGCCGGCTTGATGGAATAAAAACTTCTTCAGGGCTTTACGGAAGGTCCAGAGGTCCGGGATCAATCGTATTCCAGGAGGTAGCTCGTTCCAGAGGGTGGGTGCCCCCACAGAGAAGGCCCTCCCCCTGGGGGCCGCCAGCCGACATTGCCTGACTGACGGCACCCTGAGGAGGCCCTCTCTGTGAGAGCGTATTGGCCGGTGGGAGGTTATCGGTAGCAGCAGGTGGTCTCGCAAATATCCTGGCCCTAAGCCATGGAGCGCTTTAAAGGTGAGAACCAATACCTTGAAGCACACCCGGAAGACCACCGGGAGCCAATGCAGCTCGCGCAGGAGAGCAAGTTACCTTGCTGCATGTTGCAATCCACACGAATTGACCCATCCAGATGCTGCTGCTAATGGCCACCTGGGCCTGAAACATCATCTCACAGGTTGACTTACCGTGTTTCCTTCACTGAAGTCAAGTAAGTATGTCATGATTGCCTGGAAAGAGATAATAAGCTCAGCGCTACTCTCTTCTGCAGTGAAAATCCCGCCGGGGTTCAACGGCCTCGTTACGCAGAAGACAAGGACGGAAAATCCATCAGGGTCTCTTCCACGCATCTCCCTGCCACTGACCTCCTCCCACCGCACTCTCTGTGTCCGTAGCAGCTGCAAGACCGGCCAGCCAAATGGTCAGTCTGGCACTACTACCGTATCTTGAGCATTACTTACGTCCGTGTAGTTGTAGTCACTGTTGGTGGCAAGAAACATTTTCCCTGCGTCCTTCATGCGACTCAGCAGAAGAGGAATACGGGGCTGTAGGAAAGGAGACGGAAACGAGCGGCAGATCAGAGCCCGGCTTCCCCCTGCAGCGGCGGCCTGAGTGACTACAAGAGGCGGCCTATCAAGGTGGGATTTCAGGCGCTGGAAATGGGCATTTTCTGCAACAGCTTTCACTCACATCTTTCACCACATATTTCTCCAGGTTCTTCAGCATCTTCTCCTTGAGGCAGCCCTAGGAGAGCAACAGAGGAGGCCACGTGAGTTCGGGACCACGACCAAGATTCGTGTTAAGTTACCAGTAGTTAGTGTGATTTTATCAATGTATTTTGATGTTATTTTTAAGCTGCCTGGGAATTGCAAATACAAGGTGTGACTAGGTGGTGAGTTCTGGTTTGGTTTTGAGTGGCTTTGAGTGTCTCTGGACTCCTGGAACTCTCTGCCCTTTTTTCGGCCTCATTTTTAAAGGGGTTTGCATTGTCCCCTATTTCTTGCTAGTGAGAAAGACTGGCTCAAAATCACCCAGTGAGCATCATGCCCACGGCAGGACTAGAACTCAGGTTTTTCCCACTCCTGATCCAAGACCTCAACCATTAGACCAGTGTTTCTCAACCTTGGAAGCTTGAAGATGGGTGGACTTCAACTCCCAGAAACCCCCAGCCAGCGCTGCTGGCTGGGGGATTCTGGGAGTTGAAGTCCACCCATCTTCAAGCTACCAAGGTTGAGAAACACTTTACTAGACCAAGCTGGCTCTTAAGTGTGACTCACTGTAATAAATAACGCAAGGAAATATCTCAGTCTATCCGAAGCTCATTTCTACATCCACGCCCTTGTCTAGCCGTCGCCTCCTCCTCTTCCTCCTCCTTCCCCCCACCTCTTCTGCTTACTGAAAGGTGAACATAATCCATGGCCTCTCGGACATCTTGGTACATGCTGCGGAAGGACATGAAGAGGTTGCCCTGCCTGTAGCCGGTCTCACAGCTGAAAGAGGAACAAGGTGATGAGATCAGCCCCAATTCCTCACAGCAAGGAGAGACCAAAAGTGAAAGAAAAATGGCAAACTGGCACAGAGTTTCCAGCCTCTGCCCCTTGGCACACGGAGGTTCCCAGAAGGCTCTAAAGCCCCGTGCAGCACCTCCCACCCAGATGAGGCCAGGCTGGACCACCCAAAGGCTTGAGCCACTTACTTCGTGTATCTAGAGAAACCAGTGAAGAAGTCCACGAGACAGGCCAAGAGGTAGGTTTCTGTGTGGAAGGAGAAAAGGGTGAGCAAAGGACCCCTCTAGGCCAAGGGGGAGCCCCCACTTCAGGGGCTGAGACTCTGACAGCTCAACTTAAACCAGAGGTGGTCAACTTTGGCCTGCAAAGTTGCCATGCTTGGGAAATCATTTGCGCCACACCATGAGATCAAAGATTGCACTTGCCAAACATCGTCACTTGCTCCTCAAAGGAATCCATTTCCTCTTGGAAGCCTCATCTGAATTGGTGCCACAGGCTAAACCGCAAAGAACTCTAAATAATGTTAACACAAGGTGTCGCATGTTGTGCAAATGCAGCTGCTGGATCTTAAACCAGCTCGGCTAAATAAGTGATTATAAGCTTAGCCAAAATAAGTCATGGGGAAACGGTTTAAAATATAGCGGTACCTTGGTACTCAACTGCTTTGAAACTCATCAAATTTGATACCCAACGCATTTTGATGCAGAAATTTTGTCCCGATACTCATTGTTTGTTTAGGACTCAACCCACAAGCTAGAATTTGCCAGTGCCTTGTGACTCACTATACTACTCCTTATGAGAAAAATTTGTTTGGCGCTCATCGTTTTTGATACTCGGGGCGCCTCCCAGAACCAAATAAGGAGGAGGTACCTAGGTACTACTGTAAGCACAAAATGCTTTAGAAAGAAAATGTGGGCCCTCCCTACACCAGGAGTCCCCAACCTCCAGGCCGCAGCCCATTTGGAACTGGGCACGCAACTGGCAGGCAAGTGCACACGCACAGCTGCTCACACAAATGGAGCTGCGTGTGCACACAGAGAATCATTTTCTCTCCTCCTCCTCCCTGCCAGTTTGCAAAACCAGAAAGATTGGGGACCTACACAAAGAATAGTACTGTTGCTCTAATAATTTTTTCTGCAGTTATCCCTCTCTTCCTTGTCAATCCTATGCAGAAAAACCTTGTCACCGTCAGAAGGAGCCCCAAGGTAGAGCAGCAATTCAGAGTTCAAGGGGTGTATTGGAGCAAGAAGTACCATCTCCACTCGCTTCCAAGTTCTTTCCCTTTATTCTCCCTTTCAAACACTCCAAACACAGGTCCAAAGCAGCTGCCTCTCTGAGGAAAGTTTGTCGAATTTTGCAATTTTGCTTTAAGTTTAGAACGAAGCATCCAACTTGAAGCAATCTCTGAATGTTTGGAGAGCTGAATTCGGGGAGAAAAAGCTGCATTTTATGCTTACCAGCTATAGGAAACAGTGGGAACTTGGCACTTTCCACAGACACGAATAGGCATCTGTGGCTGATATTCCTCTCAACAAAGGAAGAGCCAGATTAAGCCTTCCTTCGGGACAGGCAGTGCCCTGGCCTAGGCTAACCCTTCTTCCCCTTTCCCAACCCTCCCTTTGCAAATACCTGTCAAATTAAACAAAGTGTTCAGAATATGAAAACGTTTCGTGTCGTCTCTCTGAATGAATTTGTTTGGGTAGTAATTCCAGATTTCACTCCTAAAAAAAACAGAAAAACAGAAAAAGTCATCGGTGAGATGGGAACGAAGCTGTAGTGAAGGCGTACATTGCTAAGACTTTTGTCCCGAGCCGCCGGTTCTGCTGAATGTGCAAAAGGATCCAGAAAAACTCTTCTCAGCCCCCCTTGTGACCAGCTCTCTTGTGGGGGGTGACTGCCCCAAATCCAGGCTGCAGCTTTGGTAGACCTGGCTCATTAGCAGGGACCCTGGGCCTTTGCTCTGGAGCTCCAGGCTGGGCCTCTGGCAGTCGGAAGGGGAACGTGGCAAAGCTTCAGGAAGGAGAGATTCGAAATCTTCTGGAAGAATGTCAGCAGAATGTCTAACCCTTGGAGTAGCTAGAAGGGAACATGGCTCCTCTCCAATCCCGGCTTCCCTTGGTCTGCAGGCCTACAAAGAAGATGAGGACCCTACCCCTTGAGGAAATGGAAGCCATGCGCACACGCCAACAGATTGCCATGGGAGTCCACCTTCAGCAAGTTCCCATACCGGGCATCAAAGATCAGCCCCCTGAAGAATGGAAAGACAAGGTCAACTGGGTTGGCCCCCTCCCACAATTCATATCCAGCATCAAAGTCTCCAAGAGCAGCTGGACTTGGGAGGATGAAATAAGTGGGTATCTTGTTACCTGGTGGGGAAGGCAGGGTCGTACTTGTATTCCAGAATTTCGGGCGGGTACCCGATGGACACCAGCCTCTCCAGCAGCAGCTCAAAAGTCAGCTCTTCATAGTCTGGAGATGTGTACACTGCAGCAGAAAAGGGCAGAGTTCCCTTCCCGTTCCTGGCTCATCTTTTTTGTCACAAAGGCCAAAGGAAACGTAGGCAAGGTAAAAAGACCAGCAAAAAGCTCACTTTGCATGGGTCATCTCAAAAATTAAAAAGTAGGGCTCAAAAGAGCACAAACATTGGCACCGTCTCTTTGTGAAATAAGGACATAGCTTATGCCAAAGGTCCCAGCAATTTCCTGAATTAAAAACTCCCGTTTAGCCATCGTGGCTGATGGGCTGTTTTCTTAGCCTGACTTTCTCTCTTGTAGCTAGGATCCTGTATCCATCCTTATGGGTTTCCTGGAAGGGTTTTCATATCACACAAATACATTTTTATTCTCACTGAAAGTAATGGACGGAATGCCATTCTTATCAATTGGAGTCTAAGGCAGCCATGACTGACCAAAAGAGAGGAGACTGGTGATTCTGGAGGAGGGGGGGCAAAGGGGCGGCAAAAGACAGAAGGGACCCACTTGGAGGGTCTTGGCTGGAGGGGGGCAGGCAATATTTCAGTCTGTAGATGTCATCCTTGTCACTTATTCTGTGAATGAGCAACTCCCTCCCTCCCCAGAGTTTGAGGCCCACACTCAAAGTCCCAAATGTGCCTGCTAGTTCCCAAAGACTGTGGGGGGGGAGGGGTACCCTGTGTTAGCTTCAGTCTCGGCCTTCTCTCCTCATCCCGGAAACACATTGGCCCCCAATGGGTTGAATTAGAAGGAGACAGGCATGTAAACAGACTAAGACGGGTGTCAGCAACCTGCAGTTCCAGAGCCGCATGCGGCTCTTTGGCCCCTCTGCTGTGGTTCCTTGTCCCATCACTGGCTCGCCCTCCCCTCCCAGTCACTCCTTGCCTGGCCTTAGAAATCCGAGAGATACAGAGTTGGGGGGAGAGGGGGAGAGATACAGAGAGAGGGGGGGGAGAGAATGGTGAGATAGAGAGGGAAAGGGGGAGAGAGATACAGAGAGAGAGGGAGAGAAAGAGAGAGAGAACAACCAGTTCTCTGCCCTAATAACTAGCTGGGTAGGCGTGGCTAGGGGAATCATGTGACTGGGTGGGAGTGAGTGACATGGAGTTGGCCATGCCCACCCAGGTTTTGTGGCTCCTGGTGTTTTTTTTTCTGTGGGAAACGGATCCAAATGGCTCTTTAATGAGTGCTTAAGGTTGCAGACCCCTGGACTAAAACATAGGCCACAAGGATCTGTCGGGCAACTTCTCAGCAGAAAAGCGCCTCCAATACATGAAAAGCTGCAGCTGATGATCCTCCCATCCCTCCGCAATCCCAGGCACTCCAGAGGTCCAGCATCCAGGGCCTCTTACCTGCAAGGGTGTAGTCCATATCAAAACCAAAGCATTTGATCTTCTCCAGCGCCAAGCTCCGGTTCACGAAGATCCTGGGAAAGAGACGGGATAGCAAGGTGATGAGACACCCACGGACTGGTCTGGCTCTAGCCAGAGTCTCATAACTCTTTAAAAGCAGCACCTATATTTGCCTGAGAATTGGCTTGGAAAAATCAAGCAAACTTGGAAAGTAAGTCCAGCTGAACCTTTCAACTGAAATGGGCAACACAAATATTCCACCCAAAACATTCAGAAATGTCAACCTTCCTCCTGTCAGAGCTGAGATTTCATTTATATTTGCCCAAATCCCCTAAACGTCCTCCAATAATAATAATTTTATTGTCATTGTACATGTATACACAGTATACCCATACAATGAAATTCACTTAACACCCAAAGACCAGGTCCAACACACATAACAATCCCCAAACACCCCCCCACCCACCACAATTCTCCACCCCTAAACCACCCAAACATCCACACAACAGACCAAGTAATGCTGTCCAACAGTTCACTGATGGTGGCCCTTTAGTTCATGGTTGAGTGCAATTATAGCTCTGGGATAAAAACTATTCAGAAAACGTGTGGTCTGAGTTCTAATAGTTCTGTATCTTCTGCCAGAAGGCAACACTCCAAGAAGATTGTAAGCAGGATGGTTACTCTAAATCTCCTCTTTATTTTTAAGAGGAACGATTTAATTCTCCTGGAGAGAGAGAGAGAGGGAGGGAGGAGAGAGGAGAGGAGAGGAGAGAGGAGAGATATAACCAGGATTTTGCAACACATCTTGACCCAGGCAGCCCTCAACTGACCAGACCTAACCTTCATGTCTTCTGACCACCAGCAGCCGCTCCAAAGGCAGAAGCAACCTGGAAAACAATCCAAACCAACTTCCAAGAGAGCCTCACAACTGCCCAAGCCACTAGTAGGAAGTTCTTTGGTGGCTACCAGAGGCCTGTGTGGAAACTTTCAGAAGTGGGTGTCATGGTTTGTTTGTGGTTTTTTTGCACAACCCACCGGCTGCTTTTCTCTCAAGTCTGGGGGCTTCCTTCCAAGGGCCTGCGCTGTGTGGTTGCATTAAGGCTTCAGATTGCCAGCTAGAGAACTTGGCCAACTGCGCCACCATGGCAGAAGACAGAATCTGCCTTGAATGAACCTTCTCTGCCCAAGCTACCCATTAGGAATTGGCTGCTTGCCATGGCATGGCCTCAGCAACCCCTAATCTTGCTCCATATTCCTGTGCAGCCAATCATTCATCAGGACCGCCCTGTAAGAACATTTCCTGGAGCCATTCTCCAGCCTGCCAAGGGTCACTTGGGATTCCATCTGCTCGCTGAGCCTGCTCAACCGCCAGGGGCTGGCTCCCTGAAGAGACTTCCTAACGGAGAAGTTCCAACTGCTCGGAGGACCGTTACCGGCTGCCATTGGGACAGCAACAGCTTCCTCTGCCGGGGGCTGCCTGACCTCTCCCAGCCAAGTCCATTCACCTGCCGAAGAGAACTGGGAAGGTCCTTGACTTCGGCCTGTGCGTCAGAGCATTTCATCATGCTCTGCAATCCTCTGGAACAGGATGTTGCTTCATGCAATGTGTCAATAGTTGCAAGCTGCCCATCAGCCCTTCCTTTGCTCGCCCAGGTTGCTACTGCCGCCCCTGCCCCCTCCTCTATAGGAGTGTAGCCTTCCCTCCATGGGTCAAGGCCTGGTCTGCAAAGAAAACAATGCCACAAGGGTGTGTGTGTGTGTGGAGCAGGCAGAGTGGACTTTCAGAATGAGCAAACAAACCGTTGCTAGATACTAACATCCACGTTGTCAGTGCTGCTTCCAGAATCAACTGTTCTTACATTTCCTAGTGGAACCTGTAATTGCGCTGAAACGTTTCCAAGCTAAAAGTATGTTCGGACACAGTTCCATTGTCTCATTCCTTGCCATTATCTTCATGTTCTCATTTAATTTTCCACATGGCTACTAAATGTGTTAAGAGTTCAGCAACAGAGGGAGTACCGCCCTCCTGCCATATAAGTCATGGAAAACGTCTCGGACCTTCTGTTCATTCTTGATGTTGTATGCCCTTGTTTTATCACGGCCACTTCTTCAGTAGCCCACTCCCAGGGTACTCTTGCTTCCGTAAAGATGTGGGCTACTGCATTTTGGATCAATCATGGTTTTCAAATACTCTTTAAGAACAACCCCCAAGAACTGTCACCAGTTGAACTGGGTGGTTATAAGGACATGCATTCCTGCACTCGGGTCCTCCTGCCCCAGGCGAGGCTGCAACTGGCACACCAGCCAAAATGGACATAAGCATTGATGGCTGTAACTTCCCACCTGCGGAGAAACACCCAAATTGTGAACCTACTTCCTGATGTGTAGCACAGCAGCCAAGGAGCCCGATATATCCACGGCAACATGCCAGGAATCCTCTGCAGTCCAGTTCCATCCAGACCCTGACAATCTCTAGGAACTGCTAAAGGATGACCATAGCATCTCCCTTACAGCCCATTGATGATGTGCATGTGATTGAGTAATGCCAGCACACTGATGATGACATATCAAGAACCATTGCACGGCCTCTCCCATATACACATAGGACTGACTCCTGTGGCAACCCACAAGGGACCTCCAGGAAAAGGTCTTTTCCCCCACCAACACTCAGTGGAACTTGCCCAAGTATGAAATGAGCAGTTCAAACTGATTCCTCCATTGTAAAATAACACCTACGACTCCAATCCTCACAGACAGTCCAAAAATGATCAATAATACTAAATGTCTGTAGAGATTCTCCATCCTCCAGGTCCTGGTTGTCCCAAAGGTGCTTTTTCAGGAGGCAACTGGACTTTTTTGTTTTTTCTTTGAAGACGTTTCACTTCTCATCCAAAAAAACATGAGCGAAAGGTCTTCCAAAGGAAAAACAAGAAAGTTCATTTGCCTCCTGAAAAAGCACCTTTGGGACAATAATACCAAAAGTTGTCAAGAGGTCTAAGGAGACCAGGAGGGGGTCTTATCTTCCCCATCCATGTCACAACGTAGGTCTTCCGGGAGAGGGAACAATGCTATCTTCATTCCAAAACAGGAATCCTGCGTTCTATCTGAAAAAGGTCCAGATAAGTTGCCATGAAACTGGTCCACCACCATCTCAACCATCTGCTCTCAAAAGAGAAGTTTGAAAACAAATGAGTGGATCCACGGATGGTCTCTTCGGGAGGGGTTGCACCATGATTCTTTAAACTAAGGCTGCCGAAAGCTCCCCTTCCCACAATGAGCCAGGCCCAATTTCCCAGACCCAAAATCCTGGCCCTCTTCCAGGATAAACTAAGGAAGTGCAGGGATCCACCCAGCAGGTGGCAGAAGACAACCGAAACATCGTCCCATTCACTCCCTCAGGGGGCGCATCTCCCTGTAGGGAGGACAAAGCAACGTCCCGGCCACCAATGAAGATGGTTCCCCTGGAGTCCACCCTACAGTGATTCTAAGCAACTTGGTTTGCGAAATTTTGCCCAAACTGTCCCTGCAGCAACCCCGTAGGAAATGATAAAGCTCATTCATTCCCATGAAGGCGTTTACCATCCTGTATAGATGGCAGTCGTCCAACACAATAAGGGAGAAGTAGGCATAATTCACTGCCCGCCTGCCCGTGGACATGGTGTAAACCCAAACATAGGCATGGATTCGTGGTCAACCACATTCACTCTGAGACTTCTTCCAAAGATGCTCCAGGTGTTCATTTCCCTCAGTAAACCAAGGTGCCATCCCCAGTCAGAGGCACCTGGCTTGCTACCTGGACAAAACTCCTCATGGGAAACCCAGGAAAATCCCCAAGCAACAAGATCTATGGGGGAGGGGAGGGGGGGGCGAGGCAGGTCCCCCTTGAGAAAGTTCCACAAGGCTAGAACCGCAGCTGATCCAGAGCATGAACTAACAACCAGAATCAGTTACGTTATGAAATCACCCCTCCATCTCCGGATCATTCAACCACAGGAGACAAAAATGAGATCCAGAGTTACGTCCAGAGCCAAGATGCAAGAATGGAGTTTACCTGTCTGTAACAGAAACGGACCTTATTCCCACAACATAGAGAAAGAGGGTTGGAAGGGGCCTTGGAGGTCTTCTAGTCTAATCCCCCTGCTCAAGCAGGAGACCCTCCCCCATTCCAGACAAGTGGCTGTCCAGGCTCTTCTTAAAGAGCTCCAGGGATGGAGCCCCGACCTGAATAAGGAAAGGCCTCTTGTGGCATCCACAAGAACTGACTAGGCTGCCCATATTCAGGGGGGCAAAGGAATCAGCGGCGACTGCTAGCCCCCCCCTCCGTCCCTTTCGGGCTCCTTTGCTGGAGGGGGGGGCGGGGGTCTCCTTCTTGGGCGTCGTCTCCACGAGGCCCTTTTTCCTCGGGCAGATCCGGGGCGCCCCCGGGGCCCAAGCGGCCAATGCCAGGATGCCCGTCGGGCTCGGGGGTGGCAGCTGGCGCCCACAAGCGGCTTCGCCACCCAGCCCGTCCAGGGGCTTCGGAAAGCAATGCGGCCGAGAGTGACTGCCTGGGAAGCCTCCCTCGCTCCCTCCGTCCCTGCCCGGCTGCCCTTGGCCGCTTCGACGGCCCGCCTAACGCCGCGTCCTCCCTCCCTCCCTCTTCCGCGGAACCCCCGGCTCCCCCAGCCGGTCGGGGGGAAAGGCGGCTGGGCGGCTCCGCTCGACGCCGGGGCTCGGGGGATGCGGCGGGCGCGAGGTTTCCGCCTCCTCCGCCCCGACGGCGCCTCGGCTGCCCTTACCGGCGGTGGAAGCCCCGCTTGACGGGCTTGACGGGCTCGGGGGCGGCCGGGCAGGGCGGCTCGGGGAGGACGCTGCCCATCTCGGCGGCCAGGAGGAGCAGGAGGAGGAGAAGCCGGGCTGCGGCTGCCCGCTGCGTCCCCTGGCCCCGGGAGGGGAGAAGCTCTCCGCCCGGCCCGGCCCCTCCCCGGCCCGCCTGCACAGGCTTCCCGCCAGTCGCCGCCCCGACGCTCCGGCCCCGGCCCCGGCCTCACCCTGACCGGGCGGCGCTCCAGCCGCTCCTCGACGGACGGCGGCTCCTCCGGAGTGCGGGGCGAAGGCGAGGGAGGCGGCCGGAGAGGCGGGGGCGGAGAAGCAGAGCCTCCTTCAGCCGTCCCGGCATCAGCCGCCCAAGGCGCCTAGACGGGGGGACGGAGGGGGGTCTGGAGCCTCGAGGGGCTCCGCTAGGCCGAGCCCAGCCCCAAAGAAGCCGCCGCCTCATCCCACAGAAGGACGGGCCCCCTCCCTCCCCTCAGGAGTTTCCCTCTTTATTTCCCTCCCGTCCAGTTTCTCCCTCGCCTTTTGCACCTGCACAGGTAGCCCTGCCTGGCCTCCTGGTCATCTCCAAGAATGGCAGGAAGGGAGAGGAGAGGATCCGGAAAGTCTGGCCACCTTGTACCACAGATTCATTCATACCCAAAGCAGGACAGGTGTGGCCTTCAACAGGTAGGTTGGTAGGACTGCAATTGCCGCCAACCTGCCTTCCATGGAAGACCTGCAGGCTGCCCAGAAAGAGGGCTGAGAAAACCTCTGCAAACCCCTCAACTCCCCTCCCCCCCATTTGCTGCTACAGGGCAAGACTTCCAGAGTTTTAATTCATTAATTAAACTATTAGAGGCAGGGGCTTCCTTCCCCCCCCTCCCCGCCATGCCATCTCTCTGCTGCGCACCTAATCCTCACAGTCTTGTTTTATGGCTACGTAAATTCATCCGTGTTGTATGTCTGTAGTATTACTACAGGTAAGTTGGTTCGCTCCCACAGAGAGGGCCTCCTCAGGGTGCCGTCGGCCAGACAATGTCGGCTGGCGACCCCCAGGGGGAGAGCCTTCTCTGTGGGGGCACCTGCCCTCTGGAACAATCTACCCCCCGAGATACGAGTGATCCCAGACCTCCGGACTTTTCGTCAGGCCCTAAAAACTTACTTTTTTCAGTTAGCCGGGCTGGCCTGATTCCATGTTGGTTTTAAAGTTTGATACTGATTTTTAATTGAAATGTTTTAAATTATGGGCCAAATTTCATTTAATTATTTTTAAAATTATTTTGACTTTTGTGTACAAATGTTTTTATTTAGGCTGAGTCCGAAAGGAGAAGGGCGGTATACAAATCTAATAAAAGATAAAAGTTAAAGAAAGAAGTCCTCCCCTTAACAACCACAATGGAGCCCAAAATTTAAGTCGTTAAGTGAGTTTTGCCCCATTTTACAACCTTTCTTGCCTCAGCTATTAAGTGAATCACTGCGGTTGATAAGTTGGTAACCTGGTTGTTAAGTGAATCCGGCTTCCCCATTGACCTTGCTTGTCAGAAGGTCGCAAAACGGGATCACGTGACTTTGGCACACAGCAACCATCATAAATATGAGCCAATTGCCAATTGTCTGAATTTTGGGATGCTGCAAAAGTCGTTAACGGTGAAAAACAGTCACTTTTTCAGTGCCGTCATAACTTCGAACAGTCACTAAATGAGCTGTTGTAAGTCAAGAACTACCTGTACTATCCTTCTTTATTATCCCATCTTACTGGTATTATTATGGTTATCATTGTTCTGTTGCTTTGCATGTACACTGAGCTGCTGCACAGGAGACAAATTCCTTGTGTGTCTAATCACACTCGGCCAAATAAAAAATTCAATTCAGTTCTTAACTTGGGACGTTTGAAGAAGTCAAAGTAAAGATAAAAAGACATGATCAAATGGTGAATTTGCATGCAGTGATAGAGATGCAAAAATGGGGATTTAAATGGAAGAACGTGAAATTTATTCTGAACATGAGAGAAAATTATTTTAAGATGCTTTATCATCTTGATCTGCTATTAGAAGTCATAAAGAAAATTTTATAAACACTCGGTTTGAATTTGTATAAAGACAAAAATACATTCAAAAATTTAACTTTTAACTGAACTTAACGAGAAATTAATTTTAACCTTTTCCTATTCCTTTGGAGTAAATGTTACCTATATATTAGTTTGTGACTTGGCTGACTTTAATCAGAGGTTGGAGGATTGCAGCTCTCTTCAGCTCACAGCTGTTTTGTCTCCTGGCAGAGGCCGAGCTTCCAATGGAACAAACTCCCTTCCACCTGCAGAGGGATCCCTCTCCACAGGATCTTTCTCGTTTGCTTCCTGCTCTCATAAGCATCTCTCAGAGGATCGACTCATCAGAGGGATATACATGACCGGGCTGAAAAATAGCTGTCAATCTTGTCAGTGTCAGGTGGAATCAGAACAATCACACTAGGCCAGGGGTCAGCAACTTGCGGCTCTGGAGCCACATGTGGCTCTTTCACCCCTCTGCTGTGGCTCCTTGTCACTCAAAATATCACTCACAACTGCCAATGTGTGACACTTGCCAGCACAGGATTTATTGAGCTTTTCAACCCCCGTTAGGCCAACCATGGATAAATCCAAGAAAAGAAAAGTTTCAGAAGAAAACAGGTTTAATTCAACTACAGATGCTAGTTTTGTGGCTGCTCAAGAAATAGTCAGGCACGGGAAGGGTTTTGTGGCTCCCGGTGTTTTCTTTTCTGTGGGAAACGGGTCCAAATGGCTCTTTGAATGTTTAAGGTTGCAGAGCCCTGCACTAGGCTAAGGCATGAAGGATGGAGAGGTTTTGCCCCTGGGGTGCTCTTCAGAGGTGCAAAAAAGTAGCAACGTTCATCTTTTCTTCTGGGCAAAGCAATGCCATAGAGAGATGCAGAAACCCATCACCATAAATAAGTCACACCTGTCATACGGCAGCTGCGCAGAAGCCAAGTCCTCCACACCCTGCAGGAATGACATTTTGCATAAGTTCATATTTGCCAACATCCTTTATGAACTCGGGTTGGCATGCATTGGTGCAGGGGTGCTGGGCAAAGAGCAGAGACAGCTGCCGCTTTACAGGTAGTCCTCAACTTACAACAGTTTGCTTAGTGACCAAAGTTACAACGGCATTGGAAAAAAAGTGACATGAACATTTTTCACACTTAATGACTGTTGCATTATCCCCATGGTCATGTAATCAAAATTCATTTGAAGCTCCATTTGTGCAAGGGGCGGGCATGTCTTTGTCCTTGCCATAGTCGTGTGCTTACCAAACAGTCCCCGAGAACTGACCAAAGCCAGTTGTAGAGAACCAGCAGCAAGGAGATGGACTCGTGACGGTGGCAATGAGTACATCATTGTGAGACCTCAAGAACCAGTTGAGTGACAGTTCCTCCTGGAGAAAGTCTATCTTTGGGGTCCCCAAGAGTCAATAATGACTTGATGGCACATAAATTAATAACCCAGTTATTTCTGGTGGATTAAGAGAACCAGAAACTTTAGGTCCCTTACCTAAGTCTGAGTTTCCCAGCAAAATAAAAAGTCCCTGGAGCAGCTGGGACGACGCATTCCACCCAAGAAGGAAAAAGACAACAGCAACTTTATCAGGAAAAAGTGTGCATCGTAAGCTTATAGTATTTAGAATGTATAAATATTAAACATTATTTTATTTAATAGAAGTATAGAAAAGCTTCTATATTAAATAACTTCTATATAATATTGTGTATTCAAAATACATAACAGTGAAAATAAACTTTCAGTTAACTACATTTTCCCACTAGTCAGGGATTCATTCAGATCCCTTCCTTTCTGAGTAAGCCCTGTGTTCTTTAATGGGCTCGTTTCCTTTTTACTGTTAACTCTTCCAAACTTAATGGCTAATCAATATTGCTAGCCCAAACGGAGCCCAAAAGCACGAGAGAGGGCAGTGAATGGACACGAGAGAAAGATGGAACGTCCCATTCGTGGAATAGATGAACAAGAACATCCCATTCCACTATTCCAGGTCAGAAGCGCGAGAGGAAGAGTTGCGGAACAATTGACCCTTTAGATCTGACATTTAGGCATCAGAGGTTTGTCCATTGCTCCCGATTCCTTTGCAATGCCTCCGCCAGAGTTGTTGGCTCATCATTATTTCTTGCTGCCAAGGCCGGGCACATCTTCTCTAACAGCCAATTCAGGAGTTACAGCACAGGGGTCATTCTGATCCAGAAAAACTGCCGACAAACTGGAAACTTCATTCCTAGCCCCAGTTGATGGAGACAAATGTTGAAATTCTAGGGATTTTTTTTCTGCAATCTTATCAAGATTTATGATCTCTTTTGTAGGAACAGAGAAATAGGTTGTCCCTGCTAAAGATTTCCAAAAAACAGAAGGTCAGAACGATTTATTCCGTTTGCAATATTTGTTTTTCAGATTTACAGCAGTTATATCCCTTCCCCTCGTCTTCGTCAACCCTCAATACACACACGCTGCTCTGCCTAGGGCACAGCCAACACAATATACAGCACTATTTGTCTTTCTCCAGCATTCCTTCCCTTACTGCAATTGGCACTCTGGCCTCCAAACCACGTCAGTCAGGGTTTTGTCTAAATTAGACAACTACCACTTCCGACTGCAATTAATTATGCTGGCCCAATGAGAAATATCAAAATATTTAATAATCAGGGTTTCTGAAAAAAGGAGTTTCACCAACTTTTTTTATTGGTTTTTTTGATGTTTCAATTATTTCTTAATTTACATTTAAGCTCAGATTTAACTTGCTCACTTTTTGGAAAAAGATTTTTTTTAATCTTTTGTGAACTTCATTCTCATTGCTGCTGACAATTCTGTATTGGTGTGCCCAGAAAGTTTTGTGACCTGCCAAAACCATGGATCTGAACACACGTAAGAGTCCATGCCAAGGCTTACACCATTGCGATAAGAATCGTAAAATGTCATTATTTAGATAGTCAACAATTCTGGGTTTAAAATGACCCTGGAATATCTAGTTACTGTGAAAGAATATTCGAAGTATAAAATTGCTTTGGTGATGTCCTGCTGTCTTATCTGGCTACCTTGGAAGTTATTTCTTTCTGGGACTTCTGAGATTGTTAACCTGGCCAGGTAGTCTGGGAGGGAAGCACTGGATCCAACAGTTTGGGACAATTTTCCTCCAGTCTCCAATCTTCCCCTTTCTCAATAAAATTGGGCTGCAGCTTCAGAGAACCCTGGAAGAAAGGCATAGACCAGTGGCCCCCAACTTTTCCAGCTTTATGGACTGGTGGGGCTGGGGTGGGGTAATGGTTCCATGCAAGCGGAGTGTACAGCTCCATTTGTACCAGCAGCGGGCCCTCACGTGCGCATGTGAAACTAAGTGAAGCACTAAAGGTTACTTGAAAAGCTACTATAGGTAGACTTGGACTTACAACCACAATTCAGCCCAACCTTTGTTGCTAAGCAAGGCAATTGAGGTTTACCCCATTTAAGTCATGGTTGTTAAATGAATCAGGCTTCTCTACTGACTGCTCATCCGGTCATAAAAAGGAACCCTGGGACACTGCAGCCATCATGTATGCCTGTTGCCAGGCCTCTAAATTTTGATCCCGTAACCCTGAGGATGCTGCAACAGTCAAGTGTGAAAAATGGCCCCAAAGTCATTTTTCAGTGCGGTAACTGGTCACTGAACGAAGTGAGGGACTCCTTGTACCCGAACAGCGTGAGCTGCACCTTCCTGACCTTAATCCTATATAAATGCTGTGGAACAAATTGAAGTGGGTAACTCAGGCATGGGAGGTTACCAACTTTCACGTTGACTGTAAGAGGAACGGGCTAAAATTCCTACAAGGCAACGTGCAGGACTGATTTAAGTTATTGGAAATGATTGATGGCAGTTATTGCGTGGAGAGGCATACTCGTTACTGAAAGTGGCTCAGTGGCTAAGAACACTGAGCTTGTCGATCAGAAAGGTCGGCAGTTCGGTGGGGGAGCAGGGGGTTGGACTGGATGACCTCCAAGGTCCCTCCCAACTGTTAAGTTACATATTTTTGCCATACAAATTATATCTTTGAATCATTTCCCTCCATCAATATATGGACAAGTGTAATGATTTTTACTTGTTTAATTGGCTTCTCTTTATGTAGTCTTAAGAGCTTGTGTGGAGATATCATCACATTGAAAGTCATATTTATGTAGAAATACTGAAGACTCAAAACTCTCAAGCACCAGGGAAATGTCATTAGCAATAGCACTTATATAACCACTTCATAGTACAGCCCTCTCTAAGCAGTTTAGTCAGCAAATTGTCCCCAACAATCTGGGTCCTCATTTTACCGACCTGGGAAGGATGGAAGACCGAGTCAAACTTCAGCTGGAGAGAAGCTGAAGCCACATCATACACCCTGTTAGAATAAGCAGCCCATGACTCCAAGGCTGCATCTAAAGATTCACAACTAATGGAAAACGATGTTCTCCCATTAAGATCTCATTGTATTTCATCCCAAATTTTGTGTTCTGTTGGGGTAATTTTTTATTTTTTTAAACCCCGCTGCCATCAGGGTGGCAAACACATCCAATATTCCTTCCTCCTCTAAATTCTACCCAAAGTTTCTCACCAACCCTGTAAGGCGAGTTGGGCTTAAAGGATGTGACTGGCTGAAACCACGCAATCACTTGCTAAAGATCAACGCTGAAATTTATACAGTACGTAACCATTTACCCCAGTGGTCCCCAACCTTTCTGGCGGAGTGGGTGGAGTGGAAATGGTGGTGTGTGAGCGGCAGGCATGCACAGCTCCATTTGCACAAGCAACGGGCCCTTGTGCTTGCAAAGCTCCATTTGTGTGAGCAGGTGCACACGGCTGATGTTTGTGCAGCCTAATGTGGCCGGGGGGATTGGGGACCCCTGATTTATACAGAACTGTACTTGATATACAAAGGTAGAAGCATTCCCCAACAGCAGATCTCCCGTTGCGCTTGCATCTTTAATCACAGCCAAACTATTCCTTATGTTCAAAGACATCCGTCAGGCTTTGACAAGAATAAGTTGTGGCTTAAGAGAAACAGGAGGCCAAAATCTGGTTTCAGCCTCTTCAGGTTACTGGTAATTCCCCTCCTGGCAATTCCATTTGAATTCAGTATTATAGTTCTTAAAGAATTAAGCAACAACTAGCCTGCAGGTTAAATGAAAATTCCAATGGCTTTTAACAACAGGCAGAAATATTTAATTCCATTCTTAGAACTGTACAAGATATATAATACAGAACTTTTCAAACACAGTTCCTGCAAAATTCATTAAATATTTATTCATCTGAATGTTCCAAGAATTATTCCAGGTACCAAAAAAGTATTAAATAAGAGACTATATCTTTCACTCCCTCTCACACACTTATCAAAGGACTTTGGAAATTACTTCTTCCCCCAAACAAGAACCTTAAAACTTTCAGAAAAGGGAAAAGGCTTATTAGCCAAACCTCTCTGCTTTGTAACAAGCCTTTCTAATTGTACAGTTTTTAACTAATTCAGTTGTTTTTGTAATCTCCAATTACTTTGGGTACTGCTACTGCAAGCACATCATATCAAGAACACAACTATTATAAAGTCATCATTGTCCCACCCATACATTTATCCCAGACAGCCTGTTTTTTTTTTATTTAAAAAGTTTTTATTTATAAAAGTGGCACTCACCACTGATTTTCTGCTAGCTTACATTCTCCTCTTTGTGCTCACTAAAGTTTGTTTAGCTTGCAAAAGAAGAATGATACCTCTAACAACATTAAATATGAACTTAAAGCCAGATTTTTTTTAAACAAAAAAACGTTTAGAAATATAGACACGATGATTTGTAGACCTAGCACTTTTCTAGTTCCAAGAAAGAGGTTGGCAAAGAAGCAGATACAGCACGAAGAATACACTCTGCCCTTTTTGCAATTGGTGGAGCCACCTTAACACTGTTTCAGCCACTTGGCAAGAAGATGCGGGCCGAGGCTTGTGGGGGCTTCTCAGCACATCCGCTTCACACTTCCAGGATAGGGTACTTGAGTAGAGCCATGATGGCTGCACTGAGCACTCCAGAAATGGGGACAGTAACAAACCAGGCCATGAAGATATTGCGGAACAGACGCCAATCAACAGCCTTCTTCGAGCGCAGCCAGCCTACAGAGACCACGGATCCAACCTGGACAGGAGAAACCAAAGTGCAGACGTCAACAAAGTGGCCATCGGTGCCCAGCTGGAACTAAATGCCATTCATAGCAGTTCTCACACATTTTTTTGCCTGGACTCAAGCTCGTACAACCCTTGCAATGAAGCCCAAAGGAAACAGAGTCTAATACTGGGGTGTCAAAAGTTGAGGCTCCGGATGCGTTGGCCACGCCCGGTTTAGCAAAGGGGGAAAAACTCATGATGCGTCATGTGACGACGCGACTTTTGACACCCCTTGTCTAATAGAAAGGCAAATGTGATCAATAATTGGTGGACAGTTGACTTGGATAATCAAGAATTATTCTTCTTCAAGCCAAGTATTAGAAGGAAACTGGAGCTAGAGCTTCTGAGCTTTCTAGAGAAAGATACAACAGTCAATGATGAGCACAGAAGAATCACGGGCCATTCATGTCTCATATTCATTTTACAGACGTCCTTTTCACTTACTTTACAGTGAGTTGTGCTGATAGGCAAGCCAATGTTTGAAGCAATGATCACCGTCAAAGCAGATGCCAGCTCAATGCTGAAGCCACTGCGGAAAGGAAAAGAAAATTGCAATCAATATGGAAATGAGAAAAGGGCAGAGAGAACTCAATGGGATTTATGAAAAGTTCCAAAGAATCCTCGAGTTTCAAAGCTCATGAAGCCCTCACATCACATCACCCCACTCCGTTCCAGCCCGGCTCCTGGGTCAAAAGCAGCTCATTTCCCAGGCTGTGACATTATCCTGCGTGGACAACTCCTACCTGGAAGGGGTGATGGGCGTGAGATCCTTGCCCATGGTCTGAATGACTCTTCTCCCCCAGATCCACAAACCAGTGCAGATCCCAACACCTCCGTAGAGTAAAAGCCAAATAGGAGTGGCTACCTTGGAAGACACGTCGCCTGTTTGATAAACCAAGTACAGGGCAACCAGAGGGCCGATAGCATTGCTGCCGAAAGGGAAAAACACACCATGTCAGTCGACCACCTCAAATATCCCCCTAAAGTGGCAAGAGAAAAAATATCCCTCCGCCACCAACCTAGAGAATGTTTTATCTCAATAAATGGACAGGAGTAATAACATACCAAACAAAGGCTAATTCTGCCCCAACGGAACCTTAATTCTTGCGCATAAAGTAACAAGAATTAATGATTTCACGCCAACCAGACTGACCTCACATCGTTCCCCCCGTGAGCGAAGGAGCCAAAGCAGGCGGTCAGGATCTGCAGAAACTGGAAGAGCAGAGACACTTCCGGCTTGTCCTGGTCATGCCACTCATCCAGAGAGCAATCGCTATCCTTCCGGTTAGCAGCGGCCCCCAACTCCACTTTCTGCAAATCCACATCGGCAGGGTGGGCGTCTGCCACAGCGTTACAGTAGCTGGTGTAGCTGTCCATGCGGATCCTCTTCCTGGAATCCACTCCGGGCCACGTCAACTTCTCGATCTCCTCTGCTCCCTTTGATTCCGTCTCCCTGACCCGGAAGGAATCCAGGGGCATGCCGCAGATGGCCATGGTGTAAGAGGTATAGCTGTTGTTGCGCCGGAGGGGCTTCTCTCCAGAGTCGCCCATGCAGTCGCCCACTTTGGCCAGGTGGAGTTTATGAAGGAGCTCCTTATACAGCCCAGAATCCTTATGCACCGTGTGGTAATGTCCGGTGGCGCTGATGTGGTTGCTCACCACGTGGTTCAACTGAGCAAGACTCCCATTGGAAAGCTGCATGGCTCCTGCAGGCATAAAGGAGGCAGTGGGACCTCAGCAGCAACGCATGTAAGCTGCTACGCAACTACAAAGTGCTTGTTCTCTAGAACAGGGCTCTCCAACCTTGGCCACTTTAAGCCTGGCAGACTTCAACTCCCAGAATTCCCCAGCCAGCTTTGCTTCTGGGAGTTGAAGTCCGCCAGGCTTAAAGTGGCCAAGGTTGGAGAGCCCTGCTCTAAATAATTAGCAGACCCCCATTGAACCTATAGTGGCACTTACTGAGTGAGTCACCTGTACTCACCACTGTCGATGATGGTTTCCTTCATCTCAACCTTCTCCCGTTCTGGCATCTCCTCCAAGTCTCCCAAGTTGAAAGAGACCGCCCTCTCCTCAAGAGCTGCTTTGTGAGGCACATCAACTGGGTTGCTCCCATCTTCATCATCCACCATGATGTTCTCTGCGGCCTTAATTTCATCTTGTTCTTTCAGGCTGTCCTTTTTCCTCATTAACGGACTCTCGGAAGGGCTGGACTTTCTCTCTTCTGCAGAAATAAGGAAGATGCAACTAAGGAAACCATTCCCCTCCCCAACTTATTCCAAGTAGCAAAGATCTGCAAATCACAAGAAGGGATGTGAAAATCCACAATATTTGGTAACTACGTTAACTCCTCCTTCCCACCATAAAGTTATATGCAATAGTTTTATGTATCGTTCTGTGCCAGGTATAGGCAGCATGTGGCCCGAGTTACAGGAGTTCTGCAGAATGCTTAATATTTTAGGATGAGGAAAATAACTTGCATTTTATATTTCCAAGCGTGCCTTGGAACAGGATCCAAAAGGAAACTCATTCTGAAGGAACGGGTTGTGGAATAAGAAAAAGGAAATCGTTTGCCAGCTCTAGAAACTCCAAGCCTTCACATCGGAAAGGCACCATTTTCCTTCAATTTCAGTTTACATTTACATTCAAACTGTTTAACTGGACAGCCATGTAAAACAGGGGTCCCCAACCCCGCAGTCTGCGGCCTGTTAGGAACTGGTTCACGCAAGTGAGTGAAGCTTTATCTGCGCATGCATGGATTTAGATAGCGTACGAAACCATCCCTCCCCTCCCGTGGAAGGTTTCTTTTCCCACAAAACCAGTCCCTGGTTTCAAAAAGGTTGGGGATGGCCAATCTAAAAGCCTAACATCTAAACACTCAACTACACAGCACAATCCCCTTCAAATCCAATTGTATTTCATCTACTTACGTTCAATTTTCTTCTTCATTCTTGGACAGATAAAAAACCAGACGAAGAGAGCACACAAAACAGCACTCCCCGAGGAAATAAGGATCATGCCCCAGAGGGGAACTTTGTCAAAGCCCAGCACTAGGAAATAAAACAACACATCTTGAAACACGGTGGCCCAGAACCCCTTCCGAGCATACAAATATACTCCTCAGCAATGAAGGCTCATAGGCTCATCATAGCCAGGACAATGCAGCCCTGGTTCCTTTCAATGTCAATACCTTTCACCTCCTTTTGGCATGTTAAGACTAACTGGCTGCAAGATGACATGACTTTTACATAACCATAGCACCAATATGGTTAGTCCATTGCATGTCAGCCACTGTGGAACAGTATTAAACCCAACAAGTTAATACAATGGCCATGTTCATCTTACATGCCAAGCTAATAAGTTCTGCTTTACATGCCATCCTGGTTCACAGAATTAACTAGGATAATTGGGTTTCCTGAACTAAAATATACCCAGGTCCATTTTTGCACAGCCTAACTGGTGAATCCAGTCATTAAAAAATAAATAAAACTATGGCATCTCCTAGAAATGGCAATGCCGGGTTAAAGAAACCAAGAAATCGTGGCTGATCCATATCCACAAATTTGGTATCACAACTGATCTAATTATTTTCCAGTCAGGGCAACATCTAATATAAAATAAGTAATAAAAATTAAAAACTGAACAATACGAACATTTTTACAGGACTAGAAAAATTAGGTTGCTAAGAGGATCTTGGGAATAAATTCCAGGTGAGATGATTGTGGCTGAGGTATCTTACTCATTATTCACATATACATTTCAAGTAACACACCCACCAAAAGGGTCGCTCTAGCACACTGTGGGAACACCGAAGGGAAAAGGGCAGTTTCAGGCACTTAAAAGTTAATTCAACTACCTTTGAAGTTTAGACCTGTTGCACCAGGCTGCATTCCAGCAGAAATGCCCTTGGTAAATAGGACATCTCCCTGGTTTATAGAAAAAAATGCTAAATCCAGCTTCTTTCTCCCACCAAAACCCATTTATTATTTCAAGAGATTCAGAAGGTTCCAGCACAGAAGTACGACATTCCTCTTCCACGCATTTGTTGCCAGCAGGTCTTAGACAAGGGGAAGGCAGGAAAAATTCTTTTGGAATCTAACATTCAAGGCATGGAGAGCTGGAGTGGTAAATCCACCCAGAGTCTCCTAGCTGGTAGGAATTTGATTAGAAGAATGTGGGAAATGTTCTGGTTTAGCAGTAGCTAGGATCCTGAGCTTCAGCAGAAGACAGCATGAGAAGGAAAGGGAGAGTCAGGTCATTCTGCAGGCAACTGGGGGGGGGGGGGGTTGTGGAACACCAGCAGCAAGTCAGAAATAGTGGCTCCTGTGAGGATTTAAGAAGAAAGGACTCTAGTAATTTACAGAGTGAACAGGCCTCTTGGACAGGATAACTATCTAAGGTTGAACTCAGCGTATGTATGCTAGCCTGCAGCTTTCTGTAATGGCCCAGACCAGTTGCCTTCTAGAAGAGTTCAGTCCTGTAAAGCAAAAGGGGTAAAATTCTGTGTTTGATTAAGAAGCTTATAAAAGGTTATAAAATTAAACCTCGATATTTGAAGCTTTACTTACAGGGTGCCCCACTATACATGACTGAGAAGAGATTGATCCCAATTGTGCAGGCATAGAAAATGGGCAGTGCACGTAATCCGTTTGGAACAGGATCTTCCTACGGAATATATATTTTGACACACATTACTAAAAAACATTATCTAGAATTTTTATTTCTCCAAATACAAGGCAAACACTCGTGACATATTTTAAAAGGCCAACACTAATCTTACCACCTACAGGGCAGAAAAAGGAAATATTTACTACCTTTGAATCATCTGGGGAAAAAATATTAATCAACCAATTTCAGAGCTATGTAAACTTCATAGTTTTGCAATTGCTGGGGAAAACATTTGAGGATTCTGCAGCTATTTCAGCCTCTCCCAACCCAAGCCCACTTTTCTGTGGTCTTCCCAGAAAACCATCCGAGGACTATGAAATGGACTGTTGGGGGAAAAGATAATTTCTCCTCCAAGACCTAATCTCAGAAAGCTTCAAAGGGTTAGTTGTACAGAGGAGCCACATAGCTCCAGTGCAGGATACTATAAAGTTTTTTTTAAAAAAATCAATACAGGTTGTCCCTCGGTTTACAACACTGAACAGTGACATCATTGAAAAAAAATGACATGGCCATTTTTCACATTTACAACTGTTGCAGCATTCCCATCACCATGTGATCAAAATTCAGATGTTTGACAAGTGACTCATACTAACGACGGGTCTTGTGATCACGTGACATTCTGACAAGCAGTCAATGGAGAAGCCAGATTAACAACTATAGATTCACTTAACAACTGTGGCAAAAAAGGACACAAAACGGGGCAAAACCCACTTGACAAATGTCTTTTAGCAACAAAAATTTTGGGCTCAACTGAGGTTGTAAGTCGGAGACTACATGTATTAAAGGAAAAACTTCCCTATACTAAAAACTTGACAACTGGGAAAGAGTTACCAAAAAGAAGCAGTAGGTTGCCTACTACTGTATATATGAACAATATAATTAGTGTTGAGAGCACTCACTATTGGGGTGTTCCCATCAGTCTGAGCGGCTGAAGCGAACTCCCAACTCTAAAATTCTACATTTACAACCTAATACATGTAAACCACATATCGCTGTTATATCAGTTAAGCAAGTATACAGGGCAGTGAAGAAATATTTTATTTAAAGTTTAAGTAAAATATTTCTTCACTGCCCTGTATACTTGCTTAACTTAGGTTGTAATAGCGAGGGAGAGGCGCTTTTCTCAACCAAAGAAGCATCCCATTGTGCATTAGCCTGTCCTTGCCTACCAAACTTTTACAAAACGAAGGCGACATGGCAGAAGCCGGGTCTGTTGAGAAAAGACTGAATTTCTAGCTGTGGGTGGCTAAGAAGCCACCAGAAAATAGCATCTTAAACCAGTATATTTTTCCCCTCAAGACTCCTATTAGACAGCACTTCTCCCTAACCACATACAGGCAGGCAGGCCAAGTTTCCTGTAAAACATTTGGTGCTTAAAAGCCCTTTTTTCCCCTGGTGAAAAGCCTGCTGGGCCTGCAGCCGGCTAAAGATAGCAGGGCAGCCCACGTGGTCCCTTCCGGCCCGCCGATGCCCCCGATTAGGTCTTATCTGCCATGGGCAGGCAGGGAGCTCCCTGTCCATCCTTCTTCGGTTGGCATCCGACCTACCTTGCTGAGGATAAACAGCCTGACCACGAAGAACAGCACGGCGGACATTATGCCAGAGAGAAGCGGGGAGATGAACCAGGACAAGACTGGAGGGAGAAAAAGGGCCAGAAAGGAGGGTTTACGCCATTGACGGGATGCCCAGGCACCAAATCCCTCCAGCCTTCCTCCAGGAGCAGCCAGGCTCCCCCTTCTCGCTTACCAACTTTCAGCAGCTCAGACCACCGGACTCCTTCCTGCCCTTTGGCCACCAGCGAGAAACCGATGGTCGCCCCGACAATGCAGTGGGTGCCCGAGATGGCAGCCGGAGGAAAGAGGCGGCCAGCTGCCACACGGCTGAGCCTGGGAGGGAGGGGGAGAGAGAGGGGGCATCAGGGGGGCTGGCCTTGACGAGACCCCCCCTCTCCTCCCCTCATCTTTCCCCCTCCCTCCCCCCATCGAGACCCCTTCCTCCTCCTCCTCCTCCACCTCCCCTATCTTCCCCCCCTTCCCTCCTCCTCCTCCTCCCAAGGCCCTTCTGGCGGCCCCCTCCCTCCCTTGAGCCCCCTTCCTCCTCCTCCTCCCCGACCTCCCCTTCCTCATCTTCCCCCCCTTCCCTCCTCCTCTCAAGGCCCTTCTGGCGACCCCCTCCCCTCCCTCCCTCCCCCCACCGAGACCCCTTCTCTCCCTCCTCCTCCCCCCCCCACCCTCCCCTCCCCTCGGCGGCCCCCACCCTCCCCAGACACCCCCTCCCCTCCGACCCCCTCCTCTCCCCCCTCCCCTCCCCAACCCATCCCCTTCCCGCCCCCCCTCCCTCTTCCTCCACCTCCCCTCCTCCCCCCAAGCCCTTCTGGCAGCCCCCCTCCCTCCTTCCTCGAGACCCCTTCCTCCTCCTCCCCTCCCCTCCCTCCCCCTCACCGAACATGGCGCTGACCGAGCCGGCCATGAGCAGTTGCGGGGTGGTGGCGTAGAGGCCGACGTCGATGAGGCCCTTCTGGATGGTCTCGCTGACCTTGGCGCCCAGCAGCACCGAGCCGGCCGTCTCGAAGATCGAGGCCAGCACGCAGGCCTTCCGCAGGCTCACCACGCCCGAGCCCACCGCCGTCCCGAAGGAGTTGGCCACGTCGTTGGCGCCCACCGAGAAGGCCAGCACGAAGGCGATGGCGAAGCCCAGCGCCAGCATCCACAGAAGGCGCTCAGCGGGCCCGACGCCGCCGCCACCGTCGCCGTGGACGCCTCCGTGGCCAGGCCCGCCGCCAGGGCCGTGGGGAAGGCCGACGCCATGAGGACCAGAGGTGGCTTCGCTCGCCCGGTGCTACCACAGAAGTGAGGCGGACCGGCTGCGCGGAGGCCGCCGTAACCCCGCCATGGCCGCCGCGCCCACCCGCCGCTCCTGAGAGGGGAAGCCGCGCCTCACACGGGCGGCCCGGAGCGGGTTCCCTTCCCGGAGAAGACCCCGCGCCGGAGACAGATAGACAGACAGACAGAGAGACAGACGGACGCCGGGCCTCGTGCGCGCCTTCCCCTCAGCCTCCGCCCGAGCACACGCCTCCCCCTCAGCAGCTCGCCGGCTCCGTCTGGCGCGCGCGGGATCCCCCTTTTATAGGCCGGGACCACGTGACGCCGCGCGCGCCCCGCCCCGTCTGCGGCTGGTCGCGAGGCCGAAAAGGCAGGTTGTGGTGGGGGGGGACAGGCGCCGGCCGGAAGAGCGCGTGGGCGGGGCCGGCTTTCCTCCCAAAGGGCCCGCGTTGTGTGTGTGGGGGGGGAGGTGGAAGGATGCGGCTGATCCCCCAGCGGCGCCCCCTCCCCCCGCCCTCTGAGCGGGAAAAGCGGCGTCTTCTCCTCCTCCCTTTGGAGCTGCGGGAGCCTCGGCTGCTCTTTGGGATTTGTAAAATTGGTTACCAAAAAAAAAAAAAAAAAAGTGTAACTTTTTTTAAAAAAAAGGTTTTTTTTTATTATTTTATTTATATGCCGCCCTTCTCCGGAGACTCAGGGCGGCTTACAATGTGCTCAGCAAATATTTTATTTTATTTTAAACATAGTTAAAAAGACATACATAGACATACAACATATACAAGAATCTTAGTTTCTTTTTCAGCTACTTAACAGTGATCCATTTCTTACTATATATTAATATTTACAGATATTATAATGTTAACTTATTCAGCCTTTTTCTCCTATTGTATTTCATTATTACTAACATGTTAATTGATCTATCACATTTTTCTCTTTCCCTTCTTCATTCCTTTATCTCCTTATTTTTCAGCCATTCGTACCAATTATTCCCCTGAGTTTCTTTTGTTAGTTCATCCAGTTCTGCGCATTCCAAAATCTTTTTAATTATATCCTTATCTGGTGGTGATTCTTCTTTCTTCCAGTATTGCACATATATAATACGTGCTGCTGTCAATATATATTTTTTTTATTTTAATTAGATTTATATGCCGCCCTTCTCCGGAGACTCAGGGCGGCTTACAATGCGGTAAGCAATAGCCTTCGTACTTTTGTATATTTATACAAAGTCAGCTTATTGCCCCCACAAACTGGGTCCTCATTTCACCTACCTTTGAAAGGATGAAAGGCTGAGTCAACCTTGAGCCTTGGAGAGATTCGAACCAGCAGAAATTGCAGGCAGCTGTGTTAATAACAGGGTGCGTATACCACTGTACTATCAAGGCTCTTTTATGTAGTATATATATATATATATATATATATATAATTATGTAGTAATATATGTAGTATGAGATACTTTTGCATCTGATTTTCTCTTCTTACAAAGTTTTGCCAAGTTTTCTTTGCGTAGCTGTGGTTGATAAAAACCGTGGGGGGGCAGATTTATTACCTGGTACTTTGTCTCCAAGTTTCCTTTGGTTCTTTCAGTTCTATATTTGTGGTTTTTTTCTGTACTTTAAATAATGCATTTGGTCTGGGACTGTAACAAAAGAAAAAAAAAAGTTTGGAACTGAATCAGAAGTGAAGCAAAGATTTTGTTTGGTGGCCCAGATATACCCTGGTTGCCACCTGGGCACATTCAGTTGCAGAAGGCCTGCCCGTCTGGAATCTCGAAAGCAAAGAGAAAGAATTCATGGGCTTTTAGATCCATTGGATCAGTGTTTCTCAACCTTGGTAGCTTGAAGATAGGTGGACTTCAACTCCCAGAATCCCATAGCCTCAGCTTTGCTGGCTGAGGAATTCTGGGAGTTGAAGTCCACAAGTCTTAAAGTTGCCAAGGTTGGAGACCCCTTCTCTAGGCACAGGCCTACCAGAAGAGAGTTATTACAATGGCACGGTAGGCAGGTGATCCAGCAAAGAGCTTTTGTCTAAAGCATGAATGTTTGGTTTGATTCTGCTCCGTTCTCAAGGTGGGTTAACTCTGATGATGATGGGAGACATTACGAAATGACCTTTTCCTTTGCAAGCCAGCATATAAAACTTAAGGGTTGCAATAGAAGCTGAGAGCAGGTTCCATAGCACAGTTTGGGCCATGTTTGAAGTTCAGTAATCAAACCCTGGGAAGTAAGGAAAGAAATAATCAGTGGCTTCATTTTCTTACTCTTAAACGTACTTGAGGTTCAAGTTACCAATCTCGGAGCAAAGTTCTGTCTGCAACACTGACTTGGGTACTTCTCAGTGGCTCAAGTTGCTAACATGATATTTTTATAACAATGATATTTTGATGGGTGGAATTACTAACACTTTGGAAAAGAGAAGGATCTTGACGGACTTGAACATTGGACCCTACCCAACAAGATGCAGTACAGCAGTGGGAAATGTCAGGTCCTGCACTTAAGACGGGAAAAACCAAATGCACAAGTACAGGATATAGATGGCACCTGGCTTAACAGTAGTAACTGAGAGGGATCTAGGTGTCCTGTTAATCACCGTTTAAGTCAACAGTGTGTTGCAGCTACCAAAAAAAAAAAAAAAGACAATGCAGTCCTAATAAATGTTGACCTGGTTATCAGGTATTCTCCCTTTTATCTGCCCATCTCAAAAAAAAACCAGTGTGGGAAGGAGCGGAGACTCACTCTAGAGGAATGTTTATTGCAAATGGAAGAAAGGTGAAATGACCAAGTTGTAAAGCTTCAGTTCAGTAAAATAGGATTGAGGTCAGAAAGGCAGAGGCAGAACCAGCTAGACCGATGAAAGGCATAATCCACCAGTAAGGGTTTCTCCAAGTTTGTCAATAGACGCAGGCAGTGAGCTCACCGTTTACTCCAAATGGAGAAATCTTAACGGGTGAGTAAAAGAAAGCAGAAGAACTCGACATCCCGTGTACGATTTTGGGCACATTTGCAGAATGATATTGGCAGTCAGAATGTTCTAAATTCACAGATTGAACTACCAGACAATCCTTGTGATTCCTTTTGATTTCAGAGTTTTATTTTTCCCTTCGATATATCTTTCATTTGGGTCTAGGCTTATTCTTCCTTTTTTTCTCTCTTCTACTCTGAGTTCAGCTGTGTTGGAAATGAGACAGCAGGGTGCCAGGACTCTGCGGTCCCCCTCCCTTCCTCCAATTCCAGTGGATGAACTAATATTGGCACCCAGCTGTATACATTGCCAGGTATTTACGTGAATCAGAGTGAAAGATGTACTCTAAATCATTTCTACTGCCAAGTGAATGGTCTGATCCAGCTATTCCCTGAGGTTAAGCAAACGTGAGGTCATGCGATAGTCCATGATGAAAGAACAGCAGCACATGCAATGCTCCAAATCTGATGTACTGGGCACTTTATTGGGCCTCCACACCTCCATGAAAGAATGGAAAATAATTCTGAAGAATCTTCAACTTCATTGAATTGTTATTTTCCTCTTTCCTCTACACAAATCCAGTGACTTAATCTTTCTCACCTATCCCACCTGCTCTGTAATGTGGTTAGAGCTAAAAAAAAATTTTTGTCTCAAGCAGGATTCTTGGCCCTCCATCGTTCTATTCAGATGGTTTTTCTTCTTTGCCACAGTATATAAGCGATCTATATAACCCTTCCCACTCCTGGAAGGTTTTGTCCATTTCCTATTCTACTCTACAAATATTGCTTGACTTCTGACTGTAATTGACCCCAGAATGATGGTTATAAGTTGTGCCAGTGGTTATGCAGATAAACATATGACCGCATCCAATTTTACAACGTTTTTTGTGGCAGTCATTAAATGAACACAGCAGTCTTTAATTGACCTCATTGTCCGCAATGGGCATTTTTTTTCCCTTTGGCAGAAACTGGAATGCCAAAAAATGCCAGTTTTCAGCAAAAATGATATAAATCACAGTCACATGACTGTAGGATGCTGCCGATGATCATAAAGATGAGCCATTGGCCAAGGGCCTAAAATGCGATCGTGTAAGGAGGGGGGAGCCATCGGAACTTTGAACCCATGTCTAAATACCCTTAAGGTCCACCGTAAGTTCAAATGGTCGCTAAACCGAGGACTGTCATAGGGCTCAACCAATTCAGCCAAGCCCCACTCTGCTTGGTTTTCAAGATCAGCCCGGCGTTGCCACCTAGCAGGGCCATAAGCCACAACCCATATGAAAATTGGAAGCCACCACCACAAACAAGGGCTCTGCACCGTTGGGGGAGAGATTTGGGGAGGGATTCAACGGCCTCAAAAGCCTGATTTAGGATATCTGAATCAGGATCCCATCCCTGCCCTTCCAGGGTTGTGCCAGGGTTAGCTTGACTGCAGCCACCTGTGACTTTGAGTCCAGAGGACAAGGCTGCTCCTTGCTGCCAACTGGCAAGACCGAATCTGCTGCCTTTCCTGGGCTGAGCTGGTCGTTGAAAGCTGAGTCACCAGAGTCCGTCTTGTCCTCAGAGGAGAGCCGATTCCAAAGACAGGATCTACGCTCGGAAGACAAGGCAGGAGTCCAGAACTACCGTAATGACCAACTCTTGGAAGAAAGGAACAAATTGCAGCTCTTGAGTCAATGTTCCACCAGTCGGGTGATCTCTTGACACAAGGGGCACCCAATTCTCCTCCGTAACGAATGCCCTGTAGAGTTTGCCAATCTTTTGAGCATCCAGGTATGTAAAATAAGCCTAAGGCAGCACAAACTGCAGGTGATGGAAAGAGGCAACTTGCCACTCCATCAAAAGATCTCGGGCTGCTGTTGTGTCATTTTATAGGCAAAGATGTGGATCCTATTTTCCATTAGATATTATGCTAACACACATAAGTTGGACATTTATCATTTATTTATTCTATGGATTTTTTATATCACCCACTCAATCCCTAGACCCAGTTAAGACGGTCTTTATTAGATTATCTCAAAGGTGCTTTTTCAAGAGGCAACTGCTCTTTCTGGGTTTTCTTTGAAGACGTTTCGCTTCTCATCCAAGAGGCTTCCTCAGCTCTATTAGAGTAATTATACAAAATTATTGAAAACTCAAGTGTCAAGTATACTGGCAAGTGGATTATGGAAAAATGGTCATGTGATTGCATTACCTACAGAGCGACGTTAAGTTGCAACAAGTCCTACCAATGACATTAGATTGCTGAGAAGACACCATTTTTGGTAAATGGTCAATTGCAAATATACCAGCTCTACAGCGATTTTTCCCTAGAGCCTACTTTTAAGGATCAGACAGAACTTCTGGTACCTGAAACACCCAATTTTGCAATAATGAAAAAGCAAGCATTATGTACCATTATGTACCATCTTGTACCAATGCAGCCTATTTTAATGCTTTCAGTAAGCAGAACCCAATTTGCCATCTGAACTGAACTGTAAGATTCCAATGTTACTGATGAGCAATTACATCAGTTGCTAAAGGATCAAAAGTATATAGTTATTTGGGAAGATAACTTCCCATCCATCAAACAGGAACAGCGCCAATTGCAAACACCTATGATCCTCAGGGGGCAGGTCTTACGATGTGAAACTGGCATCTAGTAGTGGATGAAAATATATTGGAAGATGCAAAACTTTACGGAATATTGCAAAGCCCTCTATGTGGAACTGCCTTTGAAGATCATCTGGAATCAACAGCTGGTTCAAAATGCAACAGAGCAAGCAATAATGGGCACCCCTCATTATGACCATGTTATATCACTGCTACACAAGCTGCAGCAGTAACCGAGTTTCCTGGGTCAATTCAAAGTGCTGGCATCACCTCTAAAGCCCTTTGTGTACAGGGCCTGGTATATGAGGGACTGCCTACCTCCAACTGCTTCTGCCTGACAGAACGGGGCAGAATGGATGTGCCACTCCCTTCAATTGAAGGCTGCCCTGGGAGGCGCACACAGTGCCCGCTCTTGGTCCCCAGAAGTCTTTTAAGACCTATTAAGACCAAGCCTGGGATAAAGGTGCCTGTGAAATGTATTTTTTGAATGCTGGAGGGGAGGGTGTTGTTTTAGTCCAGGCAGTTAGGTGGGTTTCCTTTGAGGTGGGGGATCTGGGACAGGACAGCAGAGCAAAACATATAAACTACAAAGCACCTAAACCAAAATCAAGTCTAAAAAATTCTTCCTGGAAGGGAGCCCAACAGACGTTCAGGTAGAGAAGAGAAAGTGAGCCATGGATTACAGATGATGGCTTGTGTCAAGGAAGAGAAAATGACTAAGTCACCAATACTGCCAGGGCAGATCCTGGCTGTTTGCTCTTCTATACTGGGATTTAAAAATAAAGTTGTCTCTGGCCCTGTGACTAACACTCAAATTACTTCCATGGATGTTGTTGGCAAAAAGGGTTCTAAAGGCATCATTTAGGCATAAACCAACAAAGCAAACACTGCACTCACTAGGAAGTGCTCCAGACACCACTAGCACCACCACCGAGGAAAACAACCGGGCCTCTTCAGTGGCAGTTTATGAAACAAGGCGGCCAGGCTGGGAAAACAGATGGCCAGTGGCCAGAAGAACAGAGGGTCACTCAGTTGCAAGGATTGCATCCAGAACTTCAGCAGCCAGTTCCAATCTTCCGCTTATGACACAATATGCAACTGTGAATGTAACCTTCTTGGCCACACACTGGATGGGCATTTTATCCTAACCGGTTCACACCTGATGGAAAGAAATATAGCCAAGGGAAATATAAATACAATCTGGGTTAAGCCCAACAATATTCACTCCCACCGCCCAGCTTAGCTTCCTGGGGGCTTCTAAGCTTTGGACTCTGTTTCTGAAGGGCAAAGTTAAAGCCATTAGGAAGCTGGAGATGGGCCATGTGCGTTTCTCTGCTTGCATCATTAGTTTTGTACAGTTGGCAGTGCCAGGAACCCCATGCCCTGTCTTATGCAGCAGAATCAGAGTTCAAAGCAACCGAGGAGTTCCGATTGGCCCCTCTTCACTGCAGCTCATCAGAAATGTCTGCCTGGAAATGGCCTGTCTGCAGCCATAACCTTTCCCTGCGAGCAACATCCTATGTGCCACAGGAGGACCTCACAGAGTTCCTTTATACTGGATGACATCAGATGCATCCATAAACGCTGGCTCAGCAAAGAGGTACAGACGAAGCTGGATTACCATTAACCTTGGTTTAAAAAAAAAAAGTGGCAACCTTGTGCAAACTCCCAAGATAGGTCAATTCAGTAATTCAGTTAAGTACACAGTCCTGACGAGCGCTTTCAATGAATTCATGTTTCGAGCCGCAGTGGTGAGCCTCCACTTTGCAATTAAGGTTCCCTGCCCATCATCCTCATTTCCAGGAAGAAAGGAAAGTGCAGTTCGCACTAGGCCGGACTGACCTCAAACAAGCCTTTCCAATCCAATCCGAAGGAGCTTGTGCTGGCAAAAACAGAGCCTCCCCCCACGGCTGCTCGGAGTCTTCCCTCCCTGCCCTAGTAAGAATTCAAGTCTGCATGGGTACTCTCTCACGAGCTCCCTTGGCCCTGGCCTACTGGTAGCCCCTGGGGACACATCTCCTGAGGAATTGGGAGCTCAGCTGACACACAGGCCTAGCAGCAGCAGCAGCACTTCAAAGGGAAAGAAGAGTTCCTGCAGAGACATTCCTTCACTATCTATTTATCTTCTATTAAAAAAAAGCCAAATCTCCTTCAAGTCAAGCTCAAGTTCTAGGCAAGTCCAGGAAGAGAGATTTGCTACTGCCCTCTTTGCCCAAATTCCAGCCTGGTTTATAGTCCTGAGATTTCCTTGGTGCTTTAACCAAGGAAATTCGAGCTTTTTTTGAGATCAGGCAAGGAAGCACCAGCTGGTCACATTGTTTGTTTGTAGCACGAAATGAAACCGCTGAAACCCACCATGAATTTTGCCAGTTACTCAGCCTGTTAAAACATGGCAACTTGAGGGAGGCACGGCTTGTGACGGAAATCATGTTTCCCCAGACTCTCCGGACACAGGAAACCACCCTGAAGTTCAAGCTGTGCTCCTAGTCAGGCCTGGGCTACGCATGGGATGTGGGCTGCCAGGAAATTATCCATACCGTTTTAGCATTTGCCAATGTTGTGAATACTTTACCTCCGAGATGTAACTAAAGAGAAGTGCATGGAACAGATTCTCTTTTCCAGAACAGAAGCAAGAATCTTTCCAGGGTGCATTTTTCTGCCCTATTGTCATTCCAGTTCTACCACCCCAGGCCATCCTGCACCGGTTGTCTTGGAACTAAGGTTCATAAACTTCACAGCCAGTTTACCCCCGAGCTCCTTACAGGGTGCAATTCTGCCTTTGCCCCACAAGCCTTTACAGGCTAGGTGCCTTCCTATTCTGAAGCACTTCCTCTGCAGTCTGTGAAGAAAGGAAACGGTGAAAGAGGGGGAAATGGAACAGCTATGGTCCAGCTTTTTCACCTTCTGTTCAGCAGAAACTCACCCACCGCCACTTGTCCTGGGGTGGCAACCTGCAGGCTCGCTACCTATATGCAACCTCAGTCTGGAGCACCCCATTCAATGAAGCAAAGCGAAATGATTTTCAATTGCTACGGAGAGCAATGCAGGCCAAGATTCTACAGCTAAAGAGACAAAGATCAGGGAAGAGTCATAAATAGGGAGATTTATTTTATACTAATGGACAAGATTTCTCCTATCTCTGGGCGCTTCCATCTGTTTTCCAGTCTCTGGAGGAGACGTCGATGGCTGGAAAACCTCCGTCTGTCCAAGGGTAAAAGAACCAAGATCCCCGCCGGGTCTAGCATGGAGCATCAATGCCAATCAGGAGTCAGGAACATCTTTCCACGATAAGCTCAGCCAGGACTAGAGGTATTTGTACATGACCTTCTCGGATACGGTCTGCACCTCCATCTTAACGGGGCACTTGTAGAAGAAGGAAAGCAGCATCTCTGTGTAGCCAACCAGGAAGTAAATCTTATGGGGAGGGAGGCTCTGTATTAGAAGGGCGCAGATGATGATTGTGTTCGCCCGGCGCTTCAGCACCACCTCCTCCGCCAAGCAGCCATGAAAGGTGCCAAAGAGGAACTTGCGGATGAAGACGTCTTCCAGCGTGCGCTCAGCCGCATCCGTCTCCCCGTCCAGGTTACCTGCAGGAGCAAAGCAAGGAAGCCAAAGCCCCTTTTATTTATTTTTCTCTTTTCTTGCCATGTCAGAGGGGGCCATGGGGCTGCTGCTCCAGCCTCAGACCCCAGAAAATGACCTCACTCAACACCCTTTTCCAGACATCTCTCCCTGCAAGGACTTCCTGAGGCTGCTGTTTAATTTAAAACATTCAATTAATGCTTTATTTTTAGAAAAGCCATTTTTGACCTCCAGGCTGCTGCCGCTGCCGTTTTTCCCAGCACCCCCTTTAGCTCCATATATGGTTGGGGGGGGAGCAGAGGTGGGTTTCAGCAGGTTCTGACCAGATCTAGAGAACCAGTAGTGGAAATTTTGAGTAGTTTGGAGAACCGGTAGTAAAAATTCTGACTGGCCCCGCCCCCATCTATTCTCTGCCTCCCAAGTCCCAGCTGATCGGGAGGGAATGGGGATTTTGCAGTAACCTTCCCCTGGATTGGGGAGGGAATGAAGATTTTACAATATCCTTCCTCTGGAGTGGGGAGGGAATGGGGATTTTGCAGTATCCTTCCTCTGGAGTGGGGAGGGAATGGGGATTTTGCAGTATCCTTCCCCTGGAGTGGGGAGGGAATGGGGATATTGTAGTATCCCTCCCCTGGAGTGGGAAGGGAATGGAGATTTTGCAGTATCCTTCCCCTGGATTGGGGAGGGAATGGGGATTTTGCAGTATCCTTCCCCTGGAGTGGGGAGGGAATGGGGATTTTGCAGTGTCCTTCCCCTACCACGCCCACAGTAAAAAAAAATCTGAAACCCACCAGTGGGGGAGGGGAGTTGGGAGGGTCTCTGCAGCTGCAGCCCAGGGCTTCCTCTCCTTTCCAGCACCCCCCCAAAAAGGGTAACTTGGGGGGGCAAGTCTGTTAAGTGGGGGGGCGATGTCCCTTGAGGTTAAGCGGAGGCGGGGGGGGCAGCCTGGATGTGGGCCTCCCAGGAGCCCCCCCACCCCATTCCCACCCTTCCCGGCGGAGGCTCGCTCACCGGTGTGCAGGGAGAGCCAGCCCTTGCGGTGGGCGATGTAGTGGGGCGGGTGGGCCTCCTGGTAGGTCACCGGCTGGTTCCCCTTCCGAGGGCGGATGCGGGCCGCGTGGCACTGCAAGGGAGAGCGGGGCGCGCGTGGGCCGGGAGGCTCCGACCCCCCCCAGCCCCTCCCCGACCCCTCAGGAGCCCCCTCCTCACCTTCTCCGCCGCGGCGCTGCTCCGGAAGCCTCGCCCCGCCGCCACCCACGACCCCCAGGCGCCCCTCAGGGCCTGCGGTAAGAAAAGGGCCAGGTGAGGAATGAGCATGCGCAGAACCCCCCCCCACTCAACCCCCCACGAAGGAGCCCCCCACTCGCCTCCGCGCCCCTCCGCCACGCCGTCGCCGCCATTGGAGACCGCAGGAGTTGTGCAGAGTCCTCCTGGCCTGCAGGGGCCGCGCTTGGCCTCCGCCGGAAGTCTAGTTTCCCCCCCCCCCAGGACGCTCCGCCCTTTCCGGCTCCAATTCAAATTTTCGAATTCAGGCTAGGGCGGGAAGGGACGTTGGAAGTCCTCTATATAGCCAACCTTGGCCACGTTAAGGCTTTTGGACTTCAACTCCCAGAATTCCTCAGCCAGCTATTGGTATTTCATCAGTGAATGATAGAAACAAAACACTTTATAAATGTTTTTGAGGACTGTTCTTCCTGCCCCGCTCCCATCAATATAGAGCAGGAATCAAAATATCATGGAGACTGGCAAAAATGTACCCCAATTTATCACCCCAATGTTCGGGATGTGGTCATAAACTAGGGACATACTACCACAGGTGGTGGATGTGCCCTAAGGTGAGGAAATTCTGGTATAAAATTAAAGGGTGGTTGGAAGAGATTACACTCCAAAAGATAGATTTTAAACCAGAGATGTTCCTCCTAGGAATGATTGATAGAAAAATGGAAAAAAGTCTCTATTATATTAGATTGCATATTCTAACGGCGGCCAGAATTACTCTAGCACAAATGTGGAGGTCGACCAATGCACCATTGGAAGAAACAATAATAAAGAAAATCCTTGAATGTGCCGAAATGGACAAATTAACGATGGAGATCAAAGAAAGAGAAGACTCGGATTATTATAAAGTGTGGAATAAGTATTATACATGGTTGGAAAACAGAAATCAAATTAAGAAATATAATATAAATTGAAATTTGATATTAACATACTGGATATAAATGTAAATAATGATCCTGCTAACAAAACAGTTAATTATGAATATTTAAAAATAAAGAGAAGGAGCGGGAGGATAATAGCTAAGAGTAAAGACAAAAGTCGATGCAGAAAGTTGTAAAATTGTATACATCTGTTGTTAGTATTGTATTTTAATGTCTGAAGTGCTTGTGTTTTTTTTATTTATTTATTTATTTTGCTATTGTGTGTTTGGTTTTAAAATGTAAAATACTCAATAAAAATATTTGTTAAAAAAACAACAAAATATCAGAACATATTATAACTTCTTTCCTTTTTCTTTGAGTGGCAGACGTATTTAACACTACTGAGAAGATTAGGGTAAATCTTAAAAGCAGCTCGCATGGTCAATGGATAAAATTAGAAGCTGACCCCAATACAAGAGAGGAAGTAGCTTTAGTGACAGTGGTCAGGTTTTGATCCAGAAGTTCTTTTCTTCTGGTTTTATTAGTAAGGTCAAAAATTCCTCCCAAGAAACTACAGTTTAATTTAGGGATTATTTATCCTGTGAGTTAAGAACAAATGCCTTATGGACAACTCGTACTTATAAATGGGCTGCCAATTAGTAAAAATGGCAGGTAGCATTCTTTGTCTTCGAGTCAACACACCACTGGAGCCAGGCAAGGTTTTCATGAAGCCATGTGTTTTTAATAAGCAGACTGTTTTCTATTCATAAATTCCAATTTAACATTGGAAATTTGATTTTAAGGCGCTCTTGAGAACACACCTCATTTTTAACCTGAGAGTTGTTCTTACTGTTGTCTATGGAACCCAGGGTGACAATACAAAAGATAAGTCCAACACCGAAGAGCTGAGCATTAACCAGGTGGCTCCAACTGTCTCCGGTAGAGACTTTGGGGGACAAAGAATTGTGAGGAGAAACCCAAGGTCCGTCCAGTTGTAACCGAGTTCTGAGCGAAGGTTCAGAATTGTTTGCCTGATCTCTCTAGTTAATTAATGTTTCAGACAAGGTTCCCCCATTCTAGATGGAAACTAAATCCGTACAGTATCAAACAGAAGATTCTTGAAGGGTCTTAATTTGGGGTATCTGCTCTGCTAGATGTATCACCGTTTCTTCGGCAAGCCCCTCTGCGTTCAGATACATTAAACAACATGTGGCACGAGAGCTACTTTTGTGTAGGAGTCAAGGCACCAGGCTAGAATTTGGAGTTCTAATCCTGCTTTGTAGTGGCCGGAGGAAAAGCTGCTACCAAGGTAACGGTCAGATAAGAGGGAGACCTGAGTTGGGGCAAGAATGAGAAAATATTTCGGGCAGATCTTTCCCTACTTCATATCCTCCCTCCCCCTAAAGGGAGGGAGGGGGAGGCATACTCAGTCTTGAAAGATTCTGCTTTACAATAATAGTAGTACTGACTAGTAGGCCCCGGTTTCCTAAGCTGATCCCCCTCGAAGAGCTGATATTTGAGCATGAAGCCAGCTGGACGGCTGGAGCAGCCTCTCTGTCTTGGTTCTAGGAAGAAGACGGGGCACACAGCCTCCAAATATCTTGCCAAGAAAGCTGCCGGGCAGTCCCCAGGAATCAAGACTTCCTCAACGCATGCACACACTCACACATGCACACACATGCAGAGATGTGGCTTGGCATGTCATGTGAACCCAAAGAGTTGTAGCTTTATTAAGCAGTCTATTGTTAAACCATGGCTTAGCATGATGTGTGTACTCACTGCCAGCTACATCACATCTCACTAACTAGCTTTAACCGAGATTTGTCGATGGAAGTCACACAATTGGCTAGGATAACACAGCATTCTAAGCCACAAACAAGCTTCCTAGTGGCTCAGCGTGATATGTGAAACCAGCTCTTCGTGTGTTGCAATGGAAAGCAGGAAGACCCATTGTCTCTCTTGACTGCCAATGTCCCAGCTCAGGCTGGCTGCTGATTGGGCCGGCCTCTTGCCAAAGCTCCTGTCCTGCAGACAGATGTGGAGACTTCTAGAGGCTGGTTTTGTCTGGGTGGGGGCTTCGGGTTGGATCCTGGCTGTGATAATTCGGAGAGGTCTGGTCAATGCTAGGAGCTTGTTTGCCTTCCAAAGAGATGGAGGAGTTCTTCGTTCTTGGCTGTAGCTCAGGCATTGCTTGGCGGACCGAAGGCCCTGGGAGGAGAGGAGGAGAGTTAGGGTGGAGCACAGAAAGACCCACGCGGGTGAGATGGCATCTCATATCTCTGTAGGGCTTGGAGGTCCTGTGCTCTATTAGTGCCCACAGTCAGGCTCAAGCTGCCCAGGTGGGATGAAGACCAGTTGAGCAGAGCCTCCCACCTGTCCTTTCCAGCAGCATTTCTCTTTGACATACACCAGACAGACGCCAGAGTTGTGAATACTAGAACTAATTTTATTGCACGGCTACAGGTACCGAATCTGTGTGTGCCTCCCTCCTCCCTGCCCGGTTTAACTAAAGAGGGGGGTCAAATCTCACACGACTACATCCTTCTCTTCCTCTCCGTCTTCAAGGTTATTTTGCACAGCCCGTTATAATTTCCAACTCGAATAACTGAATAAAAAAATCCCTTGTGTCTTTCTCCTCATTTGCTAGAGCCGCCTTGAGTCTTCGGAGAAAGGCGGCATACAAGTTGAACAAATAAATAAAATAAATAGAGAGTCACAGGCACCAAATCATGAAAGTGTTACAAGAAGGTGGAATACTGCTGATTAAAAAAAAAAAATCCTAATCCTAGGAGCAGTTTGAGAGAGGAAGCTCTTACTTAGCCGAGTGGGTCATTTCCTTTCGAACAGTGTTTCTCAACCTTGGAAGCTTGAAGATGGGTGGACTTCAACTCCCGGAATCCCCCAGCCAGCGCTGCTGGCTGGGGGATTCTGGGAGTTGAAGTCCATCCATCTTCAAGCTACCAAGGTTGAGAAACACTATTTTCCAGGGTGGATGGATTCAGGGCTTCCTTCCTTCAGGAAATAAGCCCTCCCTCTGCCACACCCTAGCAGCCCCCCCCCCCTCCCCCCCCTCTTCCCCCAGTCCCCGTGCCCCCCCACACAAAACACACACACAGCCATTGCGTAAGAGGGAGGCATTTCGATTTTTTACTGCAACCTGAAATGCAACCACATCTACAGCATCTCTCCCACTTCTGATTTTTGAGCCAGGAGGAAAGTTCCAAATGGAAGGTCAGGACAACAGAGGACACCTTCCCAGCAAGCCTGCAGATGCGACCCCTTGAGTGTGGAGAGCCTCCTTTGCTTCTGCAGGGCAGAGAAGCCAAAGGAAGCCGGTGACAAGGAATAGAAACTTACCAAAGTAGCTGAGGATGACTGGCAGGAAGACCAGGCCGTGCAGCATCCCTAAGAGCGTGATGATGAGATTCAGGCGGAAGAAGAAGAGTTGGATGATTTGAGCCTTGGCAAATGCCAGGATCACGATGCCTGGCAAGTTGGTCATGGCCACACCAGCAAACACCTGCACGAAGGGAAAGGGGAGAGAAGCGCATTACACCTGGGCAGCCCTGGAGTGGTGGGGATCAGGGCTGCTCCTGGGAGTCCCACTGATCTCATGGCCATGCACAGCTAGGTCCAACTGGGCAATTGGGAAATAGCTTCTCCTTTGGGAAAGCTGCGCTTGGCACCTTCTGAAGCCTAAGCAACGTAGCCGATGAACTGCAGTCAAGAGTTCTTGGGTTGAGGAAAAGGGGCCTTGGAGCTCCTGGAAATGCCTGGAGGCAACAGCCATCAGAGTTGCCATCTCCTAAGTCCAGTATTCGCACTACAGGCCATTTGTGGCACATGCATCACACCACCCTTGGCCCAGTTTTGGCCTCCTCTTCCTCCTCCTCCTTACCGCGCTTCCCATGTTGATGGTGGCTTCTCGGGAGCGTTCCACTTTGGTAGATTTTTTGCTGATAGCGAAGGAGTGGGTGATGTGGGAGACAAATTCCACAGAGATGCCCACGGCCTGCAGGAGAGTGGAGCAAATTAGCAGTGAAAAAAACAGCGGATGCACCTGACGTTGTTCTTCACCCATTCAAGAGTATTGTCAATCCTTTCTGTGGGAGGCTTTCAAGAAAAGTTTGGATATTCATTTGCCCGGAATGGAATAGGTATAGGGTTTCTTGCCCAAGGTGGCCACCAAGGTTCCTTTCAATCCACTTCCTCTTGTTGTATTTCTAACATTTTGGCAGCTAAGGCACACACAAAAGTCCCAAAGGGGCAGCCAAAACACCACACATTGTGCAGAGCAGAGAGGTGCCAAGACAAAAGAGGAGGTGGGGTAAGTTTCAGGTTAAAAGTAAAAAAATGAATGTGGAAGGAAAAGCTAACTATTTATCACCCTCTGGGCGAAAGACAGGACTGAGGGAGCCAAACGGGGCCAGCATTGGCTTTGCAGGAGCTACTCAGGACCTCCCAGAAGCTGCAAATAAGGGAAAGTCCTGGAGGGCAGAGAAGCGGAATCTTTGCAAACTGTAAGAAAAGTGAAGCTGTGCCTCCTTTGCAGCCTTGAGACAATAGAAAAGTCAAAAGAGCCGAGGTGGCGCAGTGGTTAGAGTGCAGTACTGCAGCTACTTCAGCTGACTGCTAGTTCAGCAGATCAGCGGATCAAATCTCACCGGCTCAAGGTTGACTCAGCCTTCCATCTTTCCGTGGTGGGTAAAATGAGGACCCAGATTGTTGGGGGGCAAGATGCTATTTAGTATAATTTAGTCTTTGGTGTAAGCCGCCCAGAGTCCTCGGAGAGTGAGTGGCATAGAAATATGATAGATAGATAGATAGATAGATAGATAGATAGATAGATAGATAGATAGATAGATAGATAGATAGATAGATAGATACATACATACATACATACATACATACATACATACATACATACATACCATGCATCGGTGTGAGCCCTGCCTTTCCTGCACCAGAAGGGACCCTCTCTGACGCCCAAAAAGCTTCCACAGAATTCTAGTAAGTAAAAACAGTTCCCAGAGTCCCCATCCTGTGGATTTCCTACCTACACTGATGCTGCTTTTACCCTCATCTCGTTTTCGAGAGCTCGGTTTCTCCCTCTGCGCCCAAATGCCCTTTGCCCTGTGATACCTGACACCTCCAGAAAATCTCCAGTGAGGACCCTGCAGGGGGATACTCCAGAAAAGCACTAAGCGCAAAGAGCGCAAGGCTGAGAACATCTGGCAGGACCGCTGGGCGTTTTGTTGCCCCTTCCCTCTCCTCACCCGCCTCCCCTGCAGGCAGCCATGATGCTCATCCCCAGGAAAGACAGGTGGTCTTACTGTGACCAAGTTGATGAGGGAGATGGCATTGTAGGAGATGCCCCAAAGGTTCATGGCGCCCACGGTGTCCACAATAATCATGACGATGGTGAGGAGGTTGATGAAGGCCGAGCGCAGGTCCAGGCCCAGCAGGATGTAACAGACGGCAAAGGTGGGCACCAGGCACAGGGCCAGGTTGATGAGGCCAACGGTGGTGATCGTCAGGTATTGCTCATAAAAGACGTAGGTGATTCTGCGGAAAGAGAAGCGGTTCCAGGAAGGGAACGGGACAACTCGCCACGGCCAACACGCCACGGGACAACTCGCCACGGGGCAATTTAACAATTCTATTTAATTATTGCAGGGCTTTGAGGTTGGCCATGTCAGGAAACAGGCTCTACATAAACTATCAATATTATTTTATTTACTTGCTTGTTTGTTTATATCCTGACATTATTATTTTTATAAAGAACTCAAGGCGGCAAACATACCTAATTTCTCCTCCTATTTTCCTTACAACAACAACAACACTGAGAGGTGGTTTGGGCTGAGAGAGAAGGAGAGGGAGAGAGGGAGAGAGGGAGAGAGAGAGGGAGGGAGAGAGAGAGGGAGGGAGAGAGAGAGGGAGAGAGAGAGGGACGGAGAGAGAGAGGGAGGGAGAGAGGGAAAGAGAGAGAGGGGGGAGAGAGGGATGGAGAGAGAGAGAGGGAGAGGGAGAGAGGGAGAGAGAGAGAGGGATAGAGAGAGGGAGGAAGAGAGAGAAAGAGAGAGGGAGGGAGAGAGGGAGAGAGAGAGGGAAAGAGAGAGAGGGAAAGAGAGAGAGGGGGGAGAGAGAGGGACGGAGAGAGAGGGGGGAGAGAGAGAGAGAGGGAGGGAGAGAGAGAGAGAGGGAGAGAGAGAGGGAAAGAGAGAGAGAGGGAGAGGGAGAGGGAGAGAGAGAGGGAGAAAGAGGGAGAGGGAGAGGGAGAGAGGGAGAGGGAGAGAGAGAGAGACTGGCCCGAAGTCCAGTCTTCAGCATTGTTTCTCCAAGAGAAGCCTCCTCTGTGGCAGCTCAGGGCCTTTGAAGTTCAGAGTCTTTGCCCGGCAGCCATGCCCATTTGCTGGTTCATGTCGGTAGAGGATCTGCTTTGGACTCTTCCAAGCAAACACCGATCACAATTTCATGGCTGAGCCGGCTAGCCCTGAAGCTGCCTTAAGAGTAGATGGCTTCCAGATCCTTCTTGCCCTGCGATGGGGGGCACTGCAGCCCTTTCCTTCCACAGCTGCCTCCCTCCCTCCCTCCCCGCTTCTGCCAGGTTTCTCCTCCCTGCAACGTACGTGTATGGGAAGACCTGGAAGTTCGGATCAGTGCCGGGGACTTCCCTCATAGTAGCCGTAATGTTAGCCGTCAGTTGCCGTATCGCCTTCAGCGCTGCTGTGTATTCCTGAGAGTTCTTCAACGGGGAGTGGTAGGCCATGAACCGTGATGCTGTTGGAGGCAAGAGATGTGATGCTCCATCCCCAGCACAGCCTCTCTCCAGAAATCACAATCCCGCCTCCGAAATTAGGCGGGATGACATAGAACTCAAGGCCATTTCCTGCTGGCCCACATAGATAGCGCCTTCCTTCGCTGGGGTCTACTCACCCAAGATCTGCCCATCGGACCCCAGATGTATCGCCGTGTCATAAGCCCCGAGGCCCCTGTAGAAAGAGGAAGGGATCAATGCACCAGGAAGGCTGATGTCCCTCTGGACGGCGTGGGCAAATGGTGCCAAATGGAAACAGACGCACAAGCGACATTTGTGGCACTCACCCCTTGGGGCATTTGAGGTTGGGTGTGTCGTGGAGGAACCAGGGCAGAAATTTGTTGAACTCTTCTACGTTTGGCCGGAGGATGCCTTGGAAGCCGCCCATGCATTTGCTGAAAGCGCAGGCAAATTCGTCTACCAGAAAGAGACAAACACTTGGACGCTGTCCAGGACCCCACGGACGTTTTGCCACCTGCCCTGAGGTGAGGTGAATTTTTACTTTGCCCAGTCCTACTGGCTCCCACCCCTCCCTGTGCAGAGTTCCTTACCGCTGGTTGAGGGACAGAACTTGCCCTTGTTAGGGCCATAACTGTAAATGCGGCAACATCTGGATAAGGGGTTCAACCAGTCGATGAAGTCATCTACCCAGGAAGAAGCAGGAATGGCCAGATAGTACCTGAAAGCACAAAGAAAACTCTCAGGACCTAGGTGAGCGTTGGGGTCCCTTCTCCTAAGGCCAGGAGCTGCAACCTTAAACACTCAAAGAGCCATTTGGACCCGTTTCCCACAGAAAATAAAACACCGGGAGCCACAAAACCCTTCCCGTGCCTGACTATTTCCTGAGCGGCCACAAAACTGGCATATGTAGTTGAATTTAACATTCTGTTTTCTTCTGAAACTTTTCTTTTCTTGGATTTATCCATGGTTGACCTAACGGAGATTGAAAAACTCAATGAATCATGTACTGGCTGGTGTCGCACACTGGTGGTTGTGACGCATATTTTAAATGACAGGGAGCCGCAGCAGAGGGATGAAAGAGCCACATGCGGCTCCAGAGCTGCAGGTTGCTGACCCCTGCCCTAAGGAAAGGAAAGCCTCAACAGAAGCCTCAGCCAAAGACGGTTTTAAAAATCTTTGGTAGAGATTTCTGAGGTGCTTTTGGTGCCTGAGTTTTAATTGATGGCCCTCCGGTCTCCAGATTGAGTTTGGGACATGCTGGGCAACCAGAAACATGAGGGGGCAGCTTCTATAGCTCTTTCTTCTTACAGGCACATGTTTAAAAGCCATAAGACAACCATGCTATTACTAATGGCTTCAAACACCTTTAGCATCTTTCATACAGAAATTCAAAATCAAAGCGTGTTTTTTAATAGCGGGGAGGTGTGTATAATGCAAAAAGTTTAATGTTGAGTTGAAAGCAGCTTCAAAGTGGCTTACGTCTCGGGGAACTTGGTGGCCATTTGGATCTTCTGCATCATGGAGTTATTATTACACCCAGAACTGGAACAGATACCATTCATTCCAGGCACCGAGGAGTAGTTGTAGCCACCAGTGGCAACAAAGAAGGTCGGGGCACCCACCATAAAATATTGGTTGAAAAATTGGAAGAACGTCACCATGTAGGAGTCCTGAAACAGCAAAGAAAAGCAGAGGGAAGTTTAGCCAACCTTGGACCACCTAATTTGCCTTTCTGAACGTGTTTCAGAAATGCAGGGCTGGTTGGAGAATGCCGTTCTGTGGAAGGGCTTCCTTTTCCTCCAGAGAGAGTTTAGCTGACTGGTTCCACTGCCTGAACGAACGGCAGGAGGAAGATTAATGTTTAAATGCAATAAAATTCTATGTTTATTATTTATTTATTATTTATTAATCAAATTTCTATACCGCCCTACTCCCGAAGGACTCAGCCAAGATAAAATACAGATAATACAAATATTTTAAAAATCCCTTAAAATTATTAAATATTTTGGCCGAAACACAGATTAAAACACCCAATTTATAAAATCACACGAATTAAAAATTTAAAAGAGGAGAGTTTAGCCAGTGATTTGGTTGGTTTCCTTAAAATAAGACAGAGGTGCCAAACTTGTAGGGTACTTAGATCTGGCCTGCAAACAGAGAAAGACCAGCCTGTGGTGCTTCTGCCAGTGAAAGCAGGCTCCTGAGCTCCGTTTTCGGCTGCCATGGCCTCCTGCAACCCTCTGCCAGTGAAAAAAGAAGCTCGGAGAGCCGCATGCAGGAGGCCATGGCAGCCGAAAACGGAGCTCGGGAGCCTGCTTTCCCTGGCAGATCGCTCAGGCCACCACAGGAGCCCCAACATGAGTGACGTCGAGTTGGCCATGCCCTCCCCGGCCCCCCCAAGGTCAAACACAACCCTAATGCAGCCCTCAATGAAATCAAGTTTGACATCCCTGAAATAAGTTGCATGGCTTCAATCATTTCTAACGTAACTTTCTGCATCAGCCATAAAACCATTGCCAGGTATCGTTGCTTAAAGTGGCTCTGAAGGAAAGTCGATTTTCCCAGGACTGGCTTCCGACAGGGGCAGGGATGAAATGAGGCTCCCCTGCTTCTGGATCGGCCACTACTGTCCTCTGCTCACCTTGGGTACCGCCAGTTCTTGCTCCAGCCCCACATCGATGTGGAATGTCAGGTAGATGCCAGCACAGAAAAGCAGGGTGAAGAGCAGCACCTAGAGATGGGAGAAAGTGCCAGGAGAAAAGCTGGGAAACGGCTCCCACCCCACCCCGTTCTGCCCAAACCTCTAGATGCCCCTCCAAGCCACCCTGCCCAGGCGGGACACTCACCACCAGAACTCGGACAACGCTGCTGCCAAGCAAGGCTGGCGTGTAGATCTTGCGCATGAATGTGCGAAGCAGCCCATCGTGGGGCTTCACGGGCTCACATTCGGGCACGCGGAGGCAGCAGCAGAGATCGACTCGAGAGGCCTATGGGCAGAGGGATGGATTGCTCATGCTGGCTCTGCAGGAGAGACGGCCCCCCGCTCCCCCACAGCGGCTCAGCCCCCAGATGCCCTGCAGCCGTCCTGACCTTCTGTCTGCGGATATCCAGGGACATCAACGCCACAAAGAGCGACATCTGGAGCAGGAAGGCGAAGAAGACTGCCAGGGCTGCATAGAGGGCGAAAGTCTGGACCGCAGGCATGGGTGTCAGAGCCCCTACGAAGCCAAGGGAAGAGATACAGTGGAAGGGATTATCTGTGGGGCTCAGGTCAGATAAGGCGGCCCAGCGTTAAGCTTGCTTTCGAATGAAGACATTTAATTTTACAATACAATGAGCGTGGACTTGGACAAGCTCCAGAATGCAGGAGGCATCTCCATGGGGTTGAGAAGACTGACAACAACAACTCAGCTTCAGTTTGGCTGGGTTTGCACAATTTGGCTAGTGAATTTTTTTCAGTGTATAATTCTAACCTATTTCCTGTTTTTTTTTTAAAATTTGATTTATATGCCGCCCTTCTCCGGACGGTTTACTCAGGGCGGCTTACAATGCGCTAAGCAATAGCCTTCATCCTTTTGTATATTTATACAAAGTCAGCTTATTGCCCCCACAATCTGGGTCCTCATTTCACCTACCTTAGAAAGGATGGAAGGCTGAGTCAACCTTGAGCCTGGCGAGATTCGAACTACAGTAATTGCAGGCAGCTGGTCTTAATAACAGGGTGCTTTAGACCACTGTACTACCAAGGCTCTGGTTCACATCATAATGCTGAAATGCACCTTTTCAAGGGTTCACATGCCACAGAGCGCATCCTCCCAACGCCCCCTCCTCTTTGCCTGCAGTGTCTCCACCCTCAAGGCCACCGGCGGGGGTGTCACTAGCCATCAAGGGGAAATAGAATCTGTGGGTCAGGATGTGGGAAGAGCCGCCTGACCTCCAGCTTCACTCACCCAGGAAGAAGCAGATGACTTCGGAGAGGCTGCACAGGAGCATGCTGGGGGCAACGTTGCCCAAAGTGCGCCCAAGGTGCTGCTCCGGGGTTTCCCCAGGCACTGACTGGGATTGCTACAATGGCAGAGGAGGGGGATGGGGTGAGATGGGGCCGGCCAGAGCAGAAAGGCTGTCACTCCAGTCTCAACTGGGCAACACCCCCCCCCATTTAGTCCGGTCTAATAAGAGTGGCCTTGCTCCTGGCTTTCCGGAACCCAGTTTCTTCTCTGCACCCCAATTCCGAACAGGAGCTTTGGCTTCTTCTGAGCCCACCCGTCTTGGGGGATGGGGAGGCGTTCGCACCTGGTGTTCCAACACAAAGATGAAGATGTTGTCGGCACCAACTGCCAACACCAGGAAGGGCACCACTTCAATAATGATGAGGGACGAGGGCAGCCCTATGAAGCTGTAGAAGCCCAGAGATGACAGCACCGCCCCCAAGACCACCACAATGCCGCCCATAGCAAGAGAGAGCTTGGCGTCCACCTGAAAAGAAGAAGGCGAAGGAAAGTCAGAGCCCCGGCAGGGATCCAGACCCATCTTCTCCTCCCACCCGAACGGCCAGGGGTGCATGTGGGCAATGAGGAGGGAAATGCCCGAGGGGTCCCCACAGGTTGGGGGAGCAACACACGGGCTGAACCCTCCCCCCCCTTCCTGGGGTCAGGGAGAAGGACCTTTCCAGCCTGCCTGGAAACCACCTAGATAAGTGAAGTCTACTTTATCCTAAGGCTGCTTTAGCAGAATCTTGCAAGTCTGAAAGACTTCCTGCCTCCACTTTTAACTCCATTAGGTGGGTCCTTCCTTTGTTTCTTCCTCTGACCGTTAAGCCACTGGGGGCTCCTCCGTCTCTTGTCTGATTGCTCCCTGGACAGCATCTCTTTCCTTTCTCCTCCTCCAAGGTCATCCACACTTTCCATTACACCCCACCTTTCCTGCTCCAGAGAGGAGACAGGGAGGAATCCCATCACTTCTCACTGTTGGCTTTGAATGGGGGCTACTCCGCCCAGGATGGGCAGCCATGGACATCATCAAAAGTTTCCCCCTTCTCTCAGCAGACAAGTCTTGGCGAGACCAGGCTCAGCCATCCACCCAACCATTCTGCCCTGATCTGGAAGAAGTCCTGAGAGGCTGTAAGTCATTCTTGCTATTCCTTGAACAAACTGGGACCAGCCTTCCCTCCTGTCAGACCCACAAGGCGGATGGAAGACTAGAACTCGTAGCAGGTTCTCGCATGCTGTCTGTCTGTCTTTCCGTCCTACCAGGATGTTCCTGCAGCTGGAGTATTCTCCTAGGGCCACCGTGATGTATATGAAGATCACCAGGTAGCTGATAGCAAAGATGGGGAGGTCCTCCCAGGTGGTTCTGCTGACTTCATCCTCCAGGGAGCGCTGCAGTTGCGGGAAAAGAAGGAGGGTTGAATTGGCTCCAGCGGGAAAATCAGATAGCTAAACCAAGCCAGTTCAGCGTTTGTAACTTTACATGTCCATTTTTGGCTTTTTTTTTTATTTTTTATTTGATTTATATGCCGCCCTTCTCCGGAGACTCAGGGCGGCTTACAGTGCGTTAAGCAATAGCCTTCATACTTTTGTATATTTTATACAAAGTCAGCTTATATCATATTTCATATCATCTTTGTTAGTTCTGAATAAATGAAAATCAACTGCACAATTATTATGAGAAGTGGAGGCAGACGGGGAACTGGGGGCCATCGCCATGCGTGCAACAGACATGGGTTGTTTTAAAAGTTGGCTATGAGCAAGCGAAGCTGGAATCTTCAGGACTTCCTAAAATGCAGCTGTTTATAAAGTTTATAAAGATATTCCCTCAAGTATTGTTTTTAATGTGCATAGCTTTATCATTTTATTATGTTTTTTATGCTGTTTTTATTTATTTATTTTTTTATTGAAAAAGTTTTACAATTACATTTTCTCCCCATTCCCCCCCCCCAACCCTCCCTAACCCCCCCTAACCCTCCCTAACCCACCCCTCCCCCCCGGACTTCCACAGAATATAATCCAAATCAAAATCCCCTTTTTATAAAACTTGAACCCCTCCACCCCCAATATATTTTTTCGTCTTCTCAAAATTCAAATATTTCTATCTCTATATAACACTTTCAATTAAAAGCTATCTGATACTTCCTAGTTTGATATTTGTTCTGCACATAATCTATCTATCATTTTATTATGTTTTTTATGCTGTTTTTATTTTTGATTGCCCAGTGTTGGCCATAAGGTAGGCAGCTACATAAATGGTGTATATAAAAGCACAGATAACATATAAGTGCCTTTCCCAAGGACTTCTACTGTATCCAGAACCTGGAATTATGCCAGCATTTAGACACCCAGCTCTCCCTTACTGGGTTCCTTCCTTGTCCACATGAAGGCTGCCTGGTCCTACAGCTGGATTCGGTCTCCCAAGCAGGAGAGGGACAGTGGCACTCATACCTCTGCCATGTAGGCAATGGCGTATTTCTCAGAGTGCTTTCTCTGAAATTCCTGTACCACCTCCAGGAAATGCTTCTCCCACAACAGCACAAAGTCAGAACGTGGGTCGCTGGAGAGAAAGTTGTTCAAGGAGAAGGTGAGGATGAGAGCTTCTGCTTCGGAGTACTCCAACCCTGTCAAGCATAGAGAAAAGTCACCAAAATGCCGGAGAGGCAGGTGGACCTTCTAGTTCCAACAGATGCTTCCAACAGAGTCCCCAGTTCCTGAACTGCAGATAAATATTTTCTCCCTCTCTGCTGATAATATAGTCCAAGCTTGTGGCACTTATTCTGCCTGAGATTCATTGCAACGTCATCCTGATAAAATTCTCCAACTGAGCACGAATGCTCCTTTCTTCCTACACTGATAGAAAATCATATTTTTAATCGTTTATTTTCTCCCGTTGCTGCCGTTTCACATTTCCATATGTGGATGCCCAGTGGGTTCTTTCTCACAGCTGTGGTCAATGTGCATTCTGAAAAATAGATGGTACCAGTTGCACTGCCCTTGCAATTGAGCATCACTGCACCTTGGCAAAATGCGGCGGTGTCTGGGACCTACCATAACAGTGATTGGAGGGCTTTGTCCCTCCTCTCCCAGGTAAAACAGAAAGGAAACACATCAGAGTTCACCAAATTCATGGGAGGAATGAAATGTGGGGAATTTTGAAAGGGAAGAAAGGACACGAATGCAATAAATGCAACAAACGATGCTCAGGTAGAGACCCGTGCAGCAATTGAAGATTCCTCATTTTTCAATCCTCTTCCACACTACATGGACCCAAAGGTCTAACCAAGAGTCCTTTGGCTAAAGTCCAAGAAGATGCTCCCAAATCTCCTTCTGCCTTACTTTATGGTTTTTCCATTTTTTTTAAAGCAAAGACATGATTTTATCTTATGTGCAAAGATTTTGAGGATCATCCTGAATTGAGAGACGTCAAAACACGCCTTTGTATGTATTTCAGCAGTTAGAGATATCTAAATTCCAATCTAAAGAAGGCACAGCTGAGATCTCAAGAAACAGAAAAATAGCCAGAAAGCATTGTCAGCTCAAGGTAATCTACTGCCACAGCCCCATGATGGCATGGACCTTCCTACCACAGCCGGAATACCAGGGTTATCAATGCTGGCTGTTCTACATTCCAGCTGACCTCACTCTCTTCTTCCCCCGACTAAACAGGGTCGGTCCCAGTGGGAATGACGTGAAAGAGACGGCCACTGCTGTCTGGACTTAGCACCTGGGAGGGAGTAGGCTCTCTTACCTGAATAACCTCCTACCGCCAGGAAGGGGAACAAGGGGGCGCCGTAGTCCGACATACAGCTCAGCTTGAGCTCCGTGTTATCTTGGAAAGAGGTTGGAGAGCTACGGCAAGAGCAAAGAAGAGAAGAATACACATTGTAATGTGGGGGGCATGGGAGGGGGGGGAGAGGAGAACTTTCCCTTGCAGATGTGGGAGAAAGAAGAGCCCTGATCCCCAAGGCAAGAGGCTGCCATTAACCGGGAAAACAACTTGCCTTACCTGTAACGCCTGCCATGGCTGTCTGCAGGCTTCTAACAAGGTAGTGGAGAGGAGGTAGAAGAGGCAGGGCCAGCCAGTGTTTGTGTTTATTGGCCAGGCTCCCCATATTATCAGTTGCAGAGTCCCCCCAAAAGGTGGGCAGCAACCTGTCACCTTCCATCCTGCTACACCATCACCAGGGCCCCACTCACAGTGGGCCACTCATCTCCCTTCACTTCAATTTAGGCTAAGGTTGGGAGGTGCCCACAGGAGGTGGGTGGAGGGGCAGCCAGCCAGCTTAAAAAAGTCCAGCCCATCCCTACCCTGGCGTCATGCTTAGATTGACATAGGCCCAAGGAAGCAGTTGCCTTCAGCAGGCAAGGGGCACACTCCCAAAGCAGACAAGGCTGACCGTTGGGGCACAAGAGGCAGCAGCAGGACTGGCACTGAAGGCGGCTGTCAGACTACGATGCTATCTCAAAATTAAATGAATTTCCAAACTGCCAATCTTTAAGGAAATCTTTCTTTAATTGAGCACAGCCACCGGATCATGACTCCGCACGGACAAGACTGACCTTTTGCCCCCCAATCCCTCCCTTTCCGATCCCCAAATCTCTGCTTCTCATTGGCTATCTTCCAAGTCATTCTTCAGACTTCTTTTCTCGTCATTTCCCAGGAATGTGCCCCCTCCCCTCATTTCCACGACAACCCGACTTCAAAGGGATTTAGCAGGCAAAAGTTTCAGAGTTTATCTCTTGCTCTCCTCTGCTCTCTATGCCAGCGTTGAAACGCTGACAGCGGCAACTTTAAGCTGACATACGTGTGCCAGTTCAGAGACGGGTGGGAAAGATAAACGAACGGATGGCAATGGAAAAGAAATGATGTCACCAAAATGGGGCACCAGCATTTCCTTCCACATGCTGCCCTTCTTAGCCAGGATGAAAAGATGAAATTAGTCCACCCCCCACCCCTTGCCTGAAGCTTCCCAAAACACACACTTACTGGATGCAGTAAAGGAAGTGGTCTCTCCAGTCAGCTGTGCCATTCTTCTGCCCCAAGGTCTGGTTGGCTTTCAAATCCAGGAGGGTACCATTGTTCTGGAAGAACTGCAAAAGGCTGTTGACACAACAGTCTGAGAGGCTGGCGTTCTGGGGATTCAGAGGTGCGTAGCAAATGTCCGGCAAGGTGATGTTCTTATGATGCTCTTCAGACCAGATCTTCAGGTCCTGCAGCTTGATCTGCAAGTCCAGCAGGTCCAAGAGCACCTCTTTAGAGAGGACCCCGCTGAAGTTCTTCTTGCCCCAAAGAAGAGAATCGTAAATGTGGCTTTTGGGGTTCTTGGCTGTCAGGATGATTTGGTTGGTCCGGAAGAAGGGCCCAAAGTGCTTCTCGTAGAGCTCTTTCTCCTGCCGGGCCTGGCTGTCTGGAGAGGCCCAGAGCTCCAGAGGGTCCGTGGTTAGTTCCATCCAGATCATTCCACTGGAAAGTCCTGCCACAATGGCTAGAGAAACGATCATGACTTTGATGGGATTAGAGGCCATCAACGTGCCCCACCTGCTGAAGGCCTTAACTAAGAAATCATACATGGCCTGACTTGCCTTCTCAGAGGCGGTCAACTTAGTCACGGTATCTTCTCTGCTGTGACCCTTTTGCTTCCCAGGTGAGGAGCATCTTTGCCACAGCTGCAAGGACACAAACGACAGTGCAACAACACCAAAGAGAATGATGGAGACAAACAGGATCCCGTCCATGCTCCCCACTTTGAAGGGCTGGTGTGTGGACGGAGGAAGCTGGATGGCTGGACACGACTGTTCACAGTCCGAACAGGAGCACTTCGGGCTATTATTTACAGTCTCACTGCATTTCCAGACTGTATCATTGAATGGCAAAATGCCTCCCTCCTCAGCTGCCCAGTCCCCTGGTGTCAGTTGATATTTGACGGACAAGGGGGCCATCCCATTGCTCGTGTCACCTTGGAAATCGAGCCATCGCTGAGTGTTGCATGCAGCCGCCCCGTACTTGCCGCACATGGCGCCTACGACGTAACCTCCGGTGGCTGGCATCCTGACTCCCTGGCACGACTGAAAAACTCCCTCGGCAAACTGCTGGTTGTAGTAAGGCTGAAACTCCAGCAATCCCTTCACCGTAACGTTCCGGATGGTGTGATTGAAGTAGCGGGTGACGTTGACGAACAAGCTCTGGTTTGGGCTGCAGATGTTCTGGCAATGGATGTTGGAGAAGTTCTCCAGGCAGGCTGGGCAACGAGACAGCACAGCCCTGGGCAGTGAAAGGCTGCTCTCTATAAAATTTAACTGCTCTGGAGAGCAGCAGGCGTAGGTGCTGTCGTCTCCCTTGTACAGCATTGGGCAGTTCTTCTTCAAGAGGTTGAGGTGGGAGCCCTTGAGTAGCTGGGCTGGGGTGTTGGAAATGCAGGGCACTTCCTGCACGATGAGTCCAGGTCCAATTTCAGGGTTCGGACCACAGTTGTCGTAGAAGGCACAGTATCCTGCCCGATGGATTTCGGTCAAAGCGGCAGCCTAGAAAGCAGAGAGGCAGGGAAAGCTTGTTAGTCCCCATGGCTGTTGAGGGGAGAGGGGCTGGGGAAGAGGCCCCTCTGCCCCAATGGGTTGCAATAGGAACTGGAGAGAGGACTGCAGGTATGACTGGACTAGGATCAAAGCAAGAACTTTTTCCCCTTAGCAAATGTGGCTTCTTCCTCTTCAGAAGTTCAAAACTTTTTAAAAATGGAGCACATTGAGTGTCAGTCAGGGATGTTTCGATAAGTCTTAGAGTGAGGGGTTACTGACTTTTATTTCTCCCTCCCCTTATGTCCCCTTCTCCTGCTCACAACTAAGGAAGAATCAGAAAACGAAGAATTTTCCACACTGCATTAGCTTCTAAGGGAGGGAGGGCAATCCACAGCCCAGGGTTGGAGGCCAAATCCTCATTTTGTTGTCCTTGGAACCATCTCTAAATATCAGGACTGAAAACTGATTTCCTGGCATTTTATTTATTTATTTAATAAAATTTATATGCCGCCCTATCTCCGAGGACTCAGGGCGGCTCACAACAATAAAATAACCAGTTAAAAATATAAAATACATAATGTACGTACATAATTTATATTATAATATATAATTTATATATATTTTGAGATGCAAATGTTTATTTATTAAATTTATACATGTCTCACCTCATGGGATTAGCCTTAAATAGAAATGTGACACTTGAAAAACAAATTTCCTCAGATTTGCCACCAAATCAGCCCTACCCATATGTATTATATATCCCCCCATATTAAGCTCTAGCAGAGGAGTTTGTCTCTCCTGAGTGGCCACCTATCCAGTTAAGAGGACCTCAGTTGTAGAATCAGGTCATCCCCTGTTCCCACCCAGAGTGCCAGCCAGTTGTGCCCTTTTCCAGAAGATGCCACTCATCTTCTGTGGCAAGAGCAAAGCTGAAAATGTTCCTTGTTTCTCTGGTTTTTGCGTTCCCAGAAATGGGAAGAAGCACCCCCAACCTTCATTTCTTCATTCCAGGATACAAGTCTCCAATACGGCTCTTGCTTACTAAAACTTTTAGCCTGCCATCTTCTTGAGACTGACAGTAAAAGGTTAGCCTCATAACTTGAGCTGATTGCCTAGGACTGGACAATCTGGGGACAATCTCCTCCAGAATAAATTTAAAAAGATATTATCTTAGTATCTGTTTGTGTACAACTCTCCAGTTGCCCCAAACTACTGATCTATCTGTTTAGGGAAGCCTTAAAGGAGGAAGTGGTACTTTGCAGATCAATTGACCCCGATTGAAGTGTCCCTCCCTTCAAAGGGCTGAGAAGGAGTTCAGGAGAAGCCGAGAGCCTTATAGCCAACTCAGGAAGCTCAAACTGCCCAAGGAGCTGCTGATCCAGTTCCACAGAGGAATTACTGAGTCTGTCACCTGCACCTCTATAACTATCTGGTTTGGCTCTGCAACCCAACAAGACAGACACAGACTTCAGAGGATAATTAGAACTGCAGAAAAACAGTTGCTACCAACCTGCCTTCCATGGAGGACCTGTCTACTGCACGAGTCAAAAAGAGGGCTGGGAAAATATTTACAGACCTCTCACATCCTGGACATCAACTGTTTCAACTCCTACCTTCAAAACGACGCTATAGAGCACTGCACACCAGAACAAATAGACACAAGGACAGTTTTTTCCTGAACGCCATCACTCTGCTAAACAAATAATTCCCTCAACACTGTCAAACTATTCACTAAGTCTGCGCTACTCTTAATCTTCACATCATTCCTATCACTCATCTCCTTCCACTTACGACTGCATGAGTGTAACCTTGTTGCTGGTATTGTTTACTAATATGATTCGATTGCTTATTTGTACTCTATGACTATCATTAAGTGTTGTACCTTATGATGCTTGACGAATGTATCTTTTCTTTTATGTACACTGAGAGCGTATGCACCAAAGACAAATTCCTTGGGTGTCCAATCACACTTGGCCAATAAAGAATTCCTGTTCTATTCTATTCTAGTTGGGGGCACCAGGCCCCTCAAAAGCACCCCTTGCTACTAAACCCCTCCAACCCACAACCTCCACTGCTGTCATCATCAATGCTCACCGACCTCGGTCCTCAGGTCCAGACTGGCGCTGACCACCACTACGGCCAACAGGGCCACCCACGGCATCTTGGCAAGTCTGGGCCGCCGGCAGGGCTCCTCTGAGAAAAGGGAGTGCCAAGGCAGTCGCTCGCTCTTCATCCACTTTTCAGATATCACACACCAATCAGGCTGCACCAGCACCATATCCTGGTTTATCATTTACCCGGAGATAGCATTGGGGTTTATTTATTGATTTTATTTATTTATTGGTTCGATTTATATGCCGCCCTTCTCCGGAGACTCAGGGCGGCTTACAATGCGTTAAGCAATAGTCTTCATCTTTTTATATATACCTGCTTAATAGGGCTTTCGCCCCCCCACCAAGCGGTGTTCTTTCTTTATACAAAGTCAGCTTATTGCCCCCACAATCCGGGTCCTCATTTTACCTACCTCGGAAGGATGGAAGGCTGAGTCAACCTTGAGCCTGGTGAGATTTGAACTCACAGTAATTGCAGGCAGCTGGCAGCTAAGTGCTAATTAACAGCACTTTAGTCCGCTGCGCCACCAAGGCTCTTGGTGGTTCTTGCCATGCTGGGTTAGTCCCCACCTAACTTTCCACCCCCACCCCCAGCTTATTTGGAATCTTGGCTTTGACCCAGCTGGGAAACTGAGGCACACCTTAGCAGCAAGCATTGCTCTGACGGAGAGAAGGGATGGATAGGGGCAGTTGCCTTGACCCTACTGGCCAGATACCTGAGGTTTATCATCTTATACCAGGTCTTCCTTCCTATACATACACACACACACACACACACACACACACACACACACACACACACACACACACACATATATGTGTGTGTGTGTGTGTGTGTGTGTGTGTTTTCTGAGGTTTTCGCTGCTTCAACGAAGTCTCATTCGTCATCTTCAGGCTGGTGTTTTCGGCTTCGTGCTTCTAGGAGCAATAATAATATATATATATTATTCTCTTTTTGTAGGTTTTTATGTGTATTTTTCTCTCAGCCAGGTTTTTCCTACATAAATCAAGATGTTTCTTATTTTATTCTCTTTTCGTAGAGACCACAAGTCCACAAGTCTTAAAGCTGCCAAGTTTGAGGAACCTCTGGATTAGAGGTAAAACTCAAGCCAGCACTGTGATCCACCTGCCAATAACCCTAACAGCACTCAACATAATATACGGCAAACGGGACCACCGTCTGGGCTGCCAGCAGGGCTCCGCAGAGGAAAGGGGTCCTTTGATTTGGCTTCTAGGGCCTCGGTGCACAAGCTTTGGAAGGGAGAAGAAGGGGGGAAATGGGTCGGCTTCCACCAAGTCAAGCAGCCCCAACAGCTGAAGGAAGCGGTGAGCCTTGGTAGTACAGTGGTTTAAGGCACCCTGTTATTAAGCTGGTTATTAAGACCAGCTGCCTGCAATTTCTGCAGGTTCGAATCTCGCCAAGGCTCAAGGTTGACTCAGCCTTCCATCCTTTCTAAGGTAGGTGAAATGAGGACCCAGTTTGTGGGGGCAATAAGCTGACTTTGTATAAATATACAAAAGGATGAAGGCTGTTGCTTAGCGCATTGTAAGCCGCCCTGAGTCTCCGGAGAAGGGTGGCATATAAATCTAATTTAAAAAAAAAAAAAAAGGTGGGAGGTGAGGGGACAGCCTCAGCTGGGCAGGTATCCTGTTAAGGCAGTGCGGAAGGGAGGGAGGGTTGTGGCAGCGAAGGGCAATGGTCATGGTCAGAGGCACAACACAAAGAGAACAGCGAGATAAGGAGAGGGAGGTGCAAGGCCAGGGCGAGCTTGAAAACAAAGCATCCCTGCTTGGACTGACCTTGTGAGACATACTCTCCTCCTATTGAGGATGATGGGCGAAAGCCGGTTATCTCGATAAAGCCACATCACTCTATTGCCAAAGAAAATGGGATGGTTTTGAACTATCACCAGCGAAACAACTGAAATAAAATAGGCTCAAGGGATTTAAGGGATACCTCCGAGACCGACTTCTGCCACCAGTAGCCTCCCACCGGCCAGTCCGCTCCCACGGAGAGGGTCTCCTCAGGGTGCCATCGGCCAAGTTATGTCGGCTGGCAACACCCAGGGGGAGGGCCTTCTCTGTGGGAGCCCCAGCCCTGTGGAACGAACTGCCCCCGGAAATACGGAAGATCCCCGACCTCCGGGTATTTCGCTGTGCACTGAAGACCCTGTTGTTCCGCCAGGCTGGGCTATCGACATAATTTTAAATTGGGGTATTTAAAATTTCTGGGGTTTTAAATGGAGCCAATTTTATTTAATAATTTTAAATTTTAAATTGATGTTTGTCTTGTGTTTTTAAATAGGCTGTACACCGCCCTGAGTCCTTCGGGAGAAGGGCGGTATAGAAATAAAATTATTATTATTATTATTTAAAATGGAGAAACTGAAGGACAATTGTTAGTTGCTGGAACTTCAGGCCAAGGAGAAATCCACCCAGACAAGACGGGGCCTCTTATCATCTTAAATCGCTCACTATTCCTATGTTTTAGACACCGTCTCCCTGGTAGAGGGGGCTGCATGTCAGCCCCAGCCCTGTGATGATACTTGGGGCCGCCATTCGTGAGGGGATCGCCGTTCCGCTGCTGCACGCTTTTGCAGACGACCCTTCGTGTGTGCCTGCTCTGCTGGATCATCAGCCCCGAGGCATGCCTCTCCCTTCCACTTCAGGGGCATGCACTGAAGCAGTTCTCACCGTCCATCACTTTAAGGAAAGATGTAACTGGAGCAGCTTGCGATGGATTGGGGAGGGAGAGGGAGGATAATTGAGTGATTGCACTGGGGTGGAGCTGTATGTATGCTACTTAAAGGGTGATGGGGAGCACGGAGCATCAGCTCCAACAAAAATTCCTTTCTGCAACACTTTAAGGTGGTCAATTACTACCAATATCAGGATAAACAAACTTGGTTACTGCTTTTGCGTGCTGAGGGTTTTTTTTCACCATACTTTACGGAACCTGTGTTTTTTTAACCACTGGACAGGCAAGTAGGCTAAGAAGGTAAAGCATCTAAAAGCTCCCAAAATGAACCCGATTTTGTTATTGCAGGCAGAAAAGAACCAGACTGGCTCCAACCAATATTGCTCACTTCCGCAGAATTGGTTTTCAAAGGTAATTTTCAACAGGATTTCTTTGCAGCAAGCATAGGTGCTACATATTTAAACAGGGCACAGAAAATGGCTTCCACCCGTCACTTTTCAGCAAAAGAGAGAGTTTTGATACTCCTTGGATACTGGATCTTTTCGAAGGGAGGCCCGAGAGCCACTTGTCCAGGGTGCTCCTTTAATTGGCCTTCTTGGACTGAGCAAGGACGGGATTCTGGGGTCCCTCAATAGCCCTTTTCCCTTCTATCCAAGGACACCAAGCCTCACATGCCAAACCTTCCTTTTTCACATTAGTTAGTTTTATTAGTTTATCAAAATATAAAACACAAAGGAAAATAAAAATTAATGGGAAAGTAGGGGAAAGAAAAAGGGAAGAGAAAATGGGAGGTGAAAGTGTTGAGTTCTGACTCTTTTTAGCACAGTAGAAATAACATTACAGCCTCAACTTAGGTTTACATATTAGCCATTTCCATAACAAATTTATCGGATCGGCAAAACCAAAGAATTTCATTTTCTTTTTTTCATCCCAAGCACAAAATCCAGAAGTGATCTTCCAGTGAAGGTGGCCCTTTCCCCTTCCATCCAAGGACACCAAGCCCCACCGAATGGCCTGGCCATCTGCCTTCCTGACATGATCATTTGCCGAAAGCCCAGGCTACCCCAGCCTTTTCCTGCCTCCTCTCTGGAACACTGCACCAAAATAGCTCTAATGGCCCTTTAATATAATGGCAAAATTCCTTCCCCCCTTGCTGGGTGAAATTTGGGGGCTGTACGAAAGATGGAGCACAGCAAGACACTCAAAAGTGGAAGGGGGGAGGGGGCTTTTCTGGGGCTCTGCTTGCCCTCCTGATCCTTGCTGTGCAACGTCACATCAGGCCAGGCCACGCAAGGCAACACCCTGAGCTTCTTATCCTGCCATTTCAAGGTTTACGATCGTGTCCTGGCCTTGACGCCTGATAAAGCCACCAGCCCGGGCAAGAGTCCACCAGCTGCCATCCCAGCCCACTCGTTGGCAAGCTGCCCTGGGGTCGGCAGCTTCAGACTTCTGGGAAGAATGGGACCTTTTCTGGCAACAGGCCGACCGGCAGTTTCACACCGCCCTACACGCAATCCCACGCATGTAATTTTATTTATATGAAGAGGGTGTACGCCTTTGCTCCATTGACCTGTACCGATTCCTGGTGTGCTTCCCTGAGCAATTCCAGGCGCTGCTTATCACGAGGCTGAGTTGTTGGCGGGATGCCCTGCCCCACTTGCCTGCCACTTTAAATCCCATCCGCACAAGAGCATCTGACGCGGCAGAAGTCCGGAGTTAGCATGAGCTTCCTCATGAAACGGGGTTTTGTCAATTTATTTAGCCAGGGAGTTTGGCAAAGAGGAGCCCAGTGACTCTTTGAAAAGCTGAAAACGGAAGAGAGCAGCTTTATGGCGCTTCTGACATCTGGGAGATGGAAACCAGTCTCTGTCACTTTCACTCATTCCACGGCTGGTGGGAACCAAGGCCTCCGGAGGCTTATTTGGGCTTTGCCAAGGTCCGAAATTTCTTCCTGGTGTTCTTGAAGCTGTGCAAGGGGTTCCGCTGGCCCTGCAAAGAAAGCCGTGGCATCAGCCCCCTCAGGACCACCTGAGCCACACCGCTCAGAGGGCTCCAGCCCAAGCACTCAGCTGCCAGGCTCAGCCCCTCGAGTGGCTGTCCTGGAAATGGGAATTTTGGCAGGGGGGAGAGAAGAGGAGACCACCAACCTTGCTCGTGGAGGCCGGGCATTTCCGCCGCTTGCGTTTCCCAGCGAGGGCTGGAACTGCTGGCCGGAGACCCTGAGGGACTGCAAGAGGAAGAGCCTGTCAGCTTCCAGAAAGGCAGCCCTCCCCTCCCCCTTCTCTCCTGGCCCTTCCCATCACCCCCCCCCACGTGCTTCCGCTTCCTTGGGAAACCCAGTGAATCCTTCTACCAAAACTCCAGAAGGTCAAAAGCCCATTTAGAAAGAGAAACGCCTGTATATACTGGAAAGAGGGAAGCGTCACACGTCCGTCCTAAATGCAGGGCGGTCTCCTCCCCTCCCCACAGTGGAGACGCCCCTCC